CGTCAAATGCTAGAATCCTCATCCTTGAGAAAGTTGCATCATATGATTGAAATCTATTGACTAAAAGTTCCAGTGAAATCGACAATTACACACCTTTCGTCTTCCTAAATGTTCCACCATTTCAACTTAACCCAGCAAATCACAGCAATTCCGTTGAATCTATCGATTGACTTTCTTAGAAAAGAATAAGAGCCACAAATCAGAAAAGTCAATTAATTTGACTCACAAACACGACATATGATTACACGATTGTTTACAATACAAATTGTGTATTTCATCTGCCAAAACATCCTCATTTGCTTTGGAGTTTCACGATTTCCTCTAATATTTCGCATTCCTATGTATCTCTTCTCGATGTATCATCGCATCTTTCACTTTTTTTTCGAAGAGAAGAGAAAATTGACTCTCAACCATTTCACAATTTGCGCTTCTGGCCAATATTGTGCCATTACAGCGCCGTGTACTTGATGTGATGGTTTTAAAGTTCTCTTTCAACTCATAATGCTTATTTACTTTCAATCCAATGGAACTTGCTGGGTTTTTCACACAACAACAACAAACCATGAGACGATTTTGAGTGAAATTTTTCCATTTCTCTCTCTCTCTCTCTCTTTCTCTTACTGTTTTACCTTTTAGCATTTGTGAGAGTCTGTCTGAAGAATTTGCTTAACCGTTACACGCGCCGCTACAAGAAGTAATACGGAAAAAATGAGAATGAAACGCAATTGAGAGAACTTTCTTGGCTCACAGAAATTCCATTTGCTGTAAATAAAAGAAACTTCAAACGGAATTTTCTCTTGCACTTCTCATGCTCACAAGCCGGAGATGAGATGAAGAGATTCGAGGAAGAAAAAAATGGCACACTAGACAGTTAGCAATCATTCACGGACTTTCAGAACAATTTCTTCTGCTGATGATGACAGTGCAGAAAAGCCCCTTTAACACCTCCAATTTTCTTCTGCGCACCAGCAAAATACAATCCATACACATTACCATGATAAAATTCACATATATGTCTATCCACAACTTAATTACAGACAGAAGGTGTGTCAATTGTTGGAATTTCTTTGGAAAAATTTCACTGTGTGCCAACCACAGCTCAATGGGCTCTCATCGCGAACGCCAGAGCGAACGCAAAATCAAGAGAATGAAGGCATACTTCAGCAATTAGTTGACGTCACAAATTGACGCATTTGGAAGAAATATAGGAAAAATATGTATTTAGTTATTTCACAACAACATTCAACAATTGACAGAGCCAAACTCTGGAGGAAATAAAACGGTATAAAGTGAAGAACATTTGTCACAAAATCTCACTCTACCTGAACAGCCAAAGAAAAGGAACAATTGAAAGAAAGTCAAATAAATGCGACTGAAATTCATTGAGAATTCAAGAGAAATGAAAACACCATTGTATTGTTTTCTCTCTGTTTCACTTCTCTTTCCCTACTTCCTTCACACACTCCTCTCTCTCTCTCTCTCTCCAGACATTTGTGACGCATTTTCCACCACTTCCGGAAGTTCTGCATAAAAATATTGTATAACGCACTGTAAATTACGTACAGAGACATACATATGCACCTAATATGTATTGTATGTAAAGATATTACAGCATAAAGTGCGCAAAACGAGCATTTGTAAAAAAAAACTCCCAACAAATCACAAACAATTTACGAAGAGTCTTTCGCAGAATTTCGATTTCCTCACACAACCCGAGAGAAAGTCAGTCTCTACTGCGCCTTAAGTTGAAATCCGGGCTCCAAGAGCGCACAGTAGAAGCAATAAAATATGCAATTCACCTTGCAATGCTCTTCTGAAATGTGGTTTGTCCAGAAAATGGTCGAAAAGGTCTTCCAACAGCCTTGCAGATTAGGCAGGGCAAGAGCGAGGCCATTTTCGACTCTACAGCCAAAACAGTGAAGTTTAGAATTATAAATTTGTAATTTCAAATTTACAATTAACTCAGGATCGCTTAAACTTGTGGAAACTCCAGAATTGACCTAGAAAGAATTATCACAACTCTAACTTATCCAGTTTTACAAAAGATTTCATTTTTATTCTTGATTTTTGAATATTTCTGTTGTATAACATCTAATTTTATCGATTTCTTTTGAGCATTAGAAGTATGTTTTTGATAATACTTGATAAATTTACTAAAATTCCGTCTTGATTCAGTTTCTCAAAGACCAGAAATCCGATTCAGATTCCATTTGAAAGAGCCCAAAAAGATTGCCGAAGTCTTTTGGTATTCAAAACCAAGAATAAAAGTTGGTGATAGTTTAACATCAATTTAAGACAGATTTTATTGCAGTTTTTCTCAGTGGGCTTCCACCCAAGTAAATCAGATTGTTGTAATTTTATCTTCTTCCCCATTTGCATTGCGTCTTCTGGCAAACTGCCTTAAGCGGTCTAACTTATTGTTTCCTCGAAAAATCTAACCAAGAATCATTGCCACACATCTCTTCTCTCTCTCTCTCTCTCCCTCTCAAGAAGTTTGAAATTTGTCAGAAGCACGCAAAAAGACCTGTTTCTCAGTGCGATTTTACACATTCTCCTCGTCGTTTTACCAACCAACCTTTTCTCAACGCATTACTTTGCGAAATCGCTTGCACATGCCACAGATCCACATTTGAATATTACATATTTATCACTCTCTAAGTGAGGAGCCATCCAATCCACATGCAAGACCATTTTCACTTTGCGCATTTTCATCAATTTGTATTTATTTACACAATATAATTCACTATGTCAGCGGAGTGAATAAACACAATACCATTATTATGAATTCTGTGCTTCATCCAACTTCTCTCCTCCCCATTGACACGAGGGCAATTTGCACGCACGGCATTTGCATGGGAAGGGATGAAAACCCAATATTTGTAGCACTATTGCAAAAGTGTAGTGCAAATTTTCAAGCTCACACGTGGCAAAGTGGTGTGAAGAGAGACAAAACAATAATAAATAATAAATGCCGTGATATTTGACCTAAAACAAGACAGAGGCGGAACAGCGCTCGCCATCTTTGCTGCACTATCGCCTTAAGTGTATGCTCATTACGCAATTTCGCCATTTCAGTTGACTCAGTGCACTTGAAGAGGCGGTTTTCCCCCTCCCCGTCAAAAGAAGATTAACTACGTGCTCGCCACAAACGCGTGCACTTCAATGTGTTGCATTTATTGCATTTTCGCGGTGGCGCATGTGAAGCTCCGAGAGGAAGTTCGCATTTTGCCTCAAACCAAAGGTCAGTGAGAGGATTTTTAATAATAAAAAAATTCCCCGCATATCATTTTACAGACCCATTCTATTAGTGTCATTATTGAGTTAATTGGAGAAACATCGTCCGACCCGGTTTTCTCTGTGTCTCTTATCTCTAAATGAGCCAAAATTAGCATAGTTTCGTCCTCACATAGCCCCGCGTCTAGACTCAGCAAATGTTTGTTTCTCCACAAATATCCCACTGCCAACAATTCTGCACTCTCTGTGCATTCGACGGGCCATTTCTCCATGCCAATCCGCACCACTAAATTGCGCCTTTTCCGTCCCACACTTGCAATTATTGACATTCTATGTCGCAACAGGCATGTGACGTCGTCACTTCCCACCCGATGACGTCACGGCGCCGTCGTCTATCTAAAATTGGTTCGTTGCGCCACACTAAAGCGGCACAACACAGGCACACACCGAGCAATTTTCAGGCTTGCGTCGAGCCACCCACAATTGACTCAATCTTCAGGCGTCTCTCCGACAATCTCTCGCACACAGGCGCAGCTGTTTTGTGGGAAACGTTCTCGTTTTCCACTTCGGACTGTGCGGAGAATGATGACGTCACGTCTGTGGGTGGCCACATTGCTTTCTCCCTTGCATTCCATTCTCATTTTACAGCCCGGATGACTCACTCGTGTTTTTCCCCATCGCACACAACACTTTTCATCTCTCGCGCCCATCGTGTGTTTTGTTTTCTCCGTTCATCCCAAATACGCGTGAAACAGGGATTTTTCCGTGCGCACTTCTGAATATTTGATAAATCACTTGCCTCAGCATTGAAGGTTATTGACCGTGAGGATGGATATTTAATCGCTTCTTTTCGTACCATTCGCGCTATAACGGATAAGAAGCAAAGGTAAAATGATATCTGCTTGCGGTTCTCGGCGAAAACCACAAATATTGGCAACATGCCATGGAATGATCATTTCAAATCCGATTCCCAGATCTTCGTTTCCTATATAAAAATCAATCCTGCCACGTGAAAACTCTTCACTTTGTAAGGGAAGCATTTCAGGGACTTCTTTACCATTCATTTCTACAAACTGAAGGGCAAATATTCCACGAAATGTGTGACCCAAGGCAATTCACAGAAAAGTCATAGCAGCTTCTCAACCATTTTTGCCTATTGTCTAAGACAAATTGAAGCTTCTTTCGATTGCATTTTCCTCCTGAATTTTAATATAAAATCCAGAAGAAAAATACTGTTTGCTTGAACATGCGATAAGGGCAGTTTGTGACGTCAAAAACCTCTTGTTGTGAACATCAAACCACACTTTTCCAGGCATTTCTCCTCAAAAGTGTACAAACACGCGTGACGAGCCTCATGGATTTCACAATATTTTCTCGCGAGCACAATCTGACGAGTCATCAGCAGTATATTGTCGACACGCGTGGGCGTTGTAAGAATAAAAGCGAGGGTGCATCCATAAAAAAGAAAAGTCTTGGCGCGTCATCCAGCAGCACACAACGCCCGACCCGAGACGGTGGCGAGAGTGGGAACTGCGTGCGCGTCACGCACATGGCCATCCGCCGCCGCCCCCCAAACTTTGCGGGGCCCCACTTGGCGCTCTCTTCCGCATGTCACTCATGCCGCCGCCATTTTGCAGTGTCTCGGATGGCGACTCAGGCCTGCGAGGGGCGCGCACTTGCCGCCCAGCCGCGCGCTCCCGCCACCGTCGCCACCCAGAGTGGCGCTCGCGTCGACGTGTGTGTGCGAGTAAATTTCCCCCACTTACGTCATCAATCTCGATGATATCGTCGTCGGACTCGCAGCAGGCCTCCTTGTTGTTCCGCTCGTCCTCATGGAGCTCGAATTCAAAGAGATCAGCCATGCTATAGTCCTCGTCGAACGGGTCGTACCGGATGGGGATAATTTTGTCCTCCTGGATGCCCTCGGGGGGCCTCACACGAGTATCGCGCGGAGGCGCTGCAAGGATGCCCACGCGGGCGAAGGCGTGCTCCTCACACAGATCCAGCCACTTCTCACACGCACTACAGTCTCTCAGCCTCGCGCTGGCCACTCGCAAAAGCCCACACGGAGCACGTTTTCTCGCTTCCCTCAGAAAGTGGCCTCGTGGCCCTCGAAAGACTTTTCACGTATGCTTTTCACGAACTTGCAGTCGCCCTCGCTCACTGCGAACACTACACACTGACTTGCACTGCTTTCACGGTTGGGTATATTCCTCAGGAGACGATGCACCGCGGATTTTATTACCTTACGCCACGATTTTCAACTCTGAACTGACTCCGACTCGAGATGAAGAAGCAAAACAATCATGACACTTTCGGATTGCCCGATGAAACTGCGCGATCGCGCGCTGAAGCACGAGAGGCGCTCCTGTCTTTAAGAAGAGAAGTGCCATAAATATTCCCGCGTTTCAAATTATAACTGCCAATGCATAACCCTTTCACGACAAATTGCACTCCTTAAATTTTGCTAATATAAAAAGCTGTTTCTTCATTGCAATGTAACTATTTATTTACTATTAACAACCCTGTATAATATGCGCATATCACAGTTGGAGAGAATCGAGGGGAGCTCGCAAGATTTAGCCGGTGAGTCCGCCCAGGAGTCCACCGATGGTGCCGACGACTCCGCCGACAACTCCGCCCACGGTTCCGAGCAGGCCATTGAGGATGTTGGCGATGGCGGTCGGGATGGTGACGCCGAGAGCCACAAGAGCTCCGGTCACGTTCTGCAGGAGAGACTGCAGCTCGGCGCTGATCGGGCCGACCACGGATTGGAGGACGTCGACGATCTGGCCGGCGGCGTCGAGCACCAGAGTCAGGATCTCGCCCACGGAGCTCACGACCTGGATGAGGATGTAGCCCAGGACGGTTCCGAGGATCGTCACGAGCTGACCAACGCCGAGAGCGAGCTGGCTGACGGCAGATTGGATGGCGGTGACCAGTTGATTGACGGTGGTGGTCACGGCGCCGGTCACGGTGCTCACGGCGGTGGACACGGCATCGGTGCCAGCGGGTGCTCCTGAGGAAGAGAGAAGATCAGCGGCGTTCCCAGAATGGGGCGGGAGAGGACTTACCATAGGCGACAGCCGCGACGGCCACGAGGACGGTAAGAGTGGTGAAGAAACGCATGTTGCTTAACTTGGTGGTTGTTGCTGGAACTGATGCCTTCCTCTGGTTTTCCGGCGCTTTTATACGCGATCTTCTCTTCTGGAGCTTCTGCAGAAGCTGCGAAAACAAGAAGGAAGCTCGTGGAAGAGAACAAACCACATGTTTGCTCACGAGGCTGCTCGAAATCCTCGTGCATCTTTCGAGGTGTTTGACGAAATACTCGTGGCGGAACAGATCAGCTTGAAAATTCGGGAAACGAACTGATGTGCAAATATTTTTGGAATTCTCACTGCCTCATGACGACATTTTAAAATACATTTAATCACAAAATTCTCCAGCGCCTATCAATCAATACACTTCACACACTACTTTATGTTAAGAAAATATACGAAACTTGCTCAAATATTATATTGAACTATATTTCTGTGAGATTACCTGATGGTGATTTTGTATTCGTAAAAACATCATTTGATGATTAATTTGTCAACTGTTTCTGGTAGCGGAAAAATTCAATAGATGTGTAACGAATATATGTATTGTGTTGGTGTTGATCAATTTATGACGAATTTTTCTAGCTTTGAAGCAATATTGCCTGGTTGTATCTGCTTCAGCATTTCCCTCATTTTCAACTTGAATCTTTTATATTTGCACATCAGTTCATTTCTCGTAAAAATGTCTGTTTTTCTATTAGGTCTTTCTCAAAAGATGCACGAGGATTTCGTACAGCCTCGTGAGCAAACATATGGTTTGTTCTCTTCCACGAGCTTCCTTCTTGTTGTTGCAGCTTCTGCAGAAGCTCCAGAAGAGAAGATCGCGTATAAAAGCGCCGGAAAACCAGAGGAAGGCATCAGTTCCAGCAACAACCACCAAGTTAAGCAACATGCGTTTCTTCACCACTCTTACCGTCCTCGTGGCCGTCGCGGCTGTCGCCTATGGTAAGTCCTCTCCCGCCCCATTCTGGGAACGCCGCTGATCTTCTCTCTTCGTCAGGAGCACCCGCTGGCACCGATGCCGTGAGCACCGCCGTGAGCACCGTGACCGGCGCCGTGACCACCACCGTCAATCAACTGGTCACCGCCATCCAATCTGCCGTCAGCCAGCTCGCTCTTGGCGTTGGTCAGCTCGTGACGATCCTCGGAACCGTCCTGGGCTACATCCTCATCCAGGTCGTGAGCTCCGTGGGCGAGATCCTGACTCTGGTGCTCGACGCCGCCGGCCAGATCGTCGACGTCCTCCAGTCCGTCGTCGGCCCGATCAGCGCCGAGCTGCAGTCTCTCCTGCAGAACGTGACCGGAGCTCTTGTGGCTCTCGGCGTCACCATCCCGACCGCCATCGCCAACATCCTCAACGGCCTGCTCGGAACCGTGGGCGGAGTCGTCGGCGGAGTCGTCGGCACCATCGGTGGACTCCTGGGCGGACTCACCGGCTAAATCTTGCGAGCTCCCCTCGATTCTCTCCAACTGTGATATGCGCATATTATACAGGGTTGTTAATAGTAAATAAATTGAATGTTGCAATGAAGAACCTCTTTTATAAACATTACCGTCATTTGCGAATGGATTTAGAAAAGGGGGAAAAGACTTGTAAACGATCCAGATTGTACGGACGATCTTGCGGCTGATAAGGTTGGGACCGTAAAGTGCTAAAGTAGAAAAAAAAAAAAATTACGGACAATTCTTTTTGATTATTTCTAAAGAATATACCTAAAATTCTTTTGGTTTCAATGGGTATTTCAAGGAAATCAGACAGTGAAATGTTGTGCCTTTTAATTGTCTGATTAATGTATGAATCATTTATTTTTGTATGTGCAAATGATACATAGGTAATAAAGTTAATACTATATAAATGATGATGCATTTTTATTATTAGTATGTCTGAACTTTGTCTGAACGTGATTCTGTGTCAAACATCATTTACGCAATTTTATCACGAGAAAATGAGTTAAGAATCGTTGAACCTGACGTTGAAAATTAATAAAAAAAAATTAAGGCATGTGATAACGTGAATTTTCCCTCCTGTTTGCTATTCTAATGACCGCAAAATAGCGAGTACACACGCAGAGTTTGTCTCTTTCGCAGAACGCATCGAAATCCAGTCTCAGTCGCGAGTAAACCTTCAAGTGGTGAAGTGTGCTCAAATTGTACAGCATTCGCCAGATGAGACGTGCTGTGTGATTTCAGCGATAACAGTGATAAGAGAGTGTCTCAAGGGAATTTTCTCTTTGTGCTCCACTTGGAATTACACGAGATTTTCACAAAGTGTTCAATATCGTCAGTCGAAATGACTGGTTTTGAGGAGAACGAACCTCTGCTGAATGGAGACGCGCAGAATAAATCATCCTTTTCGGTGAGTTTTCCTTTTACAATCTTACAATCCCAGAATTTTCTGGGATTTTCCGTCTCTTTGCTGTGCTAAAACCGCTAAAACCTTCGGTGGAAAATTGATTGAGAAGTGTTTGGTGCAAATTCCGAGCTATCGAATTTCCCCTTGCGATTTTCTATGGTTTCTCAGCGTCATTCTGTGCAGGAAGAATGCAGAAGAGAATGCTTAATAGACAGCAATAAATTGTGGGATGAAAAGTGACAAGAATCAAATATTTGTCCACCTTTTTCTTATCATGACGAGAGCCCCTCGAAATGTGCCTCACGCACAAGCATTTCAATGATTTAGCAGCTCTAAAGCTCGTCACGTCTCTTCCAGTATCCTGACTTGGAGAGCAATGACCACAGATCCTATGGAGCTGTCAAGATAACTCTTCCGCGGCAGATCCACCGAGATCTAGTGTACACCTGGGAGAGCCTCGATGTCTTCGGCGATGTGGCTTCCCAGAGCAGTGGCGGCGGCGTCTGGTCGCGGTGGAAGCACTGTTTTAGCGGGAAGACGCATCAGCCCATGCGAACGCGCAAGCATCTGCTGAAAAATGTCTCAGGATACGCGCGCGGTGGCGAATTGCTGGCCATCCTGGGCAGCTCCGGCGCCGGGAAGACAACCCTGCTCAACACACTGGCATTTCGCTCTCCGTCCGGCATTCACGTCTCTTCCAGCGCCGTGAGAGCGCTCAATGGCATCCCCGTGACGGCTTCTGAGCTCCGCGCGAGATGCGCTTATGTGCAGCAAGATGATCTCTTCATCGGCTCTCTCACTGCCAGAGAGCACCTGATCTTCCAGGCGATGGTGCGCATGGACAAGAACATTCCCTACAGACAGAAACTCGAGCGCGTGGATGAAGTCATCTCTGAGGTGAGAAGAAGAAAAGCGCTCCCTCTAATCTCTAATCTGATTGTAATTCTTCCAGTTGTCGCTGATAAAGTGCCAAAACACGGTCATTGGCATTCCTGGGAGGATCAAAGGTCTCTCCGGGGGCGAGAAGAAGCGCCTGTCTTTCGCTTCCGAAGCCCTCATGGATCCTCCGCTGTTGCTCTGCGACGAGCCCACCTCCGGCCTGGACTCCTTCATTGCACACAGCGTGATGCAGGTGCTGAAGAATCTCGTGGAGAAGGGTAAAACCGTCATCCTGACCATTCATCAGCCCTCGTCGGAGTTGTTCAGCATGTTCGACAAACTCCTCCTCATGGCGAGCGGAAGAGTGGCATTCTTCGGAACACCGGCTCAAGCAACGCAGTTCTTCGCCAGGTAAAAGTGTTCTCTAAGTCTCCGGAGATTATGCGATGATTCTGGCTCTCTTACAGAATCGGAAGACCCTGTCCGACGAACTACAATCCAGCAGATCACTTCATCCAAGTCCTGGCAATTAGCACATGCAATGAGGAGGAAAGCCGGGAGAACATCAACAAGATCTGCGACGCCTTCAGCCAAGATGAGATTGCTGGAGAGATCAGGAAGACCATCAAGGCGATGAGGAGCAGCGACAGTCACCCTGCGCCCATCGACACTGTGAAGCGATACAGAGCGCCGTGGATGACTCAGATTCGAGCCATTCTCTGGCGCTCCTGGATCAGCATGATGAAAGAGCCTCTCATCATGAAAGTGCGAATCATCCAGACTCTGGTGAGTCACTGAATCTCTCATTCAGCCCTCAATTTGTCAGCGGCAATCCTTCTTGTCTGTTTCAGATGGTGTCCATCCTCATAGGCCTGATCTACTTCCAGCAGAAGTTGAATCAGAATGGCGTGATGAACATCAACGGAGCGATCTTTATGTTCCTCACCAGCATGACATTCCAGAACGTCTTTGCCGTCATTCACGTCTTCTGTGCCGAATTGCCAGTGTTCCTGCGCGAGAGGAGGAGTCATCTCTACCGCACAGACACCTTCTTCCTGGGCAGAACGCTGGCCGAAATGCCCACTTTCATCATCCTGCCCATTCTCTTCACGTGCATCGCCTATCCCATGATCGGCCTGTTGCCGCAATTCGCCAACTTCGCCATCTCCGCCGCCATCATGGCTCTCCTGGCCAACGTGGCCACATCCTTCGGCTACCTCATCTCCAGCATGAGTTCCTCCACGTCCATGGCGCTGTCCATTGGCCCTCCCATCATCATCCCATTCTTGCTCTTCGGCGGTTTCTTCCTCAACTCCGCCTCGGTGCCCATCTACTTCACCTGGCTCTCGTACCTCTCCTGGTTCAAGTACGGCAACGAGGCGATGCTGATCAACCAGTGGGCCAGCGTGCAGCCCGGAGAGATCGTCTGCAACCACGCCAACATCACGTGTCCCACTTCAGGAGCAATCGTCCTGGAAACGCTCAACTTCAGAGAGGTTTGCTTCACTTTACTAATCTCTTCCATTTCCCACAAATTGTGACATTTTTCACCCTTTCAGGAGCACTTTATGTACGACATTCTGGGACTGTTCCTCCTCCTGATCCTGTTTAGACTTCTGGCCTTCCTCACGCTGTGGTGGCGAGCGAGGAGTAGGGAATAAGTCATCAGCAAAGTATTAAACTTGAGAATCTCGAAAGCAATTTATGGGTATTTTTGTGTTCTGTGTCTGTAAATCACTAAATAAGCAAGAGTTGGGTTTTCTATAAATGCAATAAAGATCACTGAATGTTCTACTATCGTACTTGTAATCACATAATTCATCTGTTTATAGGGAGAAACAAAACGCGAGTCTCTTTGTTATCAATGCAAGAATTAGTATGTTTGCCACTGACTTACCTACAATATTGCAAAGTTGATATTTTCATCTCACATTCTGTATGATTTGCAGGAGGATTTTGAAACTCAAGCACACAACGCTGAAAGCTCAGATGTAAAAGACATTTTTCCAGTGGAAAAGACTTTTATTTCATCTTTCTCTCGCACTTGCATACTCTTTCGCACGAAATTAAATTAGTTGTGAATTAGTCGCATTCAATGCCCATGTGAAAATTATTTAAAATTATACATTACACTTATTCGACTCGTATCTCCAAATGTTTCTCTCCCCCAATTCACAATGCTTTCCTTCTTGTGTCCATTAAAGAGTAAAATATTGTCACTGCTTATTATTCTTGGAGAAATTGTGAGATGCCCAATTGAGGGATGTTTTCCATGAATTCGCCAGAGCTTCACTAAACTTTGATCTAAAATGCTCGCGTGCTTCATTTTCCGGTAAATCTAAAACCTAAGAAAAAAACGACAAAGAGCCCAATATTAGTGTGTGAATTCACTTTAGGGTTTGATTGAAAACATTTACCAGTGTTTCTCTTAAATAATTTAAATCCTTCTCTGAAGACAATTCTGGTAGTCCAGTTGAGATCATCATTGCAAATAATGAGAGTATTAAACATCCGTGCTGTCTTAATATAAGAAATGCCTGCAAAGTGAGAGAACACACACAGCGTTAAATCCTCATCCATTCAACAGTGTTTTTTTTTCGCTAACTCACAGTCTCACAAAGATTCTGAAACGTCCTGAACTCATCCGCCTCGCGATCAGTCCGTCCGTTGTTGATAACATAGACAAAGTCATGTGTGAGCACGAAGGGAACTCGCTCTCGCCTGAAGCCGAACTTCTCCTTGAAGTGACCCAGAATGTGGCCAAAGTCAATGTGAAACAGCTGCCCAGTCCTCTTCACCATGATATTGTCCGAGTGGCGATCCGCCACACCCAGAACGTACGTCGCCACGCAGTATCCCGCGCAGCTGTACGTGAATTCCGTGATAGCTCGCTGCAGAGATTCGTCAGTGGTGTTGTGCTCTCTCAGCCACGTCAGCAAGGAGCCCTTCTTGAACGGCGACGTCGCCGAGAACATTCCCTTCACCTTCTGAATGTTGGCAATAGTCTCGGCATTCAGCACCACCTCAATCATCCCCAGGCGCCTCTCCATGCTGATGCAGCTGTAGGGATTCATCCTGAAGTCATACCTACAATTCAGCGAATGGGATTAGCAGCTGAATCTCAGATACACTTTCAGACACACTCTCTCACCCATGACTCTTCCATATCCTGTCCATTATCCTCAGCATCTGGAGCGTGAGCATGTCTTGCCGCAGATCATCACCATTCTTAAAAATCACATAAATATCATCTCCGTGAATGTCCGCATTCTCAAAAACAATCCACAGAGGACGCATTTTAGAGTCCATCACTTTGCACTTGTCCGTTCTGCAATGAGAAAGCCAGGAGATCAGCTGAAAAGCCCTCAAACCGCCCCCCATTCAAAAATCCCCACTCACCTGAGAGCCTTGCACCGAAAACTGGGATTGAGAGGACTGACAACGTTGGAAATCGTATTTGACACATGATTATCGCCAAAGAACTCCTGCAGCAGCGCTCTGCCCTTCTCCCTGTTGCCCTTCTTGGCCAACTCCGAGGCCTCCTTCAGCTTCTCCAGACACTGCATCTGCTTGAGCAACATCGGAATGTGCTCCTGACTCCCCGTGAGATAAGCCTCTAGTATCAAGCCGAAACGTATCTGAACCGATGGCACTTGCATTTCCGATCGCAAATGCCAGAAGAGGAAATGCCCAATGCGCTGATTGCTCAGCGCACGCTCCAGCAGAAACTCCACGAGATCCGAATACATGTACGACTCATGCTTCATCGCCTGCACCAGCTGCAGCAAGTACAGCAGCAGTTCCTCGTCCTTCACGCGTCGCAGGCAATTCACCGCGAATCGCCTCACCGTCTGATCAGCGTACGCGTAGTCCAGCAACTCGAGCGCTCGCTCCACCGACACAGACTTCCACTTCTTCAGCAGACTCGTGATCTCGCAAATCTCATTCTTATCATTCCACTCCACACAAAAGAGCAAACACGGTAATCCCTCCGCCTCATCGTGCAGGCAATCATAACGCTTCGCCCAGATGGCATTCCTCTCCTGCTCGTGCATCTCATGCAACCGATCGTTCTTCAGATACGGCGACAGGATCTCCCTGATCGTGCGCGTGTCCTGTGCGCTGTCTCTGTTCAAATTGTCCTGCTTCGCCAGACGCGACGCGTGCTCCAGAATCTTGTCCTCCGACGGATACATGATCGTGTTGTCTGTGCTGTAGCTGTTGAAGGTGGACAGAAGGGGTGAAAATAGTCAGTTTAGTGAGATTTGTGGGTCAAAAGATTGAAGACTCACTTGGAAAAAGTCATCGTGATCGCCGAGCATTTGTCATTCCTCGGATTGGGCTCCACTGTGCCCAGCGGGTGCAGTAGATCGTCCGACTGCGAGTCCTCAGCGTACGCCCACGCGTACAGCGTGACGGCGCCCGTCTTCAGCTGGTGCTTGTAGTCGAATACTGTGGTGTTGACCCACACGAGTGGATTGATGAACATGTCCCTGTTTATATCCTTTATCCGGCGCGATCGCACGCCGCCACCCTTCGTGCTCTTCGCCGTCTCGTACACCACCATGCACAGTCGCGCCATCCGAGGAATATTGTACACGAAGATGTCGAACGTGAGCGTCTCCTCGAACTCCGCACAGCCCTCGGTGTTGAGAATCCTCTCCATCGTCTGCTTGGGCTCGCACAGGGATTTGCCGCCGTGAAAGAGGCCCACCTGAATGCCCACCTCCACCGTGCGATTCGTGTCGCAGTTGAGATCCTTTATCTGGTTGATTGTGCACTGGAAGCGCTCGTTGATGTCCCACGAGAGGGTGTGCTTTGTCTTTTTGCGCAGTGTCGTCGTCGAATTGTGGTGCTGAAGCGTTGCGCGAGATTTACTGTTCATTCGCTCAAGAGACTCCGGAGTTTGGTAAATGATGTCCTCAAACACTGATAAATTCTTTATGGACTGCGTCACGACAGTTGGAACGCCGTTGCGCGACAGAGTGTCCTGAAAGCAGGGAAAGAAGCGTCGTCAGAGTGCCGATTTATGAGCACAGAAAGCAGGAAACTCACTTGTATATAGAGAAATTGCACGAGCGGATGCTCGCCGAAGAGGAACTCATCTTGTCCGCACACCTTCAGGATGTAGTCGCTCACGCGATCCCTGTTCAGCTGCTTGTTCGTCGTGAGCGCCTTCTTCGTGAGAATGGTGTCGAGAAGCTTGTGTGGCGTCATGTCATATCGCACGCTGAACGTGAAAGACGTCTCCGCTTCCTGATTCTCAAACTTCGCCACGAGCACGAAGTGATCGTTGCGAAAGCGCACTCGCACCGTTTCCGGAATCTCACGAGTGGACGCCAATCGCGGTGGGAATTGATACATCACCTTGTCCGTCCAAGTCATCTTCAGCCGCTTTCTCGACACTTGATCACACAGAAGACTCATTTTGTAGCGAAAGTCATTCAGCTGCAAAGACAGTGAAGAATTCTTTGAGAAATTTTCTTGCGCATTTTCACAAGATTCTCCTGCTCAAATTATTTTGCCAAATGAAACAGCTTAATTTCTATAAGACTGACAGGAAGAAATAAACTCAAGATTTGCAACAAATCTATGCCATGATATTCAAAATGATTTTCCCCTGTGAAAACTGGACGTTTTTCAGCCTTTCTTTGTCCTTGAAGGGTTAAAAAGCACAGCTGGCGACATAACAAACCTCGGGATTCTTCATGGAGAACTCGTGTGGCACTTTTCCTATGAGATAGTTGATGTTCTTGTTGAGAGTGTTGTTGGTGGAGATTTGCTTCTCGGATATCTTCAGGATGCAGAAGTAGGGCTTCACGTCGCAGATCCTCTTCGTCTCGTCCGTGAGCTCGTCCGGCTTCGAGAACTCCGACAGGGCGTACAGCACGTACATGGACTTGTCCCTGAGGTGGCCATAGAAGGGATACTTCTCCGCCTTCTCCCACAATTCCTGCAAACACGAGCGCACGATTAGAGACACCGCTTATCGCAAGGTCACGCAAGGGGATGCAAAGGCCAAGGCCCAGATCCCAGCCCTCGGGCGACAAGCAATTCATCTTGGTGAAAAACAAGTGCAGTGACTAATCGAGGCAGTGACGTCTTCTCAGGGGGCCGAGAAGCGCCCACGGAAACGCACCTCTTTGATGTCTTGCAGTGTGGAATTCCTCAGCGTGATGAGTGGTATGAGGATGCCCGTGGGCATCAGGCATGTCAGCTCAATGGGATCCGTGGAATTTCCGGTGCGCTTCCAGAAATCGTATTCCACGAAAGGCTGCGGTAAGGGCACCATTTTTTCTCGCATACAAAAAATCTGCCTTCGCAAACACACTCAGGCACTCTGGGTCACTTTTCGCACACTTCACGCGTCCATTTTCACACGAATTCAGCACAATTGCACGCACATAATACTGCTTGACACACCACAATCACTTTTCTGGGCTTTTTCGCGGAGATTCTGGCTGAAAATCGGAGAAATTTTACACAAAATTATGCTTATTGTATTTTGGTTCTTGGAAATTGTCACTGCTGGAGGGGAAAAAGCCTGTTTGGCGCTGATTGGCGGAGAGGGGAATTATGGCAGAGGCCTATAAAGGGTGCGAGCGAGCTTGAAGGAATCACGGATTTACGCAAGGATTCACAGAATTTTCAGTCTGCAGAGCATTCGAATTAGGAAGAAATCTTGTACAATTTTAATTGATTTTCAGGAATGTCAATCAATTCTTCAATATTAATCATAATCCTTGTAATTCACACTGTTATGCTTGTCTTTTGGTGCTCTCTTGGATTGCAATAACTGTGATCGTTGTAAATTCAGAGAGATTGAGGTTATGCGCCCATGAGGTGCGAAAGTGCTTTTGTAAACAAAGAGGAAAATCCGTGAAAATGCTGCAAATTGCAAGAAGAATAGTGAGATTTTCACCCAAAAGGTGTCTCAGTTCCAGATCAACATTTCCACGATGTTTAACAAAGTCGCCAAATGCAGGAAGTTTTGCGGCGAAGATTCACACAACTTCTCTCGTCTGCAGTCAGTCTGAGAGGGATTTCCTGATGGCACAGAACAATCCGGACGTTTTTGGTCCGCCCACGTTGACAGAGACTGACGAGGACTTCGAGGAGCCCGGAGACATTGCGGAGCACCAGAGGATTCTGGAGAAGCCGAACAGACATCATCAATTGAGCACGAAGCAGTATGCAGACCTCATAAAGTCGCACATCAAAAACAGAAGGATTAAGGAGGCGATCGATGTCGTGGAGGAGCGGATGATCAAGGAAGACAAGGTGAAGCCAGAGAATTACATTTACAATCTCTTGATTGGCGCCTGCGGACGCCTCGGCTACACGCACAAAGCCTTTCATCTGTACAACCGGATGAAGCAGAGGGACCTCAAAGTCACCGGAGGAACCTACACGGGACTGTTCAACGCCTGCGCCATGTCTCCCTGGCCTGCAGACGGCCTCAAGAGGGCGAATCGCTTGAGGGATTTGATGCTGCAGAAAGGATACGAGCCCAATGTGACAAACTACAACGCCATGATCAAAGCTTACGGGCGCTGCGGAGACATCGTGACGGCCTTTCAGTTGGTGGACGAGATGAGGAACAAGAAGCTGAACGTCGATGTCATCACCATGAACTTCCTCCTTCAGTCGTGCATCACAGACAAGGAGTTGGGCTTCCGCCATGCACTTCTGCTGTGGCACAAGATGCGCAGCAAGAGGCTCATTCCAGACGCTTTCTCCTTCAATCTCCTGCTTCGGTGCGTTCGGGATTGTGGCCTGGGCGACCTGGAAGCCACTGAGGCAGTGATTCAGCAGATTCTGGCGCAATCTATGGCCGCGAAGCAAAAACGTCTGAGCAGTGCAGAGGAGGATGTCGAGAAAGGCACAGAACTCACTACAGAAGCTGACAATGCTGGAACGCCTCCCAATCTGATCTGTCTCAGGCCTCACCTGGGCAGTTTGGTGTCTCTGGGCGAGGTGACAAAGGCACAAGACAGATTGCTTCTGCTCGGCGGAATATCGGGATTTATCGAGGAGATGCGCACCTGCAAAGTCACACCAGACATCAAGACCTTCACGGAACTCATCGAGGTGATTCCCTCGACGGAGACGGCTGAGAAGCTCCTGCTGAGATTCATGAAGCAAGAGAACGTCCTGGCGGACATTGACTTCTTCAACGTCTTGATCAAGAAGCGCAGCATGAGGTTCGATTACGCGGGCGCCAAGGATGTTCTGGGCATGATTCACACTGCCAAACTCCTGCCGGACATCGTGACTTATGGCGTGATGGCGCTGGGATGCAAAACCCAGGCGGAAGCCGAGGAACTGCTGATGGTGATGAAGAAGAACGAGATCCGCCTGAATGCAGCCATTCTAGGGGCGATGCTGAAGCAAGGATGCTCCAAATACAACTTCAGCTACGTAATGTACGTGATGGACTTGTGCGAATGGGAGCAAGTGAAGCCCAACATGCAATTTGTGCGGCATCTTCTGGAGTTCAACCAGAAGTGCAGTCAGTGGAAGAAGCATGGCGTAGGTTGCGGATTTGAAGGAGTATTGCAGGATAATCTCAATTGACTTCTGCTTTCAGAGTCCCCACAAGAGCATAAGATATTTCACCAGGGATTTGAAGCTGTTCCAGAAGAAGTTCGATCAATGGAAGACGACAAATGGGCTGGACAACAAGTCAAATGCGGATATTTTGAGGCAATATCAGGAGCATCCCTATGCGCACTTTAAGACAAATCAGCCAGGAGGGTACGAGGAGGAGAAGAACCCCAAACTGAAGCATGAGAAGAAGCTCTTCCGGGAACTGAAAGAGCTGAGAGTGTAATTTCGGTTATTTCAAATTTTATAGCAACCCAGAGAAATGTCAATAAGAAAATAATCAGAAAACGCGTCGTGTTTTTGTATTCCCGTGCACAGAATCCTTGCAGAGGGGGCGAATATGTCGTGCCAGGTGATAATGCAGGGCGCGGAGGCTAAGCTGTACCTGGGCCAGTACAACGGGCAGAACTGCCTGGTGAAGGAGCGCTTTTCGAAGAAGTACCGACACCCGGAACTCGATGCGCAGCTGACGAAGGAGCGCATCCGGGCGGAGGTGAAGGCAATCGGGAAGTGCGCCAGCATGGGCATCCGCACGCCCAAGATCTACGGACACGATCTGAACGAGCGGAAGATCTACATGGAGTACTTCGAGGAGGCGGAGACCGCCAAGGACTACATCAACGAGCTCCTGGCCTCGCCCGAGCCGTCCGCCGTGGTGGAGCGGAAGCTGGAGGAGCTCGCTGCGAGCATCGGGAAGATCCTGGGCAAGATGCACGGCAACAATCTCATTCACGGAGATCTCACCACATCGAACATGCTGATGGTGCGGCGCGACGATGGCCAGAAGGAGCTGGTGATGATCGACTTCGGACTGTCCAAGGGCAACAACAACAATGAGTCGAAGGGCGTGGATCTGTACGTGCTGGAGAGGGCCCTGCTGAGCACCCACAGCGACGCGCCGAAGCTCTTCCCCATGATCCTGAAGGTGTACAGAGAGGAGAATGCGAAGAGCGCGGAAGCCGCGGTGGCCAAATACGAGGAAGTGCGCGCGCGAGGCAGAAAACGGACGATGGTCGGATGACTGTCCAGAATCCTCATGCAATTATTCTATTAAATTATCTCAGGACAACTTAATTTTCACTGCTTTATTTTGATTCAATCGATTCTGCGAAGGCAGAAATTTGTGTGTAGAATTGGCTTGTTGATAGATTAAAGATGACGATGTGTTATGAAAATTTTCTTCCTCAAAATTGTCGTGAATTTCAGACGATTCCTCAGCACCAATGTTCTCCCCTCAACATGAGTGAAAGAGTGGCGCGGAGAAAATTACTCATTTTCTCCAACTATCAGAAATTCGTGTGAAATTCACAGCTGCAACACAAACAATGCGAGTGATTCTGTGAACCGAGATATCTTTATTATTCTTCCACAAATATTTATAATACATTTTTTTCTTGCTTTTATAGGAATTATGTGTAATGTGTGTGTGTTTTTTTTCTGATTTTTACTCTGTTCCTTCTGGCTAAAGTCAAAAGAATCACAATTTTTCTCAAAAGAAAAAGAACTACAAACAGTTTTTTTGTTTATTATATGCTGCGGAAAGATCTCTTTTCACATTGTATGAAAAATGTCTGTTTTCTCCAATGTTCTCTTACGTGGGGCGCCCAATATCTTTTATTTTCCTCCAATGCTTCTTGACACAAATTTGTATTCTGTCCTTCTTCATTAATTAAAAAAAAAGTGTGTGTTTGTGTAGATCTCAAGATGAACTCCTTGAAAGTAAAATGCAAATTAATGTTATTATGCTCCTCCTTTTTTTCTCTGAATCTCAATCCTTCATTCTCATCAGCCTAAAAAGTTATTTAATATCTCTTCGTCTCTCCATCTTCGTCTTCGTGGTTATCTCCAAAAACTCAAAAAAAAAAAGATTCTCCAAAATGTCGCTTCTTCATAATCAAACTCATCTACAAAGAGTGTTTTCTTTTTTTCTCTATAATTGTAAGTACAATCAAAGGTTATTCACACTTGAGCTCCGCAATCAGTCAAAAACTTTCACGCTAAAACTTCTTCTGTGGATCTCTCATCTGGAATTTTGCTACCCTTTTCAACTCTGCGCTACCCTAAAAATATTTATATGGATTTAGGAACCCCTTAAAATCTACTTTGACACCAATTTCCTCCAATTTTTATAAAAGAAATTAAAAAGAAAAGAACCCATTCGAGAGTGGAGAGCAAGTGTGAATGACCTGAGCTTTTCGTCCTTTGCAATGCGCGCAATTTCCTCAATTTCTATAAGAAGTATAATTACTAATTATTGTAGTAGAAAAACAAGACAAGTAAAATAGTACAAAAACTGAAGATTCTCCCTTCAGAGTGGCTTGTAAAAAAACATTTCCTTCCTTCTTTTTTTTTCTTTTTGAAATCCTATATATTCTAAACTCCACTTTCTTCCATGTTTTATCGCTTAAGTTGAAGTCCTGTGTTTTCTTCATCTCTAAATTCTTCTCCCAAAATCCTAAACGACTAATTTCTCCTCTGTTCACTGCTTTTTTCTCATGCTCTAATTATGTTGTTTCTCCCATTTTATAGTGTGTTTTTCTCTCTTTCTCTCTCTATCAAGACGACGGCGGTGAAGCACCTTTTCGTTATTAAATCTCTCCTTTGACTTCCTTCGCATCATGTTTACATCTTCGCTCAGTTTTACAATTTTTTTCTCAGTGAGTTTCCTCTTTTTTTTCCTATATCAAAAATTTACAAACAGAAAAGTGAAAAATTGGTTTTGTCTCTTTCAAAATCGATGCTAATCGTCTTTATACACACTCATCTATGTACAAAGTATAAATGATCGGTATTTAAATACAAGAGCATCAAATCTTCTCGTTTGTCTTCTTCCTTCGTGTTTTGTTTTACATATTTCTTCTTCTTTTTTTTATTATTTGTTTGTTATATTGGTTAGTCTTCACGCGTTCTTTCTTTTTCAACAAATTTCTTCTGAGATCCCTATATTTCTACCATTTATAATAAATCCAAAAATGAAAACAAAACAACATATTTCCTTCAAGTTTTTTTTTCATCATTACTTTTACTCATGTGTTCATTTATATTTCCATATATTTATTTCATTTTTTTTTATTCATTTTTATCCATATTTAGTATTTTTTCATTTTATTTTTTCAATGAAAGGCGATTGTATCTCAAACAGGTGGAGAACAAACGACGCAAAAAAGATTGTTAAGAGTTTGTCGAGAAACTCTTCATGGATCGATTCCTCCTCGGCCAAATCCAGAGAAAAGTGCGGCGAGAAGGAAGATTCACTGTGACGACTCGTCATCTCAATTTCGTCCACCATTTTGATCACATTCGCGACTAATATGGCCTAGCTTGCCGCAAATATAGCAAGACTTGCCGCCCTCAGGGCAATGACGAGAAATATGTCCGCTCTTGTTGCAATTGTAGCACGACATCGCCTGGCGATTGTCAATCTGTTCGGGACAGTGACGCGCCAAGTGGCCGGTTTTGTTGCAATTGTAGCAAGATGGATCATCAGCAGACTGGCTGCACTCGCGAGCAATATGCCCAGTGCCTGAAAACACACAAGAGAACAGAGCGGTCAAGCGCGCACCATTGCAGCAGCTCCAATTGACTTCTTGCACTCTGACGTCGATTTTCGCACACGCCGCAGCACCGCAAATCGATGTCATTAGGAAAGTTTCAGAATCACTTTTTTGGGACATTTTTCGAATAAAATTGATGGGACTTGATAAAAATCTTCTTCTGCATGTCTTCAGACGCACACGCGGAAATAAACTCACTCGTTTGTGATTTCTCTGTGTGCGAACACAGTGAAAGAAAAGTAGTTAATGTTTTTATATCGCGAGATAAGAGGTTAAAGATTATCGCTGTGATAAAATTTCCGTTGTTCTCCGAATTCGCGTACGTATATATAAAAAAAAAACTCCGGAAAATAGCCTTATTTCATTAAAATCTATATGAAAAGTAAAAAAAAACCTAAAAATCCTTAAATATCATCAAGCAATTTTATAATAGTTTCGTCAATTGTTTAATAGAAATTTACTACAAAATTAGGACTTTTATTTAAATTGATTTCGATTGTTTTATTGTCAGCAAATTCTCTCTATTGTTGAGTCAACAGCAGAAAATAACCGGCAAAATTCTACGAACTGTTGACTCTCGCTCTGATTATGAATTCCCAACACAACAATTTGCCCAAGGCCTATTTGCCTTGTTTCCACTGTAGTCAAACTTCACTGTTATTCCCATGAATGGACTTTCTCAGCGGATAATCCCCCAATGGAGCACTCTTTGGGGAGGGGAAAATGCAAATACGACTCCCGCAGATGGCTGGGGGCGCTTCGAGTGTACCCCGGATGCGGCGGCAAAGTGCTGCGGCGCGAGAGAGGCTAATTGGAAAGCGGCACGAAAATCGGCAAAATGGCGCTTGTCAGCCACACTGTCACGCTCTCCGCACTTTGCCGGCTTTCGTGCGCCGCGGCTGAAACACAAGGGGGCGCGCGCGCCTGGTGGCGTGGACTCACCGTTGCAGCGGTAACACCTATCGGCGTCCTCCTTGCACTCCCTGGCGAAGTGGCCCGATTGGTTGCACTTGTAGCACTTCTCGCGGTTGCGGCCATAGGTGCTGCCCATCTTGTCGCGCGCCCCTCCGACGCCAGACGTGCACTCGCGGGCGAAGTGCCCCGGACGGTTGCACTTGTAACACGTGGTCGACGACATCCTTCAACGCTCACTTCTACTCTGTAAGAGAAAGGGCGGCCGTGAGTGCGGGGGCGCTGCGGCGGCTCTCGAGGGCGGCACATATTGGCACGAGAAGAAGGCACGCTCGCGCCTCGCTTTCTCCATCGATTTTCTCCTCTGCAACGCCAAATCTCTAAACATCGTGGACTGAAAATCCATCGGGCTTTCACGCGATGCGCCGCACTTTTCACCATCGAATGGCGAAGAGCGCGTGTGAGGCGCGCTTTTCGGGACTGCGAATGTGGCAAAGATGTTGAACGGGCGATTTGGGTCGGGAAAGTGCGCGAGAAGAAAAAACGCGATGGAGGGCATTTCGTGGCAAATCTCGCAGTTGAGCGCTTATAAATGGGGCGAAATAGCGACAGAGCGACCGGAAAACGATTTTCCAACACATTGCATACTTACGCTCAATGTGAGAAAATATCGAGGCGAAAATCGCTCTCATTTTGGTCGAAACCACCACCATTTTTATAACCCACGTGTAAATTTTCAGCAGTGCGCTTCGCAAACATTTTTTACTTTATTTCAGCCAGCGCGATCAAGAGAAATGGGGGACAGACTTTTCCTGCTTTTTACCAATTACCTGACGGCCCAACAGCTTCCGAAACACTCTTACACCACAGCTCACCAATTTGCCCTGAGCAGTACACAATTTGTGTGGCTTTTCTGTTCACAGCGGTAAATTTTCTCACTACCTTTTTTCGGCGTTTGAGAAAATGCCTCGCGGATTGGCAAATGCTGAGCGAGAGAGAGAGATGGCTTGCCCGATGCACCCCGAATATCCCGGCGCACCGGGGGAAATTGTACCAGAACTGCGCGATGCCGCTCGATTTTGCCGCAGTCGCCGCACCAAATCAGCCTACGCACGCCAGTATTTTGCCTCAGATCGTCGTCAAAAATAAAAATATGAATTTTACGTGCATTTGCGAGTGAAATCAATGCTTTCTATGCACTTTTATGCCAATTCCCGCACCGCAATGACCCTGAAGTGGGACATTTTAGTACAACTCGGCAAACCCGATTTGACGAGTCCACGCTTCTCGGGCAATACTTCAGGCATCACCTAATACGCGTATGGGGAAATATCATATACTCTTTCCATCTATGCTATGTTTTATCCCCAAGCAATTGGAATAAAATCAATTTGAGCCTTTTGTGCAAACATTAAGAAATCGTTGAATTCTCATAATAGGGAAAGTCATATCAATGCAGATAATTTCATAGCAGGATCACGTTAAAATGTAGAATCAGTAATTCAATTGGTAATTGGAGGCAAATTATCAGGCACACTTAAGGTTAACTTACGGAAGTTACAGATTTTTTTAATTAAATTATGGAATTCTCTAAATGTCGTTTTTTTCTTTAAATTTAGAATTGTATATTTAAGGTCCGTTCTTGTGTATCATCACCAATGAAACCGCCTTCCTATTTAATGCTTTCATCCTTTCCCCATACAAAAATACGAGTAAAGAAGACATACGGAGAAAAAGTATGCGAATGAACATAAACTTTATAATCAATTTGAACGAACATTTTTCCAGGCATGAATAAAAAATTAATTACAAATTAGAAGATTGTAGTTGATAAACAATTCTAGAATGGCTTGAAATCTCATATTTTTGAACTGCTTGTGTGTGAACTCCACAACCGGGTTGGCAAATTTCCCAAGTGCTGCCAGACGGGAGAAAACGTCAGTTCCCGTACCACCCGCTGCAGCGTGCGCATCGCAGCAGCCATTTGTCTTTTGTTCTCTCTTCACCTTCACTATTCGTTTTTCATTTACGGGAAGTGATGGATTAGACCACACATTCTCTAGCAAAAAAATCATAAAAAACCTAAAAAAAATATAAAAAAATACATAAAAACCCAAAAAAATTGCAAAACTCTAAAAATCATAAAATTTTGTGTTAATTTAAGAACAGTTTTATAAGGGGAATCACAGCTAAAAGGCAACCTAAGTGAATCCGACATTTTTCCAAACAGCAGCGCGAGTGATTTCACCATCGTCGAGAAGCAGCGTGACACACTTTCTGTTTTCCTACGACACAGGTGAGTGCGAGCAAATTGGGGCGCTCCGGCGGCTATCTCACTCTGAGGCTCTCTTGCAGACGCACGGAACTGGTGGCAGCCCCAAAATGGCATCTCTCTACGTCGGCGACTTGCATCAGGACATTACCGAGGCGATGCTCTTCGAGAAGTTCTCCACGGCGGGGCCCGTGATGTCCATCCGCGTGTGCCGCGACATGATGACGCGCCGCTCCCTGGGGTACGCCTATGTGAACTTCCAGCAGCCCGCAGACGGTGAGTCACGCGCCATGCCCGCTTTTCGCCCGATTTTGACCACGTGTGGCCGCCATTTTGGCCTTTCTCCCGAATTCTCTGCGCCACTCACGCACACACGCGCCTGCGGCGCTCACGGACGCGCAGCTGGGCGTCAGTGTGCTCTGCCCATAGCCGGGCACATGCTTCTGGGATGAGAATCCGCCCGCCGGGAAAAAAGCCACGTTGCAGAGAGCCAAATTGAGGCATTTTTCGCGTGGAAATTTTTCGGTGGAACAAATTCAGGCGAACAACGAAAAGGGGTTTCTAAGATTTTCCTTTCGATGACACACGTTGCATAACGCGCATAACGTTTGTGATAAGTGCCTGCAATCTGAGGTTTTATCACTCATTAGAATGTATCCCGTTGGAAACAGAGATAATTGATAAGCAAGAGTCTGCAGAAAACTTTACAATCGATTAAACCCCTTCACGATTAGTATTTCTGTGAAACACTCTTGAATTTGTGATTGAGAAAGTGAAATATTTTTAATCATAATTGAATAAGAAATTTGCTATTGATTAGAACTCTTTGAATTTAGGATCAGAGCAATAATGCGATGAGTTCCTTCCATCGCAAATGCCTAGAATTCTTGAAATCTCTTTCCGTCATGTGGGATTTAAACTGAGTCTTCGTGAAAGAATTGCTGTAATTCTGCGGAATTCATTGCAAAACACAAATTGTTCATCGTCTTATCACCATGTCCATGACTTAACATCGCAATGGAGCTTTCCAAAAAGCATGCTATCGTGACCTGAATTGATCTCTAAATTCCCATTTCGCTTCTCTTGCAGCCGAACGTGCTCTGGATACGATGAACTTTGATTTGCTGAAGAGCCGCCCGATTCGCATAATGTGGTCGCAGCGCGATCCGTCACTGAGGAAGTCCGGAGTTGGGAATGTGTTCATCAAGAATCTGGATAAGAGCATTGATAACAAGGCCATGTACGACACATTCTCGGCGTTCGGCAACATCCTGAGCTGCAAGGTGGCGCAGGACGAGAAGGGCTCCTCAAAGGGCTACGGCTTTGTTCACTTTGAGACTGAGGAGTCGGCCAACACGTCGATCGACAAGGTGAACGGCATGTTGCTGAACGGCAAGAAGGTCTTCGTGGGACGATTCATTCCGCGCAAGGAGCGCGAGAAGGAGCTCGGCGAGAAGGCGAAACTCTACACGAACGTGTATGTGAAGAACTTTGGTGATGAACTCAGCGATGAGACGCTGAAGACGATGTTTGAGAAATACGGTGGCATCACGAGTCACAAGGTGAGCTTTTTCCTCCGATCTTTATAGCAATTTTTGTGCCGTTTGCTTTGCGCTTTGGCGCGGATTGTGTGTGTGAATGCCTAATGAATTTGGGCAAAGAGAAAGTTTTTGACTGCGCGCTGAAGCTGAGAAAGAGGGTTCAATGGAATTTCTTCATGTCCAAAAATGTGAATGAGAATTTTTTCTATATGGAGGGAAAATTACTGGGAGGGAATTTTGTGCTCTGCTGATAAAATAATTCCATGAATTTGTTATCGCGAACAGTGCGAGAAAGAGGGAATGGAGAGAGTGTTGTATTGGAACTAAGAGTGACTTTGTTGGGACATTTTGCAGGTGATGATGAAGGACGACGGCAAGTCACGTGGCTTTGGCTTCGTGGCCTTCGATAACGCCGAGGCGGCGGAAGCAGCAGTGTCGGCGCTGAACGGGAAGGAGCTCACGGATGGGAAGACGTTGTACGTGGGCAGAGCACAGAAGAAGGCCGAGCGCCAGATGGAGTTGAAGCGTCGCTTTGAGCAGATCAAGAACGAGCGACTGAGTCGCAGCCAAGGCGTGAACTTGTACGTGAAGAATCTCGACGACACGATCGATGATGAGATCCTGAGAAAGGAGTTCACGCAATTCGGCACCATCACGTCTGCCAAGGTGATGATGGAGGACGGGCGCTCGAAGGGCTTCGGGTTTGTGTGCTTCTCAGCGCCGGATGAGGCTACGCGCGCCGTGACGGAGATGAACGGGCGTATCGTGGGAACGAAGCCACTGTACGTGGCACTGGCTCAGCGCAAGGAGGACCGCAAGGCTCACTTGGCGTCGCAGTACATGCAGAGGATGGCGAACATGAGGATGCAGCAGATGGGGCAGTTATACCAGCCCAGCGGCGCCGCCGGGTACTTTGTGCCCTCGATTCCGCCCACGCAGCGCTTCTACGGACCACAGATGACGCAGCTGCGCACCACGCCACGCTGGGCCACGCAGCCGACCATCCGCCAGTCGGGCGCCGTGCAGAACACCAACTCCACGGCCGTGGCGGTGGGTGTGCCCGCGGCGGGCTACCCGAACCTGTCGTCTGGCGGCGGAGCCACGCAGTACCGCCCCGGTGGCGGTGCGGGCGTCAGGTCGGCGCAGCAGTCGGGACAGGGTGGCCAGGGTGGTCAGACGTCGCTGCGCAATGTCGCGCGTCCGATCACGGGACAACAGAACGCGGCTGGAGCCATCCAGGGACGCCAGATCTCGGCACCGGTGGCGAATGCGGGGCGCACGCAAAACTACAAGTACACGACCAATATGCGCAATCCGCAGCAGCAGCTGGTGTCCCTGGGCGCGGCGCAGCCCGTGCAGCAGGCGGTGCATGTGAAGGGACAGGAGCCACTGACCGCCTCCATGTTGGCGTCGGCACCGCCCGCGGAGCAGAAACAGATGCTGGGCGAGCGCCTGTTCCCGCTCATCGAGAGCATGTATCCGCAGATGGCGGGCAAGATCACGGGCATGCTGCTGGAGATCGACAACTCCGAGCTGCTGCACATGCTGGAGCACAGCGAGTCGCTGAAGGCGAAGGTCGAGGAGGCCGTGGCGGTCCTGCAGGCGCACCAGGCCAAGCAGCAGGTGGTGACTTCGGGCAAGATGGAGTAGAAGGGGAGTGGAGGCGATTCGACGTTACACTTTGGGCAAAAGAAGAGGTTCCATGTGAGTTTTTCTTCAAGTATTCTTCGTTCCTCTGATGATGGCAACAGCAAATCTCGTGAATTTTAGGTGGCGGTTTAATATTTTCACAATTTCATTCGAGCGATTTATGATTTCTATCATTTCTATTTTCTCCCATATGTCTCTTTATTAATTTGAATTTCGAGCAAGACAGAGAAACTACTGAATTATCCACTTTTTAATTGTATCCCTGAAGAGAAAGAAATAAACATTTTAAGTTGAATTCGAGTTGACACGATGAGTTCTTTATTTTCTTCCACAGACACTTAGTTATAACACAATATTTTTATACAATAAAAGAACCTGTATCGAAGAATCAAGGAATAAAATACAATAAATAGAGACGAGAAGTATTTTCAGTCACAGATTTGAGAGGGAAGATCTTCGGCTCTTTGGTTGATTCTTCAACATTTTGCGCTTGTTTCGCGAGAAAAGGTAGATTTCGCCAGTGGCGTAGTTGCTAAGGAAAGTGTGTGTTTTTAAAGGGAATTAAGGCCTTTTAAATCTAGCGAATCTAGGAAGATTTCCAGAACGAGAAGTTCTTAGTCTATTTGAAGGGAAACTGGCGAAATCCTTGTACTTTAGGGACTGTACAGTTCAACAGACGAGCTTGGAAATGTCTGCGGAGGCCGAAGGAGGAGTGAAAGATGCGGCTTTTATCCACAGAAGTATTTTATTCGCCTGCCCACTGACTCTAGTCGATGTTGAGGGACGACATCCGCCTCTCCACGGTGATCTCAATGTCCTGAAAGAGCTCACCCACCCAGGCGATGGTGATGCAGTAGTGCTGGAAGAGCTGCACTAGCAGCTCGCCCTCGTCCAGCATCTCGATGCGCTCTATCCGCTGGCGCTCGGCGTTGGGCAGGCTCTGGTACACCTGCACCATGTCCCAGGCACGCGCGCCGTGCCAGCCGCAGTCCAGGAAGCGCGCCACTTGTGTCTCCAGCGACGTGCAGGCTTCCACGCCGGCCAGATTGCAGCCACGCGCGCGCAGGTTGCCCAGCATCACGTCCCCGAAGCGGTCGTTCATGTTCACCTGCTCGTAGTTGACGAAGACGCTGGTGGGGAACTGCCCGGACAGCCACTTGAGCAGGTTGGCGCAGTTCGCGGACTCGATGTAGACTAGAACGCACTCGGCGAGGAAGATTGTGGGGATGCTGTAGTCGATCTCGGCCTGGTTCAGCTTGCTGTGCAGCTCGTCGATGTTCCGCAGGTCCACGCCCATGATGTGGTAGTTACTGGCGTGCAGATCCGTGGAACTCAGGCGCACCTCGCCGTCCTCGGCGGCGTGGATCTTCTCCAGGAGGCGCTTGTTGCGCTTGATGGCGTAGCACTTCTTCGCCGTGACCGTGGGGAAGTCCAGCTCGATGAAGTTGGCTACCTGATGGCCGGACTCCCGAAGGCGCCAGTACAGCGTGTCGAAACCGCAGCCCAGGTTCACGATCTGACACGCACTGCCTTGGCTCCTCTGCAGGAACTTCTCAATCACAATCTCCACGCCCCGCACGCGCGCGAAGTAGCCGCGGTTGATCTCGGGCGCCTTGCGCTCCTGGGAGCTCTTCACGAAGTAGCCCAGGTACTCGTCCTGCCAGTAGCCCAGACGCACGGCGCTCCTCTTGCACTCGCTGGCGTCGTCATTTGTCGCGATGACCGCCTCGTCGCAGGGATGCGAGCACTGGGGCTTCATCGCGGAGCCCCGCCGCTGTGAGTTCCCCGGGAATGCCGCCAATTTGCTGGATTTGCACACTCCTTTTTGCGTTTCACCTCTGTTTTTCTCACCTTGTCCCTGTCGCACGCACACTAGCGCAATCAGATGATTCCGGCTGGCCCAGATGGCGCGCGACCCCGGCCCTCGAGCGGGCAGAAGCGCAAACTCTCGCCGCTCACGTAGAAGCACGCGACCCCTGGTAGCTCAACACGCCAATCGGTGGTAGTTTCTTGACATCTCTCCGCAAGAAAGGAGAGACAAAATATTTTCGTTTTGTGTTTTTCCACTTTATTTAGCTCTATTTTCGGGAAGTGCGCGGTGAAAATTGCCCGAAAAGGTGGGCAGATGTTTGTTTCATCTCTTTCCATTGCAAACTACTGATTTCCTCTGTTCTCCTACCATTTTTTGCCTTGTGCATTCCGTGGGCTTCGTCGTGAGGACACTCCCGGACTCCAGACTTGCACGCTTTCCCAGTGCTGGTGGGAAAATGATGGAACCCGAGGGCGACAGCGTGAGCATCAAGTCATCAGACTCCGTGACCACGAGTGGAGAGTACGAGATTGTTCCCGAGGGAATGCTGTCAGCCTTGAGATCTCCCGGAGCAGCCCAGACTCCTGGTCAAGTCGCCTCCTCGCCCACACTCAACATCGCCAACAACGGCGACTTGCAGGACCTCGAGAAGAATCTCACAGAAGTCATCCACGAGTTGGAGGACAAGCAGCAGAAGACAGACGCTCCGCCCGAAGGTAAACAAACTCCTTATCGCTGAAAATGTGTCACACTGGATCGATTGACAGTGGTTTTTTAGTACTCGGTCTGATGGACTGTTTCAATATCGTTGCAGCTGTACGCGGACCGAGGCCCTCCATCTCCAAGGGGGGCGCCGAGCCCGTGGCCCCGACTCTGCCCTCGCCCGAGGTGAACAAAGTGGGCCAATCGATTTTCTACGACTGTCTCGATTTGAGTCCAACGGCCGAAAACCAGGACGACATGAAGCCCGAACAGAACGACACGGAGGAAGATAGTGAGTCACATGTTTTCCCAGCTTAATCTCGGGGACCCTCACACTGCCAATAGCATTGATTTTGAGTCATAAAAGTGACGCTCCGCTACTGCAGAAATTGACTTATCTGCAGAGATAGAAAAAATAAGCAAATCGTTCAATATTTAGGGGAAAAAGCGCTGACCAATGAAGCTGTGAAGCATGATAATCGAATTGTTCATGGTTTGAGGTTGTTTATCTTGTGGTTTATTTGGGTTTTGCCTCTTTATCGTTCTATTCTGTGACAACTTGAATTATTCTTACATTTGAATCATTTTCGCTCCTTTGACAAACAATGGAACTCTGAGAGCTAAAGAGTTACGAAGGACTTTGTTAAGAAGCCGTTGATAAAATATAAATCATTTCTCTCTGTATTCAATAATATTGTACCTAAATATTCAGCAAAACGGTAGACATGAGCTTTTTTCGCTATTTAATATCCATATAAATGATATATTATGAACACAAAGAGTCATAAAATCTTATCTATCAATTCTGAACCAAATTTGAAAATATTTTCAAGGCTTTAAGATGATTATTTGCACATGTTGTATTAATTTGTACAAAATAATCGTCACATTTTTTGTGTACTCTTCTAATTCGAGCGTTTCGGAACCTCTTTTGCAGTGTCGGAAATCGACCAAGATTGCACGATCTTCTCAGGTGTGACCTATTTGGGCGCGGCGAACATCAACGCCCCGAAATCCGAGACGGAGATCCATCGCAACATGTCAGAGCTGAACAACATCTCTAACAGTGTGGGCCTCAAGGTGTCCGTCAGCATTCCCACGTGCTCCGAGGGCCTCGTGGTGCTGCACGACGCCACGACGAACGCCATCGTCGCTCACTACGAGGTGCACCGCATCCTCTTCTACGCCCGCGGGCCGGCGACCACCCACGACCAGGCGTGCTTCGCCTTCACGTGGTCTCACGGCGACTCGCAGGAGTCTGCGGTGTTTCAGTGCCACGTCTTTCGCTGCCACATTCCCGAGGCCGTGAATCAGGTCAGCTCGTGCTTCGCCAAGGCGTTCGAGCGCTTCCCGGCCAGCCTTACGGGCAGCGTGACATCCGCCGTGGACAGCAGCGCCATGGTGGGGTCCGTGGTGAGCGACTTGTCCGCCAACGTCCTGAATGCGGCCGAGTATGAGTTCGTGGTGTCGCTGGAGATTCGCGAGAAGATGAGCAAGAACACGTACAGCGTGCCGCGCGACAGGAGTGGCTTCAAGTTGCGCTGCAATACGAACAAGGAGGTGCACATCACGGTGAAGCAGACCCTGAGCGAGGCTCTGCCCACGCTGACGATCGAGAGGTGCTTCGGTGTGCTGCTGGCGCCGGGAAAGCTCGTGCGCCAGGCGGACATGCAGCTGCTGGACATGGTGTCGATGGAATACGCGCGCACGGAAAACGCGCCCGCCTTGGCCGTGCCGTCGTATCAAATCACGGCGGAGTGGAAGGCCACGGACAAGGCGTTCGAGCAGCTGAATCTCGAGAGGCAGTCGATGGAGATCACGGTGGCGGTGGACTTGGTCATCAAGGGCATCCAGGAGCCTGTGAGATTCGTCATTGAGACGCCAGTGACGATCCAGCCGCAGAGTGAGTTGAGATTCATCGAGAATTGGCTCAACAAGAAATCCAATCTCGTCATGCGATACTATTTACAGCTGAAGAAGGTGAGTTAGATTGGAATTTGGGAGTTGGAAGTGCAGAAATAACTTTGATCTATTGCAGAACGGCGAAGGAATGTGGGTCGTGGCTTCAGTGGATCGCTCTGAGGAGATCGCCGAAACGAATACTCAGCCGTCGATTCTGCGCTTCAGCATCAACAATCTCTCGAAGATGGTGCGTTCCACAAGTGCCGTGTCGTTCGAACAAGAGGACAGTCCAACGGATTACAGCTCTGACGGCGACGAGCCGCTGCTGAGCGGCACTGGTGAAGTGTCGAAGGAGTGCTCGAAGGATCTGCTGGACGAGTGGAAGCCCATCTTGCAGGAGTACGAGAGGCCGGGCAGCAAGAGACCGAAGATGCTGGCGCCACTCGTTAGGATTGGCATTCCGGAGGCGCTGCGCGGAACGCTATGGCAGAAGCTGGCCAAGGTGGAGAATTCCACGGAGCTGACAGAGAAATATCGACTCCTGATCACGATGGAGACGAAGTGCGAGACAGTGATTCAGCGGGACATTCACAGGACTTTTCCGGCGCACAGATTTTTCCGGGAATCGGGTGGATTTGGCCAGGATGCGCTATACAAAGTGTCTAAGGCGTACGCGGTGTACGACTCTGAGGTGGGCTATTGCCAGGGATTGAGCTTCATCGCGGCCAGCTTGTTGCTGCACATGCCCGAAGAGGAGGCATTCTGTGTCCTCGTGGCGCTGATGTATGATTATGGCCTACGGGATCTGTACAAGCACGGCTTCGAGAGTCTCTACCTGAGGCTCTACCAGCTGAATCGACTGCTGAAGGATCAGCTGCCGCGTCTGTACGAGCACTTTGCCCAGATCGGCGTAGAGACGCACATGTTTGCCAGCCAGTGGTTTCTCACGCTCTTCACGGCGCGCTTCCCGCTCTACTTCGTCTACCACATTCTCGACGTATTCCTCCTGGACGGCATGCCGATCCTCTTCCAGGTGGCGATGACGCTGCTGTCGGTGTACGAGCAGGAGCTCCGGCAGCTGGACTTCGAGGGCGTCCTCAAGTACTTCCGCGTGACATTGCCGAAGAAGTGCCGCAATGAGAATCAGGCCAAGAAGCTGATGAAAATGGCGTGCGAGCGGAAGGTGAAGCGCCTCAAGCACTACGAGGAGGAGTTTGTGGCCCAGCGGGAGCTGACGGAGCGCGAGGAGGCGGAGACGCGTCAGTACGAGATGCGCTTCCACGATGAACGCAAGAAGCTGCAGAGTGAGATTGTGCAGATGCAGGAGAAGATCACGCAACTCACGGAGCAGGCGAAGGTGAATTCGGGCATTGTGCTGGACTACAAGCAGATCATTCAGCGCCAGGAGCAGCAGATTACGCGCCTGAGCGATCAGCTGGAGGACATGACGCGCGAGATGGCGAATTGTGTGGTGTGTTCGGGTCAGATGGCGGCGCCGCAGCCCAATTCGCCCATCCGGAAGGTGCTGGGTGTGACTGGGAAGGCACCCGAGATGCCGCTGGGACCGCTAGATCCACTGAATGTCGCCCTCCAGAGGATACGAGAGCTGGAACTAGAGCTGGCGCAAGCGAAGTTGGCACAGGTTGAGGCGGAGTGCAAGAATCAGGATCTGAAGCATCAGCTGAACACGACTCTGACGGAGATCCAGACGAACCGCAGCAGCTGGCAGCCGTGGCTTTCGAAGACGCTGAATTCCATCCAAGAGAAGGTTTCGACGCGCAGCAATTTGCCAACATTTCAATCCTACACTAGTCCAGACGCAGTTCAGCCGGTAAAAACTGCCTTCTCTTGATACACTTGAGGGTTTTTCGTGCAACCACGCTAATTTCCTTGTCGTTCTGCAGGTGAAGCCACGCGAGGGTGCATCGAATTTGAAGGCAACTCAGCGCAGCAGCTTGAGGAAGAGTGTGGAATTGTCGCCAAAGCATTCATCGGCAGAGCCCAAAACTGCGGAAGGAGCAGTGAGTTGCGATGTGAAATAACAGCGAGATTCTTCCATGACGAGGAGCGTGTCGTTCTCGTGATTTCTGGCGATTTGTGCCAGACCAAAGATTGGTCACGAGACGTTGTGCAGTATTTTTCTGTTAATCCTCTGCAATTTTTAGGCAAACTATTAATGCATGCAAGAGAATCAGCTTCACAGATGGAAGGTGGTGATGCTTTCCATGGCGCTTTCGAGGGTGTTTTGTGATAGAATTCGGGAGGAGAAGACGATTGAGGCCAAGAAGAAAGGATACCATGATATTTTAGAATGAGAAACACACTGAAATGATATAAAAAAAAATGATAATTTTTGTACCGCACTCGTAGTTACAATGCTAGTGAAGATACTGTAGATCTGCGCTTAGTGATTTATTTCCCGTAGAACTTGTTCTGTCGTCTTGAATAATCACATTTTTCCTACACAAAGTAACTTAACAAGAGAAATCATATGCATTTATGTACCATATTGGAGGAATATGATAATATTTAAAGATGATATTCCAATTTTTATGCCATAATGTAATCGTACATTTAGAATTTATCAACTTAAATATACACTGATGGAATTAAGATCAATTTTTGTCACTTCATCGTTACTGGGCGCGTTGTATCTTTCTAAGAGAAATTATTTTTTTACTTCGGCAAGAACCGCAACATGCTGAAGATCATTTTTCAGCAAAGACTTCAGAGAACTTGTCAGAGGATCAAAATTGGATACAAGTAAAGATATCAAGAGAAACATGGTAAGAAACACAAATTTCGGGGCAATTCCTTTCGTTCTAATTGGAATTCTCAGACAAAAAAGACTTTCTTCATTGCAATTTTCAATTTATTTACTATTAAAAGAAACCCTGTATTATACGCGCATATCACAATTGGAGATGATTGAGAGGAGCTGGAGAGATTTAGCCGGTGAGTCCGCCCAGGAGTCCACCGATGGTGCCGACGACTCCGCCCAGGAGTCCGCCCACGGTTCCGAGCAGGCCGTTGAGGATGTTGGCGATGGCGGTCGGGATGGTGACGCCGACAGCCACAAGAGCGGCGGTCAGATTCTGGATGAGAGACTGGAGCTCGGCGCTGATCGGGCCGACGACGGATTGGAGGACGTCGACGATCTGGCCGGCGGCGTCGAGCACCAGAGTCAGGATCTCGCCCACGGAGCTCACGACCTGGATGAGGACGTAGCCCAGGACAGTGGACAGGATGAAGATGAGCTGACCAACGCCAATAGCGAGCTGGGCGACGGCGGATTGGACGGCGGTGACCAGTTGATTGACGGTGGTGGTCACGGCGCCGGTCACGGTGCTCACGGCGGTGCTCACGGCATCGGTGCCAGCGGGTGCTCCTGAGGAAGAGAGAAGATCAGCGGCGTTCCCAGAATGGGACGGGAGAGGACTTACCATAGGCGACAGCCGCGACGGCCACGAGGACGGTAAGAGTGGTGAAGAAACGCATGTTGCTTAACTTGTTGGTTGTTGCTGGAACTGATGCCTTCCTCTGGTTTTCCGGCGCTTTTATACGCGATCTTCTCTTCTGGAGCTTCTGGTGCGATGAGTCAAGAAGAAGGAAACTCGTGGATGAGAACAAACCGCCTGTTTGCTCACGGGGCTTCTCGAAGCTCTCGTGCATCTTTTGAGCTGTTTGACGAGCAGCTCGTGGCGAAACAGATCAGCTTGAAAATTCGGGAAACGAACTGATGTGCAAATATTTTTGGAATTCTCACTGCCTCATGACGACATTTCTGAAACACATGCTTCGGCATGTTCAGTCACGAGATTCTCCAGCGTCTTCATTAATCGATTCAGTCTACCGTCTTATTGCGAAGAAATTGTGTATGTTTAATGAAACTTGCTTAAATATTTTACTGAACTATATTTCTGCTGGATTGTTTGGTTGTACTTCTATGTTCGAGAGATAAATATCACTTGAATGATCAATTCAAAAGATCTTTCTGATGGCGGAAGAATTCAATAAATAGGTTGTGAGTATTTGTGTTGATCAACTTATGACGAATTTTCTTCTAGCGAGAACACTTCGAAGCGTGCTTTCAGTTGTAACATTTTCGTCATTTTCCCCCTCTCGAACTTGTCTTTAAAAATATTTGCACATCAGTTCGTTTCCCGAATTTTCAAGCTGATCTGTTTCGCCACGAGCTTCACGCCGAAAATGTCTAGAGTTACACGAGAACACCGAGAAGCCCCGTGAGCAAACAGGCGGTTTGTTCTCATACACGAGTTTCCTGCTTCTTGACTCATCACACCAGAAGCTCCAGAAGAGAAGATCGCGTATAAAAGCGCCGGAGAACCAGAGGAAGGCATCAGTTCCAGCAACAACCAACAAGTTAAGCAACATGCGTTTCTTCACCACTCTTACCGTCCTCGTGGCCGTCGCGGCTGTCGCCTATGGTAAGTCCTCTCCCGTCCCAGTCTGCGGACTCCGCTAATATTCTGCCTTCCTCAGGAGCACCCGCTGGCACCGATGCCGTGAGCACCGCCGTGAGCACCGTGACCGGCGCCGTGACCACCACCGTCAATCAACTGGTCACCGCCGTCCAATCCGCCGTCGCCCAGCTCGCTATTGGCGTGGGTCAGCTCATCTTCATCCTGTCCACCGTCCTGGGCTACGTCCTCATCCAGGTCGTGAGCTCCGTGGGCGAGATCCTGACTCTGGTGCTCGACGCCGCTGGCCAGATCGTCGACGTCCTCCAGTCCGTCGTCGGCCCGATCAGCGCCGAGCTGCAGTCTCTCATCCAGAATCTGACCGCCGCTCTTGTGGCTGTCGGCGTCACCATCCCGACCGCCATCGCCAACATCCTCAACGGCCTGCTCGGAACCGTGGGCGGACTCCTGGGCGGAGTCGTCGGCACCATCGGTGGACTCCTGGGCGGACTCACCGGCTAAATCTCTCCAGCTCCTCTCAATCATCTCCAATTGTGATATGCGCGTATAATACAGGGTTTTTTTAATAGTAAATAAATTGAAAATTGCAATGAAGAAAACCTTTCGATCTTATTAGGATCCGTTTGCTTTCTCGACAGTTTTTTCATCTGATGAGAAAGTAAATGTCTCATCATTACCGAATTCCATCTGCTCAGACGTCTCATGTTCCGTCTGCATTGAAATTGGATTTTGGAGATGAAATGGCTGAGGCACGGGAGCCGATGCCATGGGAAATCTTGGTGCAAGGGACTGGCTTTTTTCTCTTTACACCCTATCTTTTCTCGGCATTAAGGATCCAAAAATGCCACTGTGTAGTAGAAGCAATTGGTTTTTGTAATTCGTTGAAGGTTTACTACAAATCCTTGGTACGTAAAATTTCATTTCAATTTTTGATCAGATTTCCACTCTAAAAAAGAAATTAAAAATAAAAGCATCTTATTATTATTACAAAAATTTCATATGAAGTCTAAGAAAGACAAATACACTTACTTTTTAGACAACGCCTACAATATCGCAAATGTTGTGCGGAGGCCAAGGCTAGTTTTGATGTTGTTCTTCAGAATATAATAACGATATCTAAAAATGTTAGTAAAACTGTATGAATAGCAAAAATGATGCACAAAAGATCGCTAAAAGAACGAATGCAATAAAAAACGAATACACTAGACACTGAACCAATTCGCAATTGGAAAATTGCATCGGACGTTTTACATGTTTTCTGTCGACCCAGACTGGGCAGAACTTTGTGAAAAATTGCAGAGTGCGTAGCGAAAAATGCTCATCTGATCGTATTTTCTGTAGGCGCTTGCAGCTCATGCTCTACAGTAAAAGCGAAGAAAGACCTAAGGATGATCTCGCGGTTTACCGCTAAAAAATATGTGTAAGAATAACGTAGAACCTCAAGACTATCCCTAAGTCTGTCTTCGCTCTTAGAGCGAAGACTGAGCAAAATTAATCAAAAGAGTACCTTTTTTTCAGCTGAATAAAGACAAAATATCGTTTTAACGTGTATGAAGAAAAAGTATTCTCAAAAGTTCCTTAGATATAGAAAAAAGCTTTGAAAAAAGCAACAAAATTGCTTTTTCGTTAGCAAGATATTTACTATCGTGAGCATCATGTGCTCAGAAAAGGCGTATTTTCTTTGACTAGCGCACGAACATTTTTTTTAACAACAAAAGGTGGCTTAAGATGTTTAAGATGCTTTGAATATTTTGCATAGTTGTAGAAAATTTGAATTACTTTCATTTGAAACGAACTTGGAGGAAATCGGTGAAAAATTAGGCGAGATATGAGCAGAAACTATGCAAAAGGTTGGAAAATAGGCTCAATGGGGAGAATCTGAAGTTCTCGAAAGTCAAAATAGGTATCTTTGAAAAGAATTTTGACGATTTTGCCCAAAGAACTTTAGAAGTGGTTTCACTGTGGAAGCAAAATGACAAAAATATGTTTCCATTGTTATAAGGAAATTAGGGATTAATAATTTGATGACGAAAATACTTTCTTCATTGCAATTTTCAATTTATTTACTATTAAAAAAACCCTGTATTATACGCGCATATCACAATTGAAGATGATTGAGAGGAGCTCGCAAGATTTAGCCGGTGAGTCCGCCCAGCAGTCCACCGATGGTGCCGACGACTCCGCCCAGGAGTCCGCCCACGGTTCCGAGCAGGCCGTTGAGGATGTTGGCGATGGCGGTCGGAATGGTGACGCCGAGAGCCACAAGAGCTCCGGTCACGTTCTGCAGGAGAGACTGCAGCTCCTCGCTGATCGGGCCGACGACGGATTGGAGGACATCGATGATCTGGCCAGCGGCGTCGAGCACCAGAGTCACGATCTCGCCCAGAGAGCTCACCACCTGGATGAGGACGTAGCCCAGTACGGTTCCGAGGATCGTCACGAGCTGACCCACGCCAATAGCGAGCTGGGCGACGGCGGATTGGATGGCGGTGACGAGCTGATTGACGGTGGTGGTCAGAGCGCCGGTCACGGTGCTCACGGCAGTGGACACGGCATCGGTGTCAACGGGTGATCCTGAGGAAGAGAGAAGATCAGCGGCGTTCCCAGACTGGGACGGGAAAGGACTTACCATAGGCGACAGCCGCGACGGCCACGAGGACGGTAAGAGTGGTGAAGAAACGCATGTTGCTCAACTTGCTGATTGCTGCTGGAACTGATGCCTTCCTCTGGTTTTCCGGCGCTTTTATACGCGATCTTCTCTTCTGGAGCTTCTGGTGCGATGAGTCAAGAAGAAGGAAACTCGTGGATGAGAACAAACCGCCTGTTTGCTCACGGGGCTTCTCGGTGTTCTCGTGTAACTCTAGACATTTTCGGCGGGAAGCTCGTGGCGAAACAGATCAGCTTGAAAATTCGGGAAACGAACTGATGTGCAAATATTTTTAAAGACAAGTTCGAGAGGGGGAAAATGACGAAAATGTTACAACTGAAAGCACGCTTCGAAGTGTTCTCGCTAGAAGAAAATTCGTCATAAGTTGATCAACACAAATACTCACAACCTATTTATTGAATTCTTCCGCCATCAGAAAGATCTTTCGAATTGATCATTCAAGTGATATTTATCTCTCGAACATAGAAGTACAACCAAACAATCCAGTAGAAATATAGTTCAGTAAAATATTTAAGCAAGTTTCATTAAACATACACAATTTCTTCGCAATAAGGCGGTAGAGTGAATCGATTAATGAAGACGCTGGAGAATCTCGTGACTGAACATGCCGAAGCATGTGTTTCAGAAATGTCGTCATGAGGCAGTGAGAATTCCAAAAATATTTGCACATCAGTTCGTTTCCCGAATTTTCAAGCTGATCTGTTTCGCCACGAGCTGCTCGTCAAACAGCTCAAAAGATGCACGAGAGCTTCGAGAAGCCCCGTGAGCAAACAGGCGGTTTGTTCTCATCCACGAGTTTCCTTCTTCTTGACTCATCGCACCAGAAGCTCCAGAAGAGAAGATCGCGTATAAAAGCGCCGGAAAACTAGAGGAAGGCATCAGTTCCAGCAGCAATCAGCAAGTTGAGCAACATGCGTTTCTTCACCACTCTTACCGTCCTCGTGGCCGTCGCGGCTGTCGCCTATGGTAAGTCCTCTCCCGTCCCAGTCTGGGAACGCCGCTGATCTTCTCTCTTCCTCAGGATCACCCGTTGACACCGATGCCGTGTCCACCGCCGTGAGCACCGTGACCGGCGCTCTGACCACCACCGTCAATCAACTGGTCACCGCCATCCAATCCGCCGTCAGCCAGCTCGCTCTTGGCGTTGGTCAGCTCGTGACGATCCTCGGAACCGTACTGGGCTACGTCCTCATCCAGGTGGTGAGCTCTCTGGGCGAGATCGTGACTCTGGTGCTCGACGCCGCTGGCCAGATCATCGATGTCCTCCAATCCGTCGTCGGCCCGATCAGCGAGGAGCTGCAGTCTCTCCTGCAGAACGTGACCGCCGCTCTTGTGGCTCTTGGCGTCACCATCCCGACCGCCATCGCCAACATCCTCAACGGCCTGCTCGGAACCGTGGGCGGACTCCTGGGCGGAGTCGTCGGCACCATCGGTGGACTCCTGGGCGGACTCACCGGCTAAATCTTGCGAGCTCCTCTCAATCATCTCCAATTGTGATATGCGCGTATAATACAGGGTTTTTTAATAGTGAATAAATTGAAAATTGCAATGAAAGAAACATTTTTTTACCGTTTATGAATTCTGCCTCTCCCCTTGTCTCTAAAGTTCCCTAATCTCCTAAAAAAGGGCACATTTTTGTGAAGACGAGATTTTTGCAATCCAACGGTGAAACATTTTTATTCGCTTTCTTCTAGTGCTATTGAGTTCTCATTTTAAAGGAAGGTAATAACTTAATGCGAATAGGTCCTGGCCGTCCTGGCATAGGTGTATAAACTCGTGTAAACCATGGAGATCACTTTTATAAAAAATTTAGTGTCCCTGGATTTTAAATTGTAACGGCAGCTAAACTCAACGAATCTCTCATTGGGATTCGTTGAGTTTAAGTGAGGTTAAATTGGAAGCAAAACACGAGCAGAACCCTTTGAAAATTCCGTGAATTGAGTGAGAAAATGCTGAAAACTGTGAGAGAAATCAGCCGGTATGCACCGCAGCACAATGTCCTCGCCACTGGCTTCCTCAGAGGTAAAGTAATAACTGCGAAATTGAGGCCATTTCCTCTGATTGCCGAGTGTTTTTTTTTGCAGAATTTCCTTCCAGGACAGTTTTCCATTGCCGGTCACTCTACGCGGGCTCAACTCTGGGCGTGGATAACTTTAAGACGGTGCGAGAGAAGATTCGATCACAATTCTCGAGCATGACAGACAGATTCCGGGAGAAAATGATTGAGTTCTCGAGCGATTCTTCCACCAACATGATTTTCACCGAGGATCTGAAGAACATGATTCATCTGGCCAAAAACACTCCTGAGGACATGGACTTAGTGAAGAAGATGCTGACGAAATTCAATAGGCAGAACAAGGAGTTGCAATTCGGCAACTATGTGTTTGGCCCGGTGGTCATGCGGATGTTCTACAGCATGGGAAACATCGATGTGCCTCTGGAGTTGATCCGCAATCCGGACTTCAAGGGATTCTTCGATCAAGTGGTGACCCAGCAGATCATGATGGACATGCTGTACGAGAAGGGAGAGTATCAGCAGGTGCTGGACTTGTACACAAATTGCAGTAAGAACGAGAGTCTGCGCGGTCATCGGCACTTGGTGGTCCTCGTGATGGCCTCATGTTACAAGCTCAACACTCCGGACGCCCTCAAGTACGCCATGGATCTCTGGTCGGATCTGCAGAAGACAGGCAAGGAGCCCATGAGGAAGGCGGCGACATTCATCGCCACCTTGGCGCTGAACCAGAAGCAACCCGGAGTGGCTCTCGAGATCATCAGCACCGTGCGCCAGCAGTCTTACATGACGGTGCGGAACATCAAGGTCCTGAGCCTGGCGCAAGTGCATCGCTACGAGGAAGTTATCGTGAGCCTGAAGGGACTCATTGAGGTGCAAATGACGGGATTCACCATGAAGCAGTCCATCAGCAAGGAAATTCTCGATCAAATCCAGGATATTGTGGCTCAGTCGAATAGCAAGGAACTCCTGGCCGACATTCAGCGAGTCATCAAGTTCCTCAACGAACACGGCCATGTGACTGAGAAGACTCTCGATGAATTACTGTGCACAGAAGTCACCGTGACGAATGTGAATTCGACACGTCCGGAGCGAAGTGTTCTTGCGGGCAGCTTTAGATCATCACCTCGCGAGCGACAAGGAGGCTTCACTCCGAGATTTTCGCGTCCAGGCCTTTCAGACATAAACTGAATACTGTTAAGATTCCCAGCATGGTCAGGAAGCCAATAAAGAGTAGTCAAGAGTCTTTTCGTCTTCCACTTTCTTCTCCATTACTTATTACAATGAATTATAAATCATTTCACGATGAGTTACAGAGAAATTCTTATCTAAACGCCTATTCTCACTTTTGAATTGAATGTCTGAAGAAATGACGGAAATGCTAATGTGTAAAAAAAAGGTGTGTAATTTGAGATTTAGAGTTCACTCTTCTTCGCATTGCCGCTCCTGTCGAAGCCATCGAGCTCATCTGTGGCGTGCTTGGCAATGTACTTCACAAAGTCCTCCAGCTCGCGTCCGCCCTCGTACTTCACAGGCTTCGACTTGTTGTCCTTCGGCACCCAGAACAGCGTCGGGAAGCCGCGCACCTCGAACTGCGGCGGCACGTCGTTCGCCGTGGCGTCCACCTTCACGATACTCACTCCCGATTCAGCCTTCAGCTTTTCGCCCAGCTCGTCGAACACCGGCGCCAGCTTCTTGCAGTGGCCGCACCAGGGCGCGTAGAACTCAATCAGCACGTCCTTGTCCACATCTGTGACCAGCTCCTTGAAGTTCTTCGCCACGGCCACCTTCACGGGCCCGTCATTCTTCTCCGGCACCGCCTCGGACTTGATGTACGGCTCCAGATCGCCGGCCAGCAGATCAGCGGCGAACTTCTGCAGATTCTCCACCGAGAACTCATCCTTCATGATGAACTTCTGGTTGTCCTGGTTGCGCGCCAGCACCAGAGGCTTGTCGCCCACGTAATCGTACCCGTACTCGTTCAGCTCGTGCTGGAACTCATCCTTGGCGCTGATGGCGAAGCCCAGCTTGCCCTTGAACTCCTTGGCCACCTTCAGCACGCGGTTGCGCCAGTAGTTCGTGCCCTTGGCGTTCTTCACGTAGTCCACGTTGTAGTACGCCACGACCAGCGGATTCTGGAACTCCGAAACGGAGTCGCGCGTGCGGAGGCCAACCAAGCCATGCCTGGAGAGGAAGAGCGCCATTAGTTGCGGCACAAACGGCTTTTTATCGCATCTCACTAATCTAATCTCATTAAAAAGCTTCAGTGAAGGTGAAATCACACGTTTAGGTCAGATTATCGCTAGGGAATGCAGGAATGCAGTGGATGGATTCAGACACCAGTGCCACTTCGGCGGCCTAACAAAATTCGAGTGTTCCGACGATTTGTTCAGTTTTTTTTTAGAGCTTTTCACGCTTAATCTGTAATAAATCTGATTCTATGGCAAATGGAACAAATCAATGGCAAGTAAATCCTTGCTATAGACAGAATTATTGCAAAAATAATACTTTGGTGGCGCTTAAAATAAAGCAATAAACTCTTGTGCTCTTGACTGTAAACAGAAATAAGGTCATAGAATTTGTATCAAATAAAGAAAAAACAATCCCATAGCAGGAGAAATTTAGATATTCCACCCAGAACAAAGGCTGAAACATGTTGAATTCTTTGAATTGATAGAATAGTATTAGGAATAATATGGTAATAATTTATGTCGTCTCAAAGTTCTTCGACCCTGAACTTGATTTCACTTGATGACCTTCGCGTGAAAGACGCTTAGCAACTTTGTCTCACCATTTCTTCTAAACTAGAGGATATACTAATCTGAACTCCATGAACAACACCCTCATTTCAGCCTTCCAAGCTGAAACTTTCAGCGCTTTTGATTACGTTTTCCACAACACAATGGAAGCTTTTGCAGAAAGCTTGGAAAAATACTCACAGATTTTGCCGGACAAACTGTGTCAGCTCGCCAACGTCGCTGCCGTCGAACTTGAGGAAGTTTTCCTCGAACTTATTGTGGAGATTTGAGGCACGGAAGAGAAGCACAGCGTCTGTCTGGTCGTGCTTGGCCAGAACTTCGGCGGCGCTTGAGTGGGCGAAGCGGAGTTTCTCACGCATCTTGTCGGCATACTTGAGGAACACGCCCTTCAGGTCGCTCTCCTTTTTGAAGAAACCCACCACCGCGGGCTCGGACACGGCCAGGAAGGCCTCCAGAGCCTCCACAGTCAGAAGATCCTTCGACGAGGGACCCACTTGAGCGCGCATGTACTTCACAATGCCGGCAGCCTCGCGGGGTCCATTGTACTCCTGTGATACCTCACCATTGCGGAAGATCTTCAGTGTGGGGTAGCCCTGCACGGAGAACTTGCCGCAAGTCTCCTTGCCGGCCTCCGTGCAGTCGATTTTCGCCAGAGCGATCGGAGGATCATCGTCACGGAGCAACTCTGCGGCTTTGGCGTATTCCGGCTTCAGTCTCTTGCAGTGGCCACACCTGCGGACAGTCTCTGGTCAGTATCCGGGGAAGGGGCGCTTGCGGAAAATTCTTCCATACTCACCAGGGGGCATAAAACATCACCAGTGTGGTCTCGACTTCGGCGACTCTCGTCGAGAAGTCATCATCGGACAGTTCCAGCACGTCCGCCTCGCTAGCCAGCGCGCATCCGAGGATGGCGGCCAGGACTACAGTAGCCAATTGTGTCCGGAAATGCATTTCTTACTAATCACTGCGCTCTTCCCGGATTCCAGAGGACTAAAGCTTGTAAGACAGAAGACGTGGCCGGCACCTATTCGTGGTCTTCTCTGATTGGTTGGCGATTTTTATAGCAATCCCGTGACAATGGCGGCGCTGCGGTCACAAAGGGTGGGCGTCTCAGAGATCCTCCGATAGAGGCGCGCCCACCAGAAGCCGGGGACAAGTGAGGTTAGAAAACATGTAAACAATCGTGTTCGCCTGCATGAAAAAAGTCAAATTGGGAGATTCTGCAAGGATTTTCTTTCAAATTACACGTCACATTGCATAATGGAGAACTTTGGCGTGAGTAGACATTGGAAATTGGGATAAAGACCATACTGATGTGGTGGAATTTCTCTCAGAATCGCTTCATGGAAATCCTAAGCTACCCAGTCCGGGAACGCTGTCAGGAACTGTGTGTGCTGATTGACCACTGCAGCATTAAGGAGCTGCAGGAGGTCTTCCCAACGCTTGTGCACTCGATCTTCAACTCCAACGGTGGGATTGGCTGGGGCTTGAGATCCGTGGTGGCCAACACTTATGAGTTCAGCATCCTTTATGACTTCTTCGTGCCTTTGGGGCCCATGTTCAGGCTCTGCTACAAATTGCTGAATGACGCCCTTAAATTCGACGTGCCTATCTCGACGCTGCCGCTGAAGATGCGTCAGATGCTGGAGAGCGGACGTTATCCACTCTTCTACTCAGACATTGTCAATGTGGATCACTTCAGTCGCCAAGTGACTTCGGTTTCCTTCAGTGAGTATCTTCAGGGAACTGCTTGGGCATACTTCTCTCTCTCTCTTCTTGCAGATGCTTTTGGCTTCTACATGCTACACTTTGCCCTCCATGGCCTGATCCCAATGCATAAAATCTGCCCGGCAGCGCAGAGAGTGCACACGGAGAATTGGAAGTCTGTGTTCTTCTTCCTCACAGCGGATTATCTGTGCACTTTCCTACCCAAGGATCCCAACGAGCCCGTTCTGCCGCAGAACATTTCTGGGAATATCAAAGTGGCACAAACCATCCAGATAAGTCCGGTGAAACCCACGCGATCGCCGGTTTATCTGAAGCTCTCCGCCCTCACGCGCCAGACTCCGAATCCAATAACCGTCTCCCGAGGAGTTGAGCCCTCTTCCTGGACGCACGCCTGGCGCACTGAGACCGTGTTGTACATCTTCACCGACGCCTGGCTGCGATTCAGTGTGGAGGACAGCAGAGATTTGCCCAGCAGCGAGTTCATCCGCTTGATCAGGATCTTCGTGAAGCAAGGACACCTTTTCGCCAATTCTGCAGACATTGACAACACTTCGGTGTCGCAGCTGAGAAAACTGGCCCAAGCGATGATGAACGCTCAGATGAACGCCTTCCTGACGGGCATAATCTCCCGATGGCCTCTCGATTGCTCCTTCATGGTGGTCCTGGAGCTCTGGCTGAGCTACATTCAGCCCTGGCGATACGTTTTTGGCCGCGAGGTGAAGGACGCGAGCGATTTTGGAGGCGCTCTGCTGCGATTCGAGTCCTTCATACAGGAGAATCTCTGCGAGTACACTCAGATCTTTATACAATTGCTTCCGCGATTCGAGTGTCTGGACTTGACGTCGCTGAAGAACGTTCTCATGATCTTTCGACTGGTGAAGGTGTTCAGCCAGCCGAATCTTGTGGATGTTCTCTCGCGACTGGAGAGATCGATGATCTCCAATGCCAACGGATTTATGCCACAGCGATATTCGCCCACGCAATACTCGCCGAATAAGAGTGCCAACACTCTCCTGGACACTAGCTACATGTTCATGTTCCACGCCGTCGTCAGGGACAAGATTCAGCTGCTCCTGCGGAAGATCAAAGTGGCCGAAGTGGCGGCCAGAGAGCAAAACAGACTCGCTGAGTTGAAGTCTCGTGAGGAGACGTTCGCCAGTGTGTGGCAGAAGATCAAAAACTTCTTCACCGAAGGCGAAGATTACTTTGAAAATGCATTGAAACAGGACAAACAGAGAATCCCAGAAATTTTGCAGCTCACCGCTCAACTGATGGCGGATGCCTTTGAGCTGGAGCTGCCTGAGATCGTGCTTCCGGAGAGTGTAGGACAAGAGTACTCAAATACTGCACCGGAAGCCTTCACTTCCCTCCACAATGACTCTTCGCAGGGCTTTTCGTCACTCTTGAGCACCTCTAGAAGTAGAATTGTGGACTATCGCGGCGATCCAGACTTGATGCCGATTCAGAGCAATGAAATCACGTCTCTTGCGAGATTTCTCTACCAAGTGTCCTGCAAATTGAACATCATGGTGAGTGGGGAGATGATTTTTTGTGGCATTTTTCCGATTTTGTGTGTTTTCTTGCAGTTTGGAAGCGATTTCCAGAGGATTTGGCAGCGGAATGACATCTGGGGTGTGCTGCTGAGGCCTCTGCTGGCGCCCCCGATGGTGGCGGAGTACATCGACAAGTCCTCAGGCAGGGCAGTGTTCAGGGAAAAGTACTTGGGTCCACGCGTCAGATTGCGATCGCTGGCGTCCTACAAGACATTCTTCCTGATTGCGCTGGCAATGTTCTGTGGGAAGTTCTTCTTCAATTCCATCCTGGCCGGCGTGTTCCTGCTCATGATTTTCGTCCTGGTAATTTCATCCGTGGTGAGACATTTTGGTCAAGAGGAATTTCCTGAAAACTCTCGCAATTTATTGAATTAGATTTTTCGAAAAGTAATCTTTATCTTTTTGTCTGGCACTGTGATCAATTGGAGGATCGGAATAACGTGGCCAGAATGATCATCCAAGTGGAATTTGAGTAGGATTTGCCGCAGGAGTTCGCACATCTGTTTCATGGCGATCCTCTGGCCGATGCAAGATCTCGCGCCCAGAGCGAAGGGCAGAGAAGCTTGACGTTTGTGTTCAGTGGAGTCTTGAGAGCGTATCCAGCGCTTTGGGTTGAATTTCTGGGGCTCGTGGAAGTTCCTGGGATCGCGTGAAGATGTGAAGAGCGAGACGATGGCCATAATTTCGCGGTCAATGCGATAATTGCCCAGAATTGTTCCATTTCCGCCGACAATTCGGCCCACAAATGGTGCGACTGGGAAGAGCCGAAGAGTTTCTCTAACAGTGGCCTTCAAGGCGGGAATCTCGTCGGCAGCGAGAGATTCTCTGCCCTCAATCTCTCTGCGAAGACTTTCCTGCTCGTCAGTGTGTTTCGCCAGCATGTGAAGACACCACAAAGTGGAGAAAGACGTTGTGTCTCCGGCTGCGATGATCAAGTCCACCATGATCCTCTCGATGTAATCCCTTGGAATCTCTCTGGTCATCATCTCTGCCAAGATCCCATCGTGCAAATCTCTGTTGTTCAGGAACTTTGTGATAATATCTCCGCCGATTGACAGGGTTTCAGTCACCGAATCCTCGAATTCCCGCCAAGATCGCGTGCCAAAGAATTTACAGATTTGCGCAGGCGCAATAAAAAGCCTCGCCGAAGTTTGGAATATGCGATGAAGGACTCTGGAGAGTCTCTCGAGGGATTCCTCAATCTCTGGCCGCAGCTGCTGGTAAGATGAACCCACCATGAGATTTGTGATCGCTGAAAGCATACATTATGAATGACTTCGAGCACTTTGCATTATTCATGCTTCGCTTACTCTCAAGCGACCATCTGTAGAGGTCAGATTCGAGGCTCTCAATGGGCTTCCCAGTCTCCTCTGACCTCCACTTGCCAACCAAGCGCTCCGCTGAGTCTCTGATGGGATTGCTGAATGCCGCAAAGTCTCTGGTCAGCAAGAGAGAATTCATGATCTTCCTGTGATGAAGCCACTCTTCACCGTCCATGAACAGCAATCCTCTCTTATTCTCGTGCTTCCGCTGGTACAGCTTCCAAACATCGGGAATCACGTGGCGAGGGTACTTTCCTTCGTGCAGGAAAATCTCTCGGATCAGTTCAGGATCGCTGATGAACAAACAGTCAAGAGAACCGATGCGTTCTCTGAAGATCGCGCCCAGATCTTCGTGCCTTTTCTCGATATATTCATGAAATCTACAGAAAAGCTCATTTGACTATCAATTTTTCCATGCAAGTCAATTATCAAGAGATTTACTTGGGCGCTGATCCCGCTTTCATGATATCCAGCGTTGTCCCAATGAAAGGAAGTCCTTTGGCTGCTGGAATATCACTGAAATCCAAAATCTTTTTGCCATTTGTGGCAAAACTGCACATTTTCCTCACAAAACCAAAAGAGCTAAGCCGAAACATTTCCCCTTAAGTGAATTTAGTGCTGATCGCGCGAGAGTGTCGAAGAAAACTGATGATCGCTTGAGACTTGATCGTCGAAGAATGTGAAAAGGAATGAGAGAAGATAAAACTTGATATCTCCAAAAAGTCAAACAAGGTTTATTTGACAAGATAAATACACTTTATGCCTTTACCTTCGCTCTTTTCCCTACGGACGTCAATTTGCCGTCTTGAGTGAAACTCACAGCATCCAGAGTGTCTTCTAGGTGTTTTCTCTTCTTGGCCAGAACCGCCTCCTTTTGGCTGATGACTTCTGGCACAGCCACATCCACACCAGTGCCTGCGTTCAGGTAGAGAGGAATGGACAGAGGCTCATCTTTCGCGGGTTTCACATAGATGCTCTTGATATTCTCCCAACCGCCGGGAAGCTGTGTCTTCAGTTGCTCCACCAGCGCCACGATATTGTCCGTGATCGCCTCTTTAGACATCGAGTGCTTTCCCACGTCGATGGACATCACATTCCCAGCGTTGCTTTGCCGGTAAATTGTGAATCGCAGGGCTTTCGCCACGGACTCTTCCAAATCCTCACAGTCCATCTTCAGAGCAATTGGCAGCTTCTTGCGCTTCAGGAAGTGCTTCCCAACGAGAGGCATGACACGATTGTAGATGCGGGAATCCGCCAGGAAGACGTCGAAGCTCTGCGCCAGCTTCAGCTTTGCCTCATAAGGTCCGTATTCCTTCTTCAGCTCGTTGATTGGAATCACTCTGTTGATCCTCGACACGCCGGCCACTCTCAACACCTCCTCAAAGTGCTCCTTTGTGGGCTCATAGTCAATCTTCGTGCCTCGCCTGAGATCCTTCACAAACAGACACACCTCGTCAGTGTCATTGATCAGGCTGTGCGGCAGGAGCACTTTGCTCAGCTTCCCATCTCCTTTGGGGATCTTGAACACGCCCACCTGGAGACTGTACTTGAAATCCACATCCAGCATGGACTTTTTGCTCTTCTGCTTCTCCTGGAGGCACTTTTGCATCCCCTCAACAGCCTTCAGGATGGTTTCACGCGCCACGAGAACTTCGTCACTCGCGTCCTCCTTGCTTTCCTTCTTGCCTCTCTTTCTCTCAGTCATCCTGCATGAAGAATCTCAGCTCAAGTCTCAAGCCCAACACCTATCATGTAAAATACTCACTTTTACCCGTGGAAAATGGAGAAAATCTTGAAAAACCTCTTGATAAACTCCTTGTTGTTTACTGCACACACGTGCTCTCCCGGTGACATTCGTCAAGTTTTTATAGCAAAATGGTTCTTCGTCAAGTGACGTCACGGCGTTTGACATTTGATTGTTTTGTTTGTGAAAATTGATGAAAATTGTATAAAAAGTGATTTTTCCGCCACTCTCAATGGCCCTGTATGACGATTTGGATACAAAGCAGCGCGCTGACCAGATCGACGGTTGGTCCTCGGGGATAAAACTCCTCCAGTCGCAGCTGGCGGTAAAGAAAGCCGCCGTGGGAGTGTGCCACATTCCGCGGAAAGCCACCACGCTAGCCCCCGTGATTGACCTGAAAGCCAAGAAGGACGGTCCCGATGACATCTTCAAGCCGCAGAGTGAGGTGCTTCGGTTGCAACCGCCACAGGTGAAGAACACACCCAGGAGCACATTTGTCCCGGCTTCTGTGTCGTCTCTGCCGGAGCCCCCAGTAAGAGAGTCCACGGTGACTGAGGACGCGGACTGGAGTGTGGTGGATGAGTATGATCCCATGTGGCCGAATGACTATGAGAAGCTGGTGAAGGAGAAGCGCGACAAGGAGCGCGAGAAGGCTCGCGAGCGGGAAGAGCGGAAGCGCGAGGAGAGAAACACAAAGCGACGTGTGGCTGGTGTTCCGAGGATTGGCGAGGAGGGATCGCCGCCGGTGAAGTACATGGGCTTCGGCGGAAGACCAGCCGGACACTCTGACGATGAGGAGTACAGCAAATCCCCACCGGCTGCAGGAAGAGCGTCCATGGGAGCTGCCATTGCTCCGCCGCCGTCTCTGCAGGAGAACAGCACAGTTGTGTCGGACAAGTGAGCAGAGTGCGCGGGAGCGCAGTGAGTCCAGAGATTAATCTCTTGTCTATTTGCAGATTGGGTCTGGCGAATGTCGGCGGCTACGGAACGAGCAGTGTGGCGGCGAAGATTATGGCGAAGTATGGCTTCAAGGATGGCCAGGGCTTGGGAAAGCAGGAGCAGGGTATGGCAGTGGCTCTGCAGGTGGAGAAGACGTCAAAGCGAGGCGGCAGAATCATCCACGAGAAGGAATTCATGCCGCCGCCGTCGGTTCCCAGTCCGCCGCCTCAGAGTGCAGAGCCCAGCATCACAGAGATCATGAAGTCGCCCAGCAAAGTCGTCTTGCTGCGCAATATGGTGGGCCCAGGCGACGTGGACTCCGAACTGGAGCCCGAAGTCAAGGATGAGTGCAACACGAAGTACGGCGACGTGGTCATGGTGGTGATTCACGAGGTTCCGGACACAAATCCCGAGGAGGCGGTGCGAATATTCGTGGAGTTCAAGCGTATTGAGAGTGCCATCAAAGCCGTGGTGGATCTGAATGGGCGCTTCTTCGGCGGCCGACAAGTCAAGGCGGGATTCTATGACTTCGAGAAGTTCCAGAATCTCCAACTTCTAGGCTAAGACACTTGTATTTTCATGGTAAGTTAAATTCTTTATTCTCCTCTATCGCATGAAAATTGAACAAGACATGTAGAATAAATAACTTTTATCATAACTCTCTTCCTCTGTCTCTAAATGTACAAATAAATGAATCAGGAGAGCATGGAATCCCGAAGCGACTTGCATTGAAAAGGTGGCACAGACTTGAGATGCTGGTGGAAAAGTAAAAGCTCACGTGCACTATAAAGTGTGTTTCTCTCTCTCTCTTCTCCTGGTGGAATATGCTTTCACAAAAACGCTAAACTATCACCCTAAATTCATGGAGAAATTGTTTATCCGAAAAGAAAAACAAACATCACAACAGTTAATAAGAAAAAAAGTCTTTGGCCATGGCGGCAAAAAGTGCACTAAATCGCAGGGAATTCAGGTGGGATTGGCGAACAATGCCCACCATCGCCCTACGGCGTCGTCTGCTGCAGTGTCCGGAAGCAGGAACGACAGACGGGCACGGGATTCCCGCTGTGGTGACCCGCCAGCGGCACAGTTCGCACGATGCAGCGCGAGCAGAAGACTTCGCCGCACTTCCAGCAGTGACTCTTGCGGCTGAACTGGTCGAAGGGCGTGGAGCACGAGCACACCGTGACATTCCGCATCGACTTCCAGTCCACCGCCACGGACTCCATCTCTGCATTTATCTGCTGGATCTCTGTGTTCGTCTCGGAGATCTGCAAGAGAGCAAAAATCCATGTTTACTCACTCTTCTAATGTCCCATCTTTTATTCATAAGCCAATTACTTTGTCCCTCAGCGGAGTGAATTACCAATTTATCACGCCGCTCACAAGCGAGGCAATTATGATGATAAACATTATATTCACAGCACTTTGTGCGCTGAGATAGTATAAGTAGAGCGGCTATTAAAGTCTCGCAACTCTTCTGTATGGTAATATTTTATGCAATTAACTCTCTCGCTCTTCGGGCTTCCATGAATCCATGATACGGAGTAAATGATACCGATAAGCACTCTTCTTGATAATCTTGTAGGAAATGGGATTTTTTTTTCGTCAAACTTTGAAAAATGATATTCAACAAAATTTTGAATTTATGAGTGTTGAAATCGAATAATTTGATCAAAATACCTTTTCAGCAATCAATTTTATCATTCACATCCCCTCGCATTCAATTTCTCGCGCATAAGAGAGCTACTTTCGTGATTAATACCTTCTCCGGGACCTAAAAGAAGCCAAAGAACGATAAGAAACAGAGGCGGCACTCACGGAAAGATTGGAGAAGGAGAAATCTGACGACTGCAGCGGATGATCCGTGGTGTCTGTCAACTGTCCCGATCTCTTGTCATAGTTGTAGCGATTATCATTGATCTCTGTCGGCTCCTTGTTGTCCTTGAGCCTCATCGAGGGTCCCTGGAACCGCTTGGCGGACTTGGAGATCAGATTCTTCAGATTGGAGATCCTCTTCGTGAGATGCTGCACGTGATCCTCCAGCGATGTGCAGTGATCCCTGCTGGCCAGCAGCAGATCGCCCAGCGGCTCGCGTGGGTGCACGCCACTCTCGAAGCGACTGTACATGCCGCGCCAGAACTTGATGCATTGCGGTGCTAGATTAGGCTTCAGGATCTCCTCCATCTCGGGCCTGTACAGCGGATTGATGTACTCGTTGATGTGGTTCGCCATGTGTCCCCAGAGCGAGAAGGTGGTTTCGGACAGACGCAAGTCCAGGCGATCTTTCTCACAGTTCCCAATAAATGTGCCGTACTGACAGGATTGCACGTGATCGTGCAGTGTGAGCAGGAAGCGCTCGTTGAACTCAAACGCATCGCAGCGCTGCTGCATGAGTTGCCACGTGCTGTCGAGGAACTGCGTGAACACCGGCGACATCTCCTTGGGATCCGTCTGGATGTAGCCGCAGCGCTCGCTGAATTTGTGCCCGAAGGCCAGCCAGTCTTTCTCAATCAGTGCCTGGAATCCCTTGATTGTGCGATAGAAGGGATCGAGAATGAGCGCCGCCAGGGAGCACACCTGCGCCGTTCTGTCCCACCCATCTGAGCAGTGCACCACCACCGAAATGCCCTTGTCCACCGCCGTGGCGATGAAGTTTGACGTGTCCAGAATCGAACGGATGTGCTTCAGCCACCCCGAGGACTCCAACGAGCCCAGGAATCCACTCATCGTGGGCGCCTTCTGCTCGCACGTCTCCACCAACTTCTGCAGGCTCGTCCTCATCACGTGAATGTTCTCAATGCCCAGGAAGTGAAACTTGATGTTCTCATAGAAAGCCTCGTTCTCATACCCCTTTCCCGCCGCCCTGTTGGCCATCGCATTGATGCGCGGCCGCGTGTCCACCACATACATGTAGCTGGCATTGGGATTCGTCTTCCTGATCGCCTCCAGCATCTGCTCGTCCTCCAGGCAGCGCGCACTGAAGCCCGACAGCGGCTGGCTGCATCGGCAGATCGACGCTCTGTTGCTGTGCAAGTACGTCAGCGCCGGCAGACGTCCCTTCGACCGGAATCTGCTGCTGCCCATCAGCACGGCCGTGGACGCCTCCGCTGGCACGTACAGCTGGCGCGGGTACGTGTCGCACAGCTCGTAGTTCGCGTTGAGCGTGCACAACGCCCAGTCCTCGTTGGGCACGCGCATCCGCTTGAACTCCGTCTCCAGGCGGAAGAAGTCCCACCCAGACGTCTTCGGCAGGTCTTCGTTGCTCGATGTGTAGTGGAAGCAGTAGAGATTCTTGATGTGCACCGGCTGACACAGCTTCAGCAGCGTCACGTACACATCGTGACACTCGCGCTCCTTGGGAATCACGAATGTCACGGAGAGAAACGTCTTGCAGCGAATCAAGAGAGGTGATCCGGTTGTGCTCAGCGGCAATTTATCAATCGTCGCAATGTGCATGTGGAGAATCTGAAGAAAGAAAATGCCCTCAAATCTCTCCATGTTCGCTTCGCTGACTCATGAAATTAATGCAAATTTACCCAAGTCTCCTTATTCGCCTCGGGATCAACGAAAATCAAGTGAGTTGCCGTCAAATACAGCGTTCCAATTGAGGCATTCTTGCTGTTGTAGCGATCAATCATCCGCACATTCTCCACCTAAAAGACAAGGGAGAAAAGGGAGAGTTTTTATTAGGACTTGTGCGGCAACTTGTTTGCAGATTCCTTTCACTCTCCAGCGAAAATCTGCGCAATGCCGAAGGATGTCGAATTTCGGGGGAAAGTGACTTGGAATTTAGATGAACATCTGAACACGAGCGTTTATACAGATGTTCTTCTATTCAGAGAATGACAAATAAATTTCAGAGCGATTCACTGCAAATTGCCAGCAATTTCTTATTCATTTAGCGCCTATTGAGCAATGGTGTGAGTCACGAAAGAGCGATTTAAAATCTACAAAATTTCTATTGCTTCTTTCTGCCCAAATATTTGAGTGCAAAATATCTCAAGTATTTTCAGCAAAAATGGGGAAACAAATCGATAAGAGCTGTAGACAGAATTAAAATTTTAGCAGCTTTTAAAACTTGCCTAATATTTTCGAGAGATTTTCAGAACGATTTCTTAGAAAGTTCTTGGATGTGCAAATATCAATTTGCATAAAACGTCTTATAATTATATATTTATACTATTTTGAGTCCTTTTTGACAGAATTATTGAAGCGTAAATAAGAAATCAATTCACCAGTTGTTTTACCAATAAATTATTTTGTCATTTTTTAATCTAATCATGCTAAAACCCGATTAGATATTATATTTTTAGGAAATCGAACATCAAATTGGGTCTTCCTTGATTTTGAATACTCAAAGAGTTCAAAAGGGGCGCCGAAATGAATGGAAATTGCTACAAATTTATTCTAATTTTCAGTCCTAAACTCAGCTTATAAACGCATGATATCCACAATCTTTTAAACATTTCTACTTCTCCCAACTTACTGCTTTTGTTAATTGAACTTCTTCTCAAACTCAAATCACAATCTTGCAGAAAACTTTGGTCTTTATATCTAATGATCGACAGACTCGTGGAAGGTCATATGAAATCAGGAAAATGTTGTGGTGCAAACAAAGCGCCAGATTAATTACCCACAAATTATTCATTGGAAACATTCAGAGCATGAGAAAAGAACACGCAATTCCCAAATATTTGATAAAGAGATTTCAATATATTCAACTTCCCCATCAGCTGAATAAGCAATAAGTTTAGATAAGCATCAAATCGATGGTGGAATTTTCAAGAAGACTCTCTCTCTAAAATGAAATGAAAAATTCATAGTGTGTGTTTTGTGTGTTCCATCGGGAGGATTGCATGCGAGACACGTTCGTGAGGACATTCCACTGGCAACTCCGCAAGATGCCATCTCGCGAAGGAGGAGAAAGTTTGTGTCGAAAGACACACAAATCAATAAAGTCCATTGAAAAGTTCTCCCCCATTTTCTGCGACGCGCCACTGACTGAAAAGTTGAGGAAAATCAATTGGCCATTATGTAATTGGACCTTTTTGAGGACGAGAGTGTCGCGGAAGAACACCGCTGGCTCCTGCAGACCTTCTTCGATCCACGACACGACGCGCTCGGAGACGAACGGCGGCACTGGGACGCCCCAGAGCATCTTCCTCTCCACGTCGTCTGTCGTCTCGGGCGAGAGCTCGTCGAAGTTCCTCCTGAGAGACGCCGTGGGCGACAAATCACTCGCCGCGGCGGACATCTTCGCGTGACAGGACACTGAAGACGCGATTGCCACACTCTGGGTGGGATTTTCTGCACTAGGAACCACTCTCGTGCGCCCGATGGTGTCCTGAGGACTCTCCGCGGAGGACTGACAGGGCGAGAAAAGGAGCCTCTTCGCGGTGTCTTGCGTGCGACAGAGCGGATTAGATGTGCTGCGTGGGGAAAATGTGCCCTTGAAATGCTGACGAAGTGGGTCAACGAATTTCCCAAGTGGAGAAATCAGCCCCAGGAGTGGTGGAGCACGGTTTCTCCAGCGAAGCCCCTTCCGGAGGCATGCGCAGCTGATGCCCAGCCTCCGCCGATTTGCCATATGGGTGGCTTTTAGCATCCTCCTAAGTGGAATTTTCCACATCTCTCCCGGGAATCTCGTCAGCGGGGATGACACACAATTGCCAGTGCTGTTTATCAGCCGAGTCTGGAGTAATCGGGGGAGGAAAAAGGGGGAAAACGAGAGACTCCATTGTGACTTTCGTACCTTGGGTGTTTTTATCAGCTCCATTGTCAGCTTGATTGGCGTCGTGTGGACAATCCCACAACTCCGTGGGATGCTTGGGGTCACAGTGGTGTTGCAAAACACTTGAGAAATTCGATTTTATCACTTTTACTGCCCGAAAACACAAAAAACACTCACAAAGCCTCCTCAAAATCCTCCAGACTGATGTTTCTTCTTCTTTTTCTTCGACTGGTCTTCCCGAGAGTGACATAACCTCAATCAGATTCCGGAATTCCAATTTGAATGGCAACGGCCGATATATTTTCCCAAGTATTTTCCAGAGTACAAAAAATGCTCACAATATAATCCTTCAAAAGTTCACAATGCTTCGGATGCTCTTGCCCTCGTGCATCAGATCGAAGGCTTCGTTGATCTTGTCCAGGTTCATTGTGTGCGTGATGAATTCATCAATCAAGAGGTTCTTGTTCAGATACTCGCTGACCAGCATCGGCACACTATCGATACTCTTCCAGCCGCCGAACGCGCTGCCCTTCCAGGAGCGTCCAGTGACGAGGTAGAAAGGCTTCGTGCTGATCTCTGTGCCCGCAGCTGCCACGCCGATGATCACGGATGTTCCCCAGCCTTTGCAACAGGACTCCAGGGCAGCACGCATTGTGGCCACATTGCCAATGCACTCGAAGGTGTAGTCCAGACCGCCTCCGGTCAATTCCACCAGAACCTCCTGGATGGGACGATCGTAATCCTTGGGATTCACAAACTCCGTGCATCCAAATTTTGATCCCACGGCGAACTTTCCCGGGTTCACGTCCACACCAATGATTCTCGAGGCTCCGGCCTTCTTGCAGCCCATCGCCACGGCCAGGCCAACACAGCCCAAGCCCCAGATAGCGCACGTGGAGCCGGGCTCCACCTGGGCGGTGTTCAGCGCAGCGCCATAGCCCGTGGGAATGCCACAGCCGAGCAGACACACCTTGTCCAGCGGAGCTTCGCGATCCACACGACACAGCGAAATGTCCGCCACGACGGTGTACTCGGAGAACGTGGACGTGCCCATGAAATGGAACAGCGTCTGTCCGCGGCACCGGAAGCGACTGGAGCCCTCGGGCATCACGCCGCGACCCTGCGTGACGCGGATCTTCTGGCACAAGTTCGTCTTGCCGGACTTGCAGAAGCTGCACTCGTTGCACTGCGGAATGTACAGCGGGATGACATGGTCGCCCTCCTTGAATCCCGTCACTCCCTCGCCCACACTCTCCACAATGCCGGCGCCCTCGTGGCCCAGGACCACCGGGAAGAGGCCTTCCGGGTCAGATCCGCCCAGAGTGTAGGCGTCCGTGTGACACACGCCCGTGGCCACGATCTTGATGCGCACCTCGTGGGCCTTCGGCGGGTCCACCTCGATCTCCTCGATGGTCAGCGGCGCCTTCTCCTTCCAGGCCACAGCAGCCCGGCACTTGATAACCTGGAAAGATCATAGAAGACGCCCGAAAGGTCAGAGAACGTTGTCCAAGTCATTGGTGGATTTTCTCACTCACTTTTCCTGCTGTGCTGGACATTTTCCTGATGGATATTTCACCGGGAAGTGATTAATTGACTGGTTGTGAGTATTAAGGAGGATTTTATCACTTGAATGAACGCCGAGCAACAACTGACCGGATTGGAGTCGTGTGCAAAGGTGACCGATTAATTACACGTAGTAAAAGTTACACAGGGTGTCCAGAAAAATGGTTTATCTCGAGGTTCAACTGAAATAAATTGCTTTTCTGGCAAATAACTCGAAATTGACTTAAAATTTTAAGTTTAGAGCAAGATTTAGAGGCATTTTAAACCTAAAATATGATGTGAATCTCAATGCAATCTATAACATATTACAATCTTGCCTTGATCCGTACAACAGGACTTTAAAAATTGAGGATCAATTTGTGGGGTGTTAAAAATCGCTGTTACTTTGTTGCTTACGCCAGATTTGCACCAAAAATACAATCAAATAACAATTTAATTCGTTTTTGCTGATAAATGGAGGTGCTTTTTCATTCAGTCACACGGTCAAGGTCTCTCGTTTCGCCTAAAAATAGCGATTGTGCGGAAAAAAGATAAGGCGTTGCGTAATCATCCCGCTGCTGATGTTCCATTATTCCATGCAGAGATCAGTAAAAAGTCCACCAACTTCTGAAGAATGAATATTTATTGGCTTACGCTGCGGCACACATTTCAAGCATCTCTACACAGAGTATCTTTTGCCAGCTTGCATTACATTAAGCCTTCTATAATCAATTCGATTAAATGCCATATATACTTTAGGAAAGACAAACAATTTCATGGATTTCCATCTTATAAAATATATAGAAGAGTTCTCTAAACACGCTATGAATACGAAAAAGTTTTTGGGAAATGTAGTGTGTGAAAAGTGAAAAAGAGCCACTCTCTTGTGAGTGTTCTTGCCTTCTTCCCAATGTGCAAAAGAATACGAATAATTTATCAAAGATAGAAGCACAAAATGCTTATGCAGAGGACTCTCAATTCTGGAAGAGAGTCCTCGTGAAATCTATATAATCTAACGCTCCGGCGACAGGATGGCCCGACTTGGGATCGATGTAGGGCTTCATTCTGTTCACGCAGTAGTCTGCCATGTCCTTCGTGAGGTTCTGTAAATAAAGAGACAACAATTAGAGGGCAGTCCGAGAGGAGAATCACAGTAATTTCTTACGCAGTAGAGCTCCTCCTTGGTCACATAAGGTCTATCCGAGGCTGTGATGGCTCTGAAGGCGTTCTCGATCTCCTCATAGCTCTGCACATTCTCCGTCTCCTTGGATATCATGAAGGAGATGTAGTCCTGCAGTGGCACATAGCCATCCCTGTTGGGATCCACCACACTCAGGATGTCCTCAAACTCCGGATCCGGCTGACCCTCCTCCACCATCGGCAGATCGTAGCCGAGCGCCCTCAGGCAGGACTTGAACTCCTGATGGTTCAGCTTGCCACTCTTGTCCTTGTCGAAGTGCTTGAACATCATGCTGAACTCCTTGAGCGAGTCCTCAGACACGCCCGAGTGATTCCTCGCCTGAATCTGCTGCTCCAGATTGTGCTGCATGCGCATGGACAGCTGATCCAGCTGATCCCACTGCTGCGCCAGGCCCACAGTCGAGTGCTCCGTGTAGCGATTGTCCAAGATGAGATGCTCCTCGAGCAGAGCTCCCAACTCCTCAATCTTCTTCAAGTCCACACGACGCGCCCTCACTTCAACCGCCTTCACGCGCAGAGCCTCCAATTGCTGCTCCAAAGATCCCGAGCCTTCCATCATCGAAGTCCTGGAAAGCCAGACAAGGAAGGCATTAGACAATAGTGCCTAAGAAAACCATCAAACGCCACACCAATTGTTAATCTGACAACAATAAGAACAACGATTTTTCGAATTGGATTTCAGCTCTATAGTTAGAGTCTGCTTAGAGAGAGATTAGAGCGCGCCTTGAGCGTTAGAGAAAGTCAACATCACACCAATTTCTCTGTCTTTTTACCCATTATTATCCCAGCCGAGAATCAAATATCTATAAATGAACCATTAGATGAGAATACTGTCAAAGAAGAGTGCAATCTTAGCACATTTTACCTGGTCTCTGTCAGCCACTGATGGAACAGATTGGCGTGCTTGGCGAACTCCTTCCTCAGCTTGTCATTCTCCTCCTGGCGATGCGCCTCCTTGGCCAATTCGCCATCTCTCTCCTCGATGATCTTCTGCAGATTGCGCCAAGTGTCCTCGAGGGCCTCCATCGTGAACCACGTGTACGGATTTGGTCCCACATTGAAGCTCTTGATCTTCTGGTCGAGCGCCGCCAGAGCCTTAAAGTCCGCCTCAGCCGATGAGAGTGAAGCCTGGAACTGCGCATGAGCCTCCCTCAGTGCCTTGATCTCCTCAATCGAATTGCAGCGCACTGGATCGGTGAGATCCTCCTCGGCATTCTCGAACCACGAGTTGAAAGCCGATGCCTTCTTGGCAAATGTCAAGTAGAGCTCTTCAATCTGCCTGAACTGATCTTGCATGGAGAGAAGACGGAACTTGCGTGCGTCAGACGCTTCCCTGAGCTTCTGCCAGCGAGCAAGGACATCCTCATGGCGCTTGATGATAGACGGCGATTGTGCGTGATTGGCGCCAATCAATTGATCCTTCAGAGCTGTGATGTTATGGATTCCTTCCTGCTCAAATGCCGTGAGACCTGCAAAAAGAAAAAAAAAACAGTCAAATCATCCCATTTCAGCCACTTCTCAAACTCCACTGGAAACTCACCAGCATCAAAGGTCTCCTGCTTCGTGAGCAGTGTCTGGACCGTTGACAAATCCCTTCCGTACTCCTCAGATCGCACGTAGCTCTCCTTGTCCGCAATCCAGCTCTCAACCACATCCGCCTTCCACATGAACTGCAAGTACGCCGAATTGTCCAGGAGCGCTGCCTTGCGCCTTGTGGCCAAGCTCGACAAGTTGTCCAGTTTGTTCTGCAGCTGTGCACATCTTTGCTTAATGCTCTCTTGATGGTGGTTGTTGTTCGCCACCAGCTTCGCTCCGTGCTCGCAAATGTCAGAGCAGCGATCGCGATGAGCGGCAAAGTCCGTCTCGAAGGCGTCGTGCTTCTTCAGCAGTCCCTGAACGGCCGCCATTGAGTCGCCATAGTCCTCAACGGAGAGCAGCTGCTGCTTCTCCGTGATCCAGGCCTCCTCTTCCTCCACCTTGGCCAGGAATTGTTGATAGATCAGCGACTCATCGAGCTTCTGACCACGCGTGGCGGCCAATCCCTTCAGCTCTGCCCACGCCTGATTGAGCGCCTTCAGGCGCTGCTCAATCTCCGGCACGCCCAGATTCGACACATCCATCAACTTCTCCCCGGCCTCCTGGACAGCCTGAATGGCTGGCTCGTGGGACGCTAACTCCGCCTCCAGACGCTTGTGCTTCTTCTTCAGATTCTGCACGCCAGTCAAATCTCGACCGTAGTCGTCGCTGCCCACAAGGAGCTTCTTCTCCTTGATCCAACTCTCCTCATCGGCAATGTCACGGAAGAACTGATGCAGCGTCAGAGCCTCATTGAGACGCGCCTGGCGATGAGCAGCCAAATTCCTGATTCTCTCATAGCGCTCATTGATGGACTGGCGCTTCTCCTGAATGCCAGCACTGTCAAACTGCCCACTGTCCACCAGAGAATCCGCCTGCTGATTCATGTCCTTGATGCGATCCTCGTGCGCCTGAATGTCCGCCTCCACAAGTTGCTGCTTCTTCATCAGATTCTGCACGGATGCCAAATCCTTTCCAGCATCCTCAGACGTCAGCAAACTCTCCACTTCGCCCAGCCAGAAGTCCAGATCCTTCACGGCAGCAATATACGTCCTCTGCTTGTTGGCCTCCTTCAGCTTCAGCGACTTCTCCGTGGTCTTCTGAGTGAGATATTCCCACTGGTCGGCAATCGAGGAGAGACGTTTCTGCACAGCATCCTCAGATCCACTGCACTGCTTCTTGTCAATCAGATTTCCACCCATGGCCAAGACGCTCTGGATCCTGTCAGCATTGGCCGCCAATTCAGCCTCGAAAGCCTGGTGCTTCTGGTGCTTCGACTGGATGTTCGCCGGATCCTTGTAACTCTCCTCAGTGGCCAATTGCAGCTTCTCCGCAATCCAGTTCTCAATCTCATCGGCATCGCGACTGAATTGCTGCAGAGTCTGCTCGTCACCCAGGCGAGATCTCTTCTCAATCAAGCCCTCCTTCAGATGACGCCAGCGCTCCAGCACTTGCTGCCTCTTGTCGTCAATCAGCTTCGACGCGTAGTGATCCTGAGCCGTGAGCTGATCCGCCAGCACTTGAAGTGCCGCGATCTTCTCCTCGTGACCATTGATGGCCTTGTCAAAGTCCTCGTGCTTCTTGATCAACGCCTCCACATTATCGCCCTTGGAGTCCACTTCCTCGGCATTCAGGAAAGCCTCTCGAGCCGACATCCAGTTCTCAGCCTGCTCGCAATCTCTCAAGTACAGCTGCAAATCGAGATTCTGATCCAACTGCAGACGCCTCAGCGTCCACGCCTTCTCCAGCTCCTCACGCGCCTTCGCCAGTCCGTCAATCTTCTCCTGAATCTCCGGCGACGCATAGTGATTGGCCTGCAGCAGTTCCGTGCCAAATTGCTCGAAAGCAGCAAAAGTTCCCGCTCTGGCGTCGATTTCCGTGCGATGCTCCTACACACGCAGAAAGACGAAGAAGTGTTAAAGTGAAATGCACAGAGAAAGTTTCTGTGTGAAATCGTGAAAAACAACACAGTGAAAAACATGCCAAATGGAAGTGCTGCGAATCTGCAATTTCTCATTATGCTCAAAACTCTGGCCAAGAAATGCAAAATCACAGAATGACAAAAAATCACACGAAGCTCTTGCAAATCTTCTTGTTATTAGATTAGCTCTCAAGATCGTCTCACAGATCATATTTATATTTTGCCAAAACAAAAATTCCACTGACTGCAGAAAATTTTGATAAAAGTCAATTTAGAAACGAAGAATAAAAAAAACTCGTGTGCCTTATTAGTGACGACAAGGAGAGTATAAATAGCATCACTTTTGTGTGCGTGTAAATTAATAATAAGTTCACAAATCACGACACAGAAATCAAAGGAAAAAAAGGAAAATTTTTCAGGGAAAACCAATAAAGCCAGGACAGTGATATTTTGTCCCAATACCTGCGGAATACCGTAACGGAAATCAAATTCGGCCCGTTGATTCTATACACAAGGAGGGAAAAACAATGTGATCATGAAAGAAGAAAAAGACAATGATATGAGAAAATAAGGGGAATGTGTTGAGATGAGATGTGGAAAACAGTTGGATTTACTCACCTGATGACGCTCAATCAGAGCTTCGGCTCCTGTCACATCATTGGCCAACTCCTCAGATGTCACGAGTCCCATCATCGAGCTGATCCACGCCATCAGATCGCGATAGTCGCTGAGGAAACGCTGCAAGTCATACGAATCCAGCAATTTCTCCTTACGCGCCGTCGCCTTGGTGGTAATCTGATCCCACATCTCATTGATCTCCTTCTGCTTGGCGTAAGTCTGCTCAGCACTCTCCGGATGACTCTGCATCAGGCGATTGGCAGTCTCATCCAGCTGGCGAATTTTATCCCTGAGAGCCGCCAAGTCACGCTCCAAGCCTTCGTGCTTGCGCTGCAGTGTCTGAACACTCCTCAAATCCTTGCCCAGATCATCGTTGTTCAGCGCATTCTCCTTCTCGGCAATCCAATCCTTCGTCTCATCGATATCCCGATGGAATCTCTGCACTTCATGAGCAGATCCCAGCTGAGAAGCCCTCTCAGTTGTCACTTGCTGCAGTGTCGCCCACTTCTCATTGAGATCCTGCATCTGCGTCTGAATCTTGAGCGCCGCTTCTGTTTGTCCAAGAGACGTCAGCTGAACGGCAATCTCATTCATGTTCGCCAGGCGCACCTCATTGGCCTTCAGGTCGTCATTGAAGTCATCAAATTTCTTCTGCAGCACCTCAACTTCCTCGAGATCTTCGCCAACATCCTTGATCTGGGCATGATTCTCCTTGTCCTTAATCCAGGCGGCCAAGTCTGCGGCTTCGCGCACCAACACGTACGCCTTCACCGTCTCATTCAGCTTGTTCTGCCTCTCCCGTGCCAGAGCCAAGAGGTTGTCGTATTGAGCATTGATCTGCGCCTGTCTCTTGCCAATTGAGTAGCCATCGACCAGATTCTGCTGACTCGCGCTCAACCCAGCATCGATCTTCTTGATGTAGGCCGCCGGAACGAAGCCCTGGCGATCGTTCACCTCTACCTTCCACCAATCCTTGTTGCTGCTATTCAGCAGCGTCAGCACGTCGCCCTTCTTCATGGACACCTCCCTCGGGGACTTCTCGGTGTAATCGTACAGCGCCACGACGCACTCCTTGCCAGTGATATCCACCACAGGCGTCTCCTGTTGGCGGCAGTTCTTCGCCTGCTCCTGCAGCGATTGAATGGTGTTGCCGAATGCCTCGAGATCAGACACCAGAGCCTCGTGCTTCTTCAGCAGAGCCTCAGAGCTGTCTTCATCCTTTCCATAATCCGTGCTGGACACAATTGGCTCCTTCTCCTTCATCCACGACTCCGCCTCGTTAGCATCGGCAAAGTACTGATGAGCCTGCAGAGAATCTTCGAGATCTTGCTTCCTCTGCAGTGCCTTATCCTTCAGATTGTCCCACTGATCCTTGAGAGCGTCCAAGCGCTGCTTAATCCCTTCACTGGCGAACGGCTGATCATTCACCATCACCTCTCCGTTCTGCACAACAGCCGCCAGGCGACTCTCGTGGTTGTTAATCTCCGCCAGGACAGCCTGATGCTTCTTGATCAAGTTCTGCACACCAATCAAGTCCCGACCGCGATTGGTGGACCCAGCAATTGGCTCCTTCTCGCGAATCCATGCGCCTTCGTCCTCCAGATCGCGGAACAGCTGCTGCACTTGCAGGGAATCGTAGAGACGCTTCCGGCGATCGCCCATCGGAGCCGCCAAGGTCGCGTATCTCTTCGACAGCGCCTTCTCCTTGTTCTCAATGTTCTCCGAGTCGAAATGTCCGCTCTCGATGAACTTATTGGCAGCCACTTTGATGCTCTCAATGCGATCCTGGTGCGCCTGCACGTCAGACTCCAGCAAAGCGTGCTTCTTCTGCAAGTTCTGCACACTCGTCAAATCCTTGCCGTAGTCCTCAGACATTAGCTGTCCTTCGATCTCGCTCAGCCACAGCTCAATGTCCTCAATCGTGCGATTAAACTGCTGCTGCTGTGAAGCCTCTTGAAGCTTGCATCCCTTCTTGTCGGAAGCCTGCACGAGTGTCTCCCACAGCGTGATAATCTCCTGCATTCGGGAATTCACCTGATCCGACGCATAATGATTGCGATCCACAAGCTCAGATCCAATTGTCGTAATGTCCTCAATTCGAGACTTGTTGGCATTCAGTTCTTGCTCGAAGTTCTGATGCTTCTGCACTTTCCCGTTGATGTTCGTGGGATCCAAATAGCTGTCGTCAGTGGCGAATTTCAGCTTCTCCGAAATCCATCCCTTCGTCTCATCGCAGTCACGTTCGAATTGTTGCAATTTATTCGAGTCCTCGAGCAGAAGTCGGCGAGCAGAGGACTTCTCCATGAGTGCCGAACGCCTGGCCAGGAGCATAGCACGTCTCTGTGCGACATCATCAGCAGCATAGTGCTGGCCATCGATGAGTTTGGTGGCAAAGATGTCCAGAGCCTTGATCTTCTCTTCCTGCGCCGCCAGACTCTTCTCAAAGTCCTCGTGCTTCTTAATTAGCGCTTCGACAGAATCCAGGGAATCGCCCAGGTCTTCATTGGCGAGGAAAGCCTCCTGCTTCGCCATCCAAGTGTCCGCCTGTTCGGTGTCGCGGTAGAACAGCTGCAAATCCATGCACTGCTCATACAAAATGCGGCGATCCTCCCAGAGATTGTGCAGCGCTGTCTTTTCATTCTCAAGCACGGACAGTTTCTCCTGCACCTCTGACGAGGCGTAGTGCTTCCTCTCCAGCAGCAAATTCCCAGCCTCGGCGGTCAGTCGGAAGCTGTCCTCGCGAGCGTCGATCTCTCCCTTGTGCTCCTGGTGACGCTCAAGCAGAGCCTCAGCTCCCGCCACATCCTTGGCCAACTCATCAGCTGAGATGATCGCCTTCATGCCGTTGATCCAGGAGATGAGATCCCTGAAGTCCGCCAAGAAGCGATGCAAATAGTATGATTCGTCGAGCTTCTCCTTGCGATCCTTCGCCTTGGCCTTCAGAGATTCCCAGTTCTGGACGATCTCCGCCTGCTTGTCCTTGATCTGACCACTGTGATCATCATGTGTGCTGCACAGGCGCTGCGCCTCGTCACTCAGCGTCGCCACCTTGTCCTCCAGAGCTGCCAAATCGCGCTCCACGCCCTCGTGCTTGCGCTGAAGTGCCTGAACACTGGCCAAGTCGCGTCCGTGATCGTCAGAAGAAAGCACAACGTCTTTCTCAGCGATCCATGCCACGGTCTCGTCGGCATCGCGATTGAAACGCTGAATCTCATGGGCACCGAACAGCTTCTCCTGCCTCAGTATCGCCAGCTGCTTCAGCCTCTGCCACGCATCGTTCAGTTCCTCCTTCTTTTTCACGATAATCTCACGCTCCGGATGACCATCCTGAATCAGTTGATCCGCCATTTGATTCACCTCCGTCACACGGTACTCCTGCGAGGCCATGTCCTTCTGGAACTCATCGAACTTGCGCTGCAGCACCTCCACGTGCTCCAGATCATGCCCAAACTCGTCCGCCGTGACGAAGGCCTCCTTGTCCTTGATCCAGAACATCACCTCCTCGCAGTGCCTGAGGAACTGCACCAGCACAAGCGCCTGCTGCAGCTTCATGCCCTTCTCCGCGAGGCGCGACAGCAGCAACTCCCACAGGCGGTGCAGCTCATCCAGGCGTCGCTGGATCGTTTCGGACGCAAAGTGCTGCTGATTGATCATCTCCTGGCCCGTGTTGTCCAGCGTCACGATGGCATTGCTGTGCGCCGACACTTCGGCCTCGAAGGCCTGGTGCTTCTGGATCTTCGCCTGCAGATTCGTCGGATCGCGATAGCTCTCCTCACTGGCCGCCTGCAGTTTCTCATGAATCCAACTCTCCAGTTCATCAGCGTCGCGCTTGAAGTACTGGAAGCGACGAGAGTCCTCGAGCTTCTCCCTCTTCTGGCGCGTCTCCAGCTTGAAGTCATTGTAGCGACCCAAAACCTGCTCTCGGCGCTCCTGAATGTCCTCCACCGTCTCCAAGATCCGCACCTCCTTCGGCGTGAATTGCTCCATTTTCTTCACTGGCTAATATTCACCGCACAATCTGCAGAGCATAAGTGGAAATTCAAGTCATGAGTATATTTTTAGATATGTGGATGTGAAAGAAGTTCAACATTAAATATTTTTGCGATTAGATAAGACCTTTTTTCCACTTCCCTCGGTTTTCTCACGTCCAGCCAAAGACACTCATTCGCCCGGAAGGTTATTTGAAATTTTTCCTACTATTTTTTTTTTAGTGAAACATTAAGGTTTGGCATCTTTTGCAGTGTGTTGCAACTTTTTATCAACAGCTCATCACAGTCTGTGGCACTCAGCCAACAAATTTATGTTTCTTATAGGAAAAACATGAAAGTATTGATTGATTTCTATAGCATTCCTTCAAACACAATTTCCCATCTGCCTAATCTTGACCCTTAGCTTTCTTTGTCAGTTCCTGTTTATTAAATACACCGTTCAAGCTTCGAATTGTCTCACGAAAGTTTTATCACGCTTCAAAAACTTACGCTTCATTGCGGAGTTATTGATTTTCTGCCAAGGTTTTATGCTAATTTCGCTCTTCCAATCTTTGAGGTCAAATGGTTTTTCATTCAAGAAACTGTCCAGCTTTTAGCAAACAGGAAAATGTAGGTAAATCAGGGGACAATATTGAGAAGAGATCGATAAGTCTGATATTATTTCAGAAATTCTTATTAGCTTTTCTTATCAAATTTTCTCTCCATTTGATCACAAATTAATCCTTGACTACACAAGTCCATAATGAAAAACGAGCTGATTAGCGACAGAAAACTGCTGACACACCCAGAATTTACATACTTTTCACACCGAATAGTTTTCCAATTAACTCTGTGTGACTTCTGCTGGATGTTTGTTAATGAATTTGAAGAGACTTCTCAATGACACAGATGCCACACAATAATTCTCTCTCGTGAGCGTGACTCACACGAATTTGGAGCACAGCCTCTTTCACACTGAACGCTATTTCGAGTGCAATTAGAAGGCCGAAGAGCTGGAGATTCTCTGTGAAATGCCGCGATGCGGAGAATTGATTTTTCCGGTCAAACACATCGCGCTCACACACACTCACGCCCTCTGGAATCCGCGCCTCGCACACACATGCACACAATTCTAAAATAGTCATGACGTAACTCGTCGGCGAAGACCCCCGGAACCGGCAGGAATTTGTGTTTCTCAACGTATTTTCGCCCAAGAAAACATATCTTGATGTGAAAAGTCGAGAGAAAGTGGGAAAATTATGCCGGGCAGAGCAATTTGCTGGGGAGAAATTGGATTGTGGGTGTGGCGAAAAACATCATTCAAGTTAATCAATTTTCCGCACAATTCCATGCATTGCCGCGGGAAATTTTATGAAAAATCCATACCTTGAGTGTTAATCCACACACTGTCACACAATTTAGCACTCTTCCACAACTTTTTCTCTGGTTTTTCGCGTTTTTTCTCGGATCAATTTCTTTTCGGTGCCTCTTCGATAAATGGCGTCGTCAGTGGTGCCAGCTGAGAATCCAATAAGCGATATCCAGAGATAAAACATCGGATCGTCTGCAGACGCGTCGCGGAATTTCTACATTAACTCGCTGTTCTTTCCCCAGAGGGCCTGAATCAGCTGTTTGGCTGTCATTCTGTGTTTCTTTGGATTCGGTTCGCGGAGAATTTGTTTATTTTCCTGCATTTTTTCCACGCAATCATGCTCAATCTGGAGCGAATTCCCGACCAGATTGGATACCTGGTCCTCACGGAAGATGGAGCGGTGTTGGCATCCGGTGGAGACTTGGAGAACAACGAAGCAAAGGCGAACATCATCTCCGGCATGGTGAATCTCACGGAAAAGTGAGTCTTCTTTGTTATCTTGCTGATAGCGGGATTTTCTCTATTCCTCTGCATTCCCATTTGCAGCATTGATCCTCAAGTGTTTCAGAAGAACGGATGCAAGAGAATATCAATTGTTTACGATGACTTCAGCTACACAATTTGCCTATCCAATAAGAAAATCTACGTGGTGAAGAGGCGTTTTCCCGTGACAAATTAATTCGTCTATATTTACAATACTTTTCTTGTGACGAGTTATATCTGCTTATCGAAGAATACATTCTTTATATGTTGATCACACATTTTGCTCGTTTCCTCTGCAAAAAGGGAAGAAATTGTAGTGCAAGGAATGTCGTGGAGAAGGAAGAAAACTCACCAGCAATCTCAAGGAGCGTTCCGTTCTTGTTGATGATGGCTATAAAGTGTCTGGCATTGGATTTCTTGTGGGTTATCCAGAAATCATTGCACATCTTCACGACTGTCTCCTCACTCACGTTGCTTCCCGTTCTCTCGCCGTAGAGATCAGCAATTACATTCATGATATCTCGGGACACATTCGCACTCTTGTGCACAGTCTTTCCCTCGCAGAAGAATGTCGAGTCGTGCTGCAAGCTGAACTCATTGAAGAAAAGGAATTTGGGTGAGAATCCATCGGTGAAGTCATTGATCTTCACAGAACTCGGCCCGGAGAAATTCTCGCTGATTTCCGAGGAAATGGTCGTTAGTTGAGGACCAATGAATGCCTGAAGCTCACCATAGAGATCCTCCGAAAGACTCGTGGAATCTGCAAAGACGGAAAACAATCAATATGAAGCCTTGAGAATCAATTTCTCGGACTACCGTCGACAAAGAGGCAGATTATTGCGCCAAATGCTCGGTAAATCACCAAGAAGTATCCGGATTTTTCATTGGAACCACTTTCAGAGTCGTGTAAATACATTTTGGGCGACTTTTGAGGCGTCTCTTCGCTGCTGTAAAGGAAAATTCGAGGTGGTTTCGTCACGTCCTGACCAGAGCCGCCGGTTAAGAAGTTCCCGCGCTGACTCAGCGCATAATTTCTGGAAACTGAGCCTCCCTGGAGATCAGATTGAAGCATCTTGGGGAATATTGTTCCACTCAAGTACTCATAAATGCAGTACAAATCCCTGGGATTGATTCCGCTCCTGAAAACATGGAAGGATTCAGAGGTAAAGTGAAGAAGATGCAATCAGAATTCTTACCAGACAATTTGTTCATTGTAGAGGAAAATACACCTCTTCACACAGTCAAAGGTGGACTCAATCATGCTGATAAAATTGTGAACTCGTAGGAAAAGTGTCTGATTGAGTGGAAGATACTGAATTGTTCTGGTTACATCAATTATATCACTATTCGCTATCCTCATCGTCAATATATACTGCAAAAGACAAGATCAACATTCAATATCCTGCAGAATTCTTCAGTCTCTGGATTGGTACCTTGCTGAAGAACTGCTGAAGTTTTTGACTCAGATTTCCCATCTGTTCGTCGAGAGACTGTCCGGAAAAGTTCTCTTTAAATGTCCCAACGAAGAGCCTAAACATACTGTAAGCCTGCTCAAGAACAGCTCCACAGATGGAGTCATGAACGTCATCTCCTCGGTATTCAGTGTACTCCACACCGTCCTTCAGCTTCACCAGGAAGGGGACGTTGATTGTCTGCAAGAACCGTTAATCAGTATCTGTGAGATATCCCAACATCGGTGACTCACCAAAACCATCCAAAATTCCGGCTCTGGTTCAAAGTACACTTGACAAGTCTTCTGCGTCCTGAAGGACTTGCACTCCTCGAATGGACTGAATGTGCTGGTGAACTTAATGATAGCCTCACAGAGTCCCACATCCTTGATCTGGTTATCCTTCTCTGTGTCCTGGGGATGATAGAAGAGGATCTTCTTCTCCTCCTGAAAAACCCACAAGAAAATCATTTAATTTGCAGTTTTTCATTAAAAAAAAATAGACTTATTTGATGCATTCTTACCTCCCCCTCTTCTGAACCAAGAGAAGGGTTGAAAATGAAAAAGTTTTTCAGAGTTATTTCACTTTTTCTAGCCATTATTCGGATTTGTTTTGATTTTTCCCCCTGGCAACCTCAAAATACCCTGACAGCGCTCACAGCGCCAATCCACCTTCCGTGGCTCGACAGAGAAGTGTTGAGTGTACACGAAGAAGAGAGTTTTCCGGTTGCCCTGCACTTTTCACAGTTTTACTTGGTTTTTACGCAGATTTTGTGTATCTTCCATATCGTGTTGTCTTCGAAAGTGACCAGAAATGCTGGATCTCCTGTTCTCCACGCACAAGAAGGTCTCCACTGTGCCTCCGATCGACACAAACAAGTGAGTGTCTGCGCTGAGGAAATGTTGCGGCTGTGATGTTTGTAATTTTTTATGTGTTATTTTGCAGTTCCAAGAACTTTGTCACCGTGTCTTCATGCAATATCATTGCGTTCACGTCCAATTTCGATCTCACGACTGGAGCTTATGGGTATCATTGCTATATATGCGACGTGAACACGCCGTGGAATGTGTACAAGGTGACGTCTAACAAGTATCCCATCTCGATCCTCGCCTGGGATGTTCTCGGGAAGTATCTCCTGGTTGGCGATACCTTCGGCTCAATATGCATCTGGATGCAGAAGGACAACTTCCTCTCGGACTGGACTCACGTGTACACAGCCAGCTTTCCGGGCGAGTGCATCATAAAGGCAGTGTTCTTCCACAATGGCAGGAAGATTGCCTTCAACAGTGACAAGAAGGAGGCTTCTTCCTACTCCGACAAGTTTCAGAAGGTGAAGTTCTTTCCCAGCGTGCGTCAGTTCGGTGGGGTGCCCACTGAGGGATTCCTGGTGATTACGGCGAGTGGCTTGATTGGCGCTGTGGCGATTCCCCCGGATCAGCCAACGCCAGCAACCCCTGCTGCTCCTGCCAATCCTCCAGCCCAGGCAGGAGCTGCTCAGCCACCCCCACCTCCGCCACCGGCACCCGTGACGCCGCACATCTTAACCACAGTGACGGAAAGCCTGGGCCAGACGCGGAACTTCTACACAGCCGCTGATGTTTGCTATGGGAAGAACGGACACTTCCTGATCGCCGCCTCAAACAGCCTGTGCCAGAATCAGGCACTCATCGTCCAGTGCTTCAGGGTGATTGTGAAGAAGAGCGACGAGAAGCTCACCATCACAAGTCACTCTCTGCCCAGTTTCTTCCTGAATGAGGGCATCGGAAGGGATTTGCCCGATTTGGACCTCCTGAAGCTCAAGTGGACGTTCCAGGAAGACACGGACACACTCATTGTGGCGATGAACTCAAGTATCGGTGGATTTATTGAGGTGTGGGGCTTGGTTGAGAAATCCACGCCCATTCACAAGCTCTTTCAGGCCAACAAGTCGGAGGTTTTCAAGGCATTTGTGAGTGACTTTGATGATTCAGTACATGAAAATGTGGTTTAACGTGTGTGTGGATTTGCTTCGTTTCAGGTCTGGACGCCGCAGAGTCACTTCCGCTACTCCTCGAAGATCCTCAATATCTGCACTAGCAAACTACAGCTGGGCTCTTCCGGGTACATCTCAGTGGTGATGGCAGACAACTCTGTCTTCTGCCTCAATCGCGACACGCTTAGCAAGGCCGCGTCGGCCAGCTTAACCGTTGCTCATCGGATAGACATGGCTGAGAGCTCGAAGCAGGTGAAGATGAGCTCCATGCCGCGGGACATTGACGCTTCCTGGATGGGACACTTGCTAGTGTGTCTAGACAACTTGGGCCAGTTGTTTGTGTTCAAGAGCAACCACTTGGCTGAGCACTTGGGCATGCCATCGACTATTCAGCACACAATTTCCCTCCTTGAATACTGCATAGTGGCGGGATATGATTATCTGGACATTCTGCTGGCCATCAAGTCCTCAACCATTGACAACATCGTGGAGAGATTGTCCGAGAACTTCAATCGGCAGGTGAATTCCATCCAGCAATTCTACTACGTCAACTTCCTCACCATGAAGACGAATCTGTACAGATTGTCTCCGTCTGGACAGTCGAAATCGCAGGATTTGGCGTGTCTGCTGATGCTGCACTCCATCCTGATAGCCTTCAAGAGTCTCCTGAGGCCGTCAGATTTGACCTGTCATGATAAGGGACCGGCGGAGTATTTGGCGATGGGATTGTCGGAATCCAACACGGATGTGGACAAAGTTCTACTGAATCTCGAGGCGAAGGACTTCACAGTGGAACCATCAACGCTTCAGAGTCTCCAGCAATTGATCCAGTGGGTCTCTGATCTGGCACTTAACATCCTCGCTCGATTGCCGGAAACGCGCTCGAGTGGGAACATGAAAAACACAGGCTATGAGATTAGTCACGACGTGGTGGCACTCAACAGTATCCGGGAACTCCTGGTGATGATTCGAATCTGGGGCTTGCTGAAGGAGCAGTGTTTGCCGATCTTCGCCAGAGCGGACAATTTGGACATCCTCTCGACACTCTTCAGACTTCTCACGCGTCTGGCATTCAATCCCAATGAGCCTGACGACGTGTTGCTGGACGAATGCTGCCTGCTGCCCAGTCAAGTGATGATCCCCCAAATGCCCTTCGTCACCATGAGAGTTTGTGTGGCGTCGCCGCTCCTGGCCAATCTCAGTCTTCCGCTCTACTTCGAGTACAACCAGGAACCGGAGTGTCTCAAGTTCTCGGCCGACAACACGCCCATGGACAGTGGAGGACTGTCCAGCGACAGCGTGGTGGATTCCGTGCGTCACCTTCAGCTGGGAAAGATGCCGCCAGTGCTGAGGAAGTGCTGCCGATGCGGCGCCGCCACGGCGATCAACAGTGTGGCCAGGACGGCCGCCATGAAGGCGTGGGAGCAGCGCTGGTCCAGTGGATGTCGCTGCGGAGGCTTCTGGCGCCTCCAGTCGTACGTGTAGGAATCGGCTTGTAGAAAAAAATATTTATTTTCACAATGAAAGTGTAATGTTTGTCCTTAAATATAAGTTATGAGTTATGCGATCTGGACAGATTGTGTCGTCTCTCGACCTCCTTCTCCTGCTCCAGCTTCTCCAGTCGCACTTTATACTCCTCGTTCTGCCTCTGCGATATCTCCAGCTGCCTTCGCAGCTCCTCCGTCTGCTTCTTCAGGTCCAGCAACTGCTTCTCGATCTCCGACAAGCCCATGCTCGTGTTGGGACTGTCCATATGGCCCTTCGCCACGGCGGCGGGGAAGACGGACAGGTCTGGCGCATAGTCGTCCGGCTCCATGTCACTCTCCAATGGACCCTCGGCGTGAATGTCCAGCAGATTTGGCACTTGCGGGGGTTTCACTTTACTGCTCTCATTCTGGAAGCGGAAAGCATTGTATAGAATTCGAGTGATTTGGCGAAATTTATCAACAAACCTCTGCGAAAATGTCCGTCGCGGCGGGCAGAAGTTCCGGCCTCTTGCTGACCACCATGTTTCTCCTGTGCTTCGCCGGCAACACCGATCCATTCGACTTTAATTGCACTTTCTTCGTGGCACTGAGATCTCCCGCCAGGATCCGCTTGAACTCCTCCGCCGTCACGATCTTGATGACTTTGTTGGCGCCCGACTTGAGCGGCTTCACCGACGTCGCCGATATGCTCATCATGTTGACACTGCGCGGCGTCTGTCCACTGCTCGTGGCCGGCGCGATGTGTGATGTCGTTCGCCTGGCCTTGCTCTCGTTCAGCATCAGCTTGCCCGCTTCCGACAGGACGATCTTCCGTCCGCCCTGCAGAGCCGACGAGATAAATGCATTCTCCGTGTCTTCCGTGGGCAGCATCGAAATCCCGTGATCCTTCAGCATTTGCAGCGTCGACGATGGGTTTATTCGCGCATCTGCGAACACAACAGAGAATTAAATCAGCTCAATTTCCCGATTTCTGAGTCTGACCACCGAAAAAATTTACATTGCCTTGATTGTCAATCTCAGACAATGCTGAACGTTATTAATTTATCGTTTCTAAATTGTTTTTCATCAATTTGTTTATGGTAGATTCATACATTGCATTATTAAAAAAAAATTAATTGTTTTTGGCGATCAAATACTGTAAAATTAATATCTTTGATCTTTGCGCATGTCTGATTAATTTCATCACTTTCTAAACTATTTTTGTGACCATTCATATCACATTTTCTCAAATTTCCCTGCGATATCATCATTCTCAGACCCAGAGCTACGAAAGGGAGCGAGACTCACCATCTATTGTCTGCAAACGGATTATGGCGTCACTCAGCGTCATTCCATTGTCCTCGTCGATAGAACTGGAGTTGATCGGCGGCGAGTGTGTGTCCTCGATCTCCTCCATCTCTCCAGCTGGCGCGATCTTTGCCACATCGTCGGTCTGTCGCAGCTCCTGAGCAATGCTGTTCGTGGCGCGCTGCAGCTGCTCGGGATTCTCCAGGCGCTCCCTGTACGCGGAGTCCAGCATCAGGTAGATGTCATTGTACCCATTCTCCAGCGCCATGCTGATGGGCGTCTTGCGGAACTTGGACTCGGCATTGGGATCCGCGCCATGTCGCAGCAGAATATCCACGATCTTCTTGTGTCTCTTCTCCACTGCCCAGTGAAGTGGACTCATCCTCAGCATGTCCCTGGCGTCGATGTCGCACTGATTGCTCACCAGCAGCTCCACGATGTGCTTGTGGCCCTCGTACACGGCGAAGTGCAGCGGCGTGCGGTCCACCTTCGTGCGGGCGTCCTTGTTGAGGCCCGCCTTCAGCAGCACCTGGCATGTTTCGAGGTGGTTGTTCATGGCGGCGAGATGCAGCGGAGAAGTGCCCAGCCAGTCGGTGCTGAACGGAGCGCCCTTAGTCATCAGCTCGCGCACTTGAGCCGTATTACCCTCCTTGGCACTGATCAGCAGCATCTTCCCCAAGTCCACCACCGTGAACACGGGCTTCGTGAGATCCTCCATGGGCAGCAGGCTGCCAGACATCTTCTCCGCGGCGCCCTCGCGCTCCCGCTTGATGGCATTCCCGAACAGACTGTCGGTGATCATTACGCCTTGAGGTGTGTGTGTTCTGGTCTCTGCGGATGGAGAGCGAGAAAAAAGCTGTGACAGGCCGTCCGCCATCATCCCATTTCCGCCTGCCGAGCGGAAATGAGCAATTTATCAAGAAATGCCAGGAAATGGGCCCAAGAAGCCCTCCCAACCGCACTCACCCGAGTCAGCAGCGCACTCCCGAGATCTTCCGCTGCGGAAAAGCCACTGCTTCTCCCTCTGGACGCGGGAAAACAGGATAAATATTGCCCCTCAGCTACACTACACTCCGCAGATCCTGCCTCACATTTGACCTCTCTCGCTCGCTGTGAATTCTCACAATTTCTCGCAATGGTGCCGTCACACGTATCCACCAGTGTCCGGTCATGGGCAAATGTAACTTTATGCAGTTCAAAATTCTCCGCAAAAGAACAATTTCTCGTGGAATTCCAAGAAAAACCCAAACACACAAATTTAGAACCATTCACTGACAGCTGTCACAGCGGCGTAAATTATACAAGGGGGAAGGCAGGAATGTATAATATTCACAAACTGTGAAAACGTTAAGGGGTGCTATTCAAGAAGCACAGCAAAGGCACAGAAATTGCATTGAAGCCATAGAGAACTCATGTGATTCTGAAATTATTTGTTTTTATTCAAAAATATTCGACAAGTAATTTACTCCCACTATTTAGTCTGTACGTCGCGGCGCTGCAGTCGAGTGCATCTTCAAGCGCCTCTCGTAGCCATCTCAAGAATCGCAAATTATCCCCAAATTTTGAGTTTTCCTGGCTTGACAATATCAAATTTGTGGCATTTCAGCATCTCTAGGACTCCAGAAAGTACTACCACCCACCTCAGTCAATGTTCTGCACACCGAAAATGTGAAATAATCATCAACACCAAATCAGATAAACCGTCTCAGAGATTTGAATCGGTGGTGAAAATAGTCTGACTACCGATTTGTCGCAGTGTATTGTGTAATGGCGTGCTGAGGAGTTGGAGAGCAAATTCCTCGTCGAAGTTATACAAGTATTTAGCGAAGTTAATTTTCCAACTCACTGTGTGGCCACGATGAAGGACGAGGAGAACCAGAAGGACAACCGCGAGAGCATCCTGGCGGACGCCAAGGCGACGAGTTCTGCGAAATACTCTGCGTCAAGAGTTCAAGGAAATACTGTGATGCCAGCCAAGAAGTCCGCCACGGACTTCCGCTTCGGGAAAACCATCGGGGAGGGCAGCTTCAGCACCGTGTATCTGGCCAAGGATATCCACACGCGCAGGGAATATGCAAGTGAGTTGTCAATTGCTTCCATTCTGTTGCCATTTTTGCTCGTGGCGCCGCGCAAGAAGGCACAGCTATTGCCATCGCACGCAGAGGCAAGATTACACGAATTCCACAAATTTCTCATTTCTGAGGGTGTTTCACAAGCTGCATTTCGAAGTGCCCCGAAAACCTGCATTGAAATCACAAAACTACGACGAAATTACCTAACTATCGTTCTCTTGCGCTGAAAGCACATTTGGCACTCGTGCTGGTCAAAGCAAGAATCCCAAATGCGCTGTCCACTCTGAGCCTATCGTTATATTTTGGTCATGCAATTTAAATAGCATTCTCACGCTTTGTCTGTCTCTCTTCTCGTCCTGCGGCGGATGTGCAGTAAAAGTATGCGACAAGCAGCATATCATCCGGGAGAAGAAGCAGGAGTACATCAAGCGAGAGCGCGAGGTGATGAACGTGATGAGCGGCGTGCCCGGATTCGTCAACCTCTACTGCACGTTCCAGGACCAGAAGAGCCTGTACTTCGTGATGACGTACGCCGCGAACGGCGATCTGCTGCCGTACATAAACAAGGTTGGCTCCTTCGACATGGACTGCACGCGGTTCTACGCGGCGGAGTTGGTGGTGGCGCTGGAGCAGATGCACAAGCGCGGCGTGATTCACAGGGATCTGAAGCCGGAGAACATCCTGCTGGACGATCGCATGCACACGCTGATCGCGGACTTTGGCTCCGCCAAGATGATGCAGGACTCGAATGTGGTGCCGCCGGTGAAGCCGCCGCCGGAGAAGGACAAAGTGCCCATGTCAAAAGGCTACAGGCGCAACAGCTTCGTGGGCACGGCGCAGTACGTGTCGCCGGAGGTGCTGAAGGGACAGCCGGCCACGAAGGCGGTGGACTTGTGGGCGCTGGGCTGCATAGTGTATCAAATGGTGTCCGGACTGCCGCCCTTCCGCGCGGGCTCGGAGTACTTGATCTTTCAGAAGATCCTCAAGCAGGACCTCACCTTCCCGGACGGCTTCGATATGGCGGCGAAGGATCTGGTGGAGAAGCTGCTCGTGATCGATCCGAACGCCCGCCTGGGCGCGGACGATGCCGATAATCGCTACGACAGTATACGAGACCACGTCTTCTTCGACGGCATCGAGTGGTGCAATCTGAGGGAGCAGACGCCGCCGCAGATCTACCCCTACCTGCCCGGGCGGTGTCTCGAGGGCGAGCTGAGGAGCCGCTACAGGGTGCCGGACAATCTGGAGCCGGGCCTCGACGAGCGTCAATTGACACGACTGCTGGGCCTCGAGTTGGGCACCACCGGCGCGGCTCTTCCGCCTGAGCAATCAAGTAAGTGACCGCACCCTCGCCCCGCTCCGCCCACTGACCCACAATCTCCTGTGCAGGTATCGCGAGCCTGTCTGAGGCGGAGAGGCGGCAGCGCATGGAATCACAGAAGACTGATAAGTGGAATCAATTTGTCGAGGGGGAGTTGATTCTCAAGAAGGGCTATGTGCATAAGCGGAAGGGACTGTTCGCGAGGAAGCGGATGCTCCTGCTCACCACCGGACCGCGCCTCTTCTACATTGATCCCGTGCAGATGGTGAAGAAGGGCGAAATCCCGTGGAGTGCAGAATTGCGAGTCGAACCCAAAAACTTCAAAATATTCTTCGTTCACACAGTGAGTATATATAAACATTGCGGGACTTTATCAATCAATTTGATGCGCTATTCAAAATCGTGTGCATGGAAAATTTCCCACATTAATGTATAGTGTTGTTATTCGACAATTTATTGATTTTTCGTGAATCATGTCAACTATCGATCAAAAGGCACTTCTCATGCCTTTTCTATGCCCCAATTCGCCGTAATTGTCTGTTTTTGCCAATACAATTTCGCGAAAAGCTTGTCTAATGGGGTTGTTGTCTACAAGTGATTAGTTTTCCAGCCAAACAACACAATATTGTGCACCAGATAAGCCATTCATTCACTCTTTTTCACTCACTTTGCCTATCGGTGGGAAAATACACGAGAATTACATTGTGTGAAAGGAGTTTTTCTCAATAAGGAAATTGTATGTATGTTTTATATTAGCTGAAATAGCTTCACTATCATCACGATCGGGTTTTTTTTCTTTTGGATTCCTTTGTGGATCATTATGTGCGATTGCAAAGTGATTCATGCGTGTTTTGTGTGTTTTTTTTTATCAAGACGCACAGGGAAAACAACAATATCATGCATTGAGATCGTGAAAATTGTGTAGAAAGAGAGGGGAAGAAAAAACGCAAGTTGTGTGATTTTTTCTGCATCGCAGTTCTTCGCGCGCGCGCGCGTGTGTCTTCTTTGAGTGGCTTGTAAACAATCGTGTGGACAAATAAGCAATTATGCTACATTGCAAATACTCAACAGTACGCAATTGTAACCTGGCTTTGTGAGTGAGTCAATCAATGAGGCGAATATGAGGCGAATATGAGGCGAGTGGTTTTAGTTTGCCGCTTGATGGGATGCATTTCCTATGTTCTGCCACGTTATTGGACTCTGGATGAGTCAAGAAGTGAGAATAGCCTCTTAGGAATGTAAATAGTTAGCTAAAAGGGATCACTGAGGCAGCTTTATTTATACCAAACATAATCATAATTTGAAGCTACAATAAGTGCATAAAAGCAATTCTATGTAAAGCAAATTTATTGATAATTCAATCAAATTTATGAGTTTTACGCCTAACTTTTGTAATAAATTCACAGACTTTAGTGAGTTTATGTGACAAAGAAATCATTGAATGTGGAAATAGTATTTCGTGTTTGAAACCAACCTTGATGGCTTCTCTCGAGAGCCCCGCCCCTTGCAAACTCTTAAGCAGCCACACTTTAGTATCTTGCCATGATCTCTGCCTAATGTTCCACCCTTTTGTCGCCTCTTTGCAGCCAAATCGAACGTACTACCTAGAGGATTCGGAGGGATACGCACTGGACTGGTGTAGCGCAATAGATAATGTTCGGAATTCCACATACAGCAACGCGTCATCGTAAGCAGTGACTGCGGGTGTAATTTATTGCAAAGAGAGAGAGAGAGAGAGTGAGACACAGAGATTGGGTGGTTAGCAAATAGAGAAGAGAAGAAGAAGAAAAAACTATTTAAATTGAGAGAAAAGGATAATATTTTCTAGATAGCTCCAATTATCTCACAGAGAGAGTAAAAGGTAAAAGAAAAAGAGATTTGCTCGTTCAGTTCGATGATTGTAAAAATACGCGCGAAACAGATAAAATATATATAATCTTATTTTTGTTGTGGATACATAAAAAAAAATTTAGGTTTTTCTTTTTTGTAGAGAAAATTTTCGTTGATCTTTAGACAAAAAAAAAAACACACGGGAAGCATAGAGATGTTAAATCGAATGGAAAACTTATATTCTCATTGACCCTTGTTTTATAATTTGTAAAGGAAATTAACACAATATTTGTATTTAGGCGAAAAGAACAGAGACAGAGAGAGAGAGATGTGTAAAAGAAAAGCGAGAGGGATGAAAAGAAAATTATATTATGCCATGTATTGTATTCCAAATAAAGTAAAAGTTGTGTATTATAAGTTTTAGAGAAGAATTGTCCCATTTTACTTTTTTTCGTTCTCGTGTATTTATCAAAAGATTTTTTAGTTCTTTTTCTTTACCTTTTCTTTTTTTTTGCCTCAATGATTAACAATTGATAGAGAGTAAAGTATTTTTTAATTATTTATAATAATTATGTATTTAAATTACTACACATAATAGTTATATAAAGATTTTGAGGATGATACAAATACAATAATATTATGACAGAGCGGATATCTTTTGATTCAACAGAGAAGGTAGCTTATGAGCAGTGTGTGTGTGTGGGTGGCGCTCCTGCCGTGATGGGGCGCTTATCTGCCACAGTAGCCCCTCAGTTCGGACATGGAACAGCTCTTCCGGCAGCACTCATCGATGATGCCCTGCCTGCGGAAGCGCCTGAATTGTCCCGGTCGCATCGAGTTGCTCATCATTCTGCTGAGGAGCGGGAAATTGGGCACCTTCAGTGGCAAATCGTCAATGGATTGGGGCTGGTCAGCGAAGGCGTAGTCGTCATCATCTGTTGGAGAGGCGCAAAGAGTGAAGGCAACAAGCCATTAGTGATGCTGGCCATAGTTCGCTTACTAACAGTTCAAATTCCAGTGATTCTGGGTGTATCAAAATAGTTAAAAAGTTATCAGCAAGTTTGTGTTTTCTGGCAATTCTCAAGATCAAAATAAACATTCTGGCCATTTATTTTTCTATTCTTATTACAAAGTACTTTATGCCTATGACGCGGGTTTAGTTTGTAATATTTATAGCTTTTAGGGCTTCAGCGCCCAGATAAAGGCAGGTAAATGCCTCACATGAATGACAAATACGAGTCAAGGTTGCAACAACTGAAGATATGTTCTCAGATAAGAATATGTAACCGGACATTTAATTATGCTTATCACTTGTAATTACATTAAGTCTAGTTCTGTCTAGATAGACTACAAGTTTATCAGCACTCGGATGAATGAAAAGTCGTTGAATTTTTGTAGATTTGTGGGAGGGTGAAAAAAGTTCATTGGGAAAATCACAGTGCTTGCTGTATTTTTGCCAAAAAATTGGTGCCATCTAACTGAAAATAAGCCATAAAATGTGCGACTTTAAACCTTTAGATGGCCTTTAGCTCGCCATTTCTGGAGCCTATCTGAGCCACTTGTGCGCAAAATAACATTGTATGCTGTGCGAGAATTTCGCCACTCACCAAATGACTTCTTCTGCATGGTGTTGTACTCGTTCTGGCACACGGTGGCGAGAGTCGTGGACAGCATCTTTCCGCACAGCTTGCGGCGCGTCCGCTCGTGCAGGAAATCTGTGTCGATATCTCTGTCGCGTGGCATATCAATTTCCCTGGCCACCGTCACCAGCAGCACACTCGCCAGGATCGCGCACAGGCACAGCATGTTCATTGTCATCTGCATGATCGCGAGCAAAAAGCCTTATTTGCAACGCAACACTCTTGTCCCTTCACACTCAAGCCCTGCGCTCGCGAGGAGTTTGATTTTCCCGCCAAAAAAATTCGCCAAGTCACTGTTCGTCCTCACCAGAGATCACAGAATTAGTGCAAGTGTGGCTAGTCACTTGGGGCTCGCGCAGGAAGTCACTGGGGAGCACATCAAGTCCGGAGGAATAGTTTTAGGGAAGTGCGATGCGAACGGTTCGAACGGCGATCGAGCACAACAATGAAATTCCATTGGGATTGTCTGGCAAGTATCGAAATCAAACTTAACACCAAGCCGAATGAGGGGTCTCGCAGACCTACTTGAACTACATCAACATGAGGAGATACGTATATAGGAGAGGAGTAAAAAAAAACACTAGGAAGGCACAGGCAATTTGCTAGATGCTCTGTGAGAATGGGAACTTTGAGGCCTCAACTTTAGATAATGAAAAGAATTTCAAAAGCTAATGAAAATAAGGGAAAGCTCGATGAGTGTGACGGGAAAAGAGTGAGAAAAGTTGCTTCGCAAACTCCACAATTACAGTAGAATAGAAGGTTCATTTTAGAACACCCAGAAAGGATACTTTAATGAAGTGTGATGGAAGAGTTTAATAGCATAGAAATTTACCCTAATAATCCTGAATATGCACAATTTTACTCAGCAATTTGGAGAGATTTCTCAGTGAAAATTTAATGAAAAGCACAATTCTTGAACAATATATGTTTCTTCTGTAAACTCAGAAAGCATCTTTATGCTAATACTCTCCTTACTACTCAGGACAACATGGATAAAGTCACTGAAGGCACTGAAATATGCAGAAGAATGAATCACTTGCAATACTCCTCTTCTCTGGTGAGGCAGCGAGAGGGTGAAATACACCAATAAAATCCATGTAAATATGAAGTATATTTTGAGATGTATATTATTTTTACATTTCTGTGGTGTGAGGCAGAGAGACGGACATGCTGATGTGTTTACCACAAACTTTCGTCAACAAGCAATTAATGTTATCATCGTCAAGGGTCAATTTTTTCGAGCGGGACACAAACTGCATTCCTCCCCGAATGCCATGTAGTCGTGTGGATACTGTGGCATCATCTCACGGGGTTTTCCTTCCACAATCGCCACACTTGATTGGGCAGCAATTTAGTCACAACGTGGACTGTCTAGAGCGTGCAGTTTCGCTGGGGTTCTTGAGCCAGCGCGCGCCCACTGATAAGGCGCCTTGGCGAATTGGCGGGAAAGCTTTGAACACTCATCTCTCGCGACCCCAGAGGCATTTTCTCAATCGTTCTGATGGGCTTTTTTCCTCGCAGCGGAACGCGAGACTCGCGAGTAAAAAAAAACAACAGCTACAATCTTACCTCTTCTCTCTCTTTCTCTCTTCTGTCGTGGGCGTAATCAGTGGCCGCGGACAGCGGATGGATTCGCAATGGGTGCCAAAACCGCACAAGAACACTTCACGCACTTTCCACTGCACGTCTTCCCGGGACTGTCGCCCAAATCGCAATAGTCCTGCCACGGAGATCCTCGCGCCTTTTATAGCGCCGCAGAGCCCGCGAAACTGCGGCTCCTTCCATCCACCCGCCGAGCCGTCACTCCACATCACACATCGCCCCTGATTAATTGTGCAATTCACACATAATTGCGCGCATTTCATTACTGCAGAGACACAACACACTCATCATCATCCCTGAGCGACTTCCTGAGCCAGATCCGAGGCGACACAATGAGGGTTTATTGTGTGTCACGGCATTATTTTTGACTTTCTCGCGGGGGCACAACGTCACATGTGAGGGCGGCAAAATATTCCCTCGAATTATCTATTTTGGGCAGAAGATTTCCAGAGGCTTTAAAGAGACTTACCAGTGGAGATGCCTGACTCCTTTTCGAGAGCGATTTTCAGAGTCTTTTCTTTTACCTCGTAATTTGAATTCAGCGAAATTCTGTTCTGAAAGCGTATTTTGTATGATTCATTTTCAATATGGGACGAAAATTGATTGCAATTCCAGGAATTACAGGCGACGGAAGGGAAACTACTCTGTTTCCATTACCTCCAAGTCCTTCACCTCAGCCGACTGTGACGCAATGTTGGTCTGCGCGCGGAGGGCAAAGGCACTAATTAAAAGGTGCTGCAACGTGAATATTTGATTTGGGCAAATATTGACAGAGACGACAACTGAAATTGGAGGAGTCACCGTCCAAAAATACACACTGACTCCCAAAACAACTATTTGGAATAAATTTTTCCACTGATTTATTTGAATGATAATGCAATGATTAAATAGCCACGAATGCTTACAAGTACAAAAATTTTCTCCACTCGGAAACAAGGAAATAACACTTGACTTTTAACAATTTCTTAGCGGCAAAAACTGATTAGGCTACAATACTTTTTTTCTTGCTCTTAACGAAAAACCCTATATAATCTCTCCAAGAGTCAATCTATGTACAAGTATTTCCAAAATATTAATACTCAATGTTAATTGGTAGACAGTGATATTATTAATGATCGTCTATAAATACATACTCAATACAATTTATGAACACATGAAAGTTATCTATTTCTTGTCTATCATTATATTGTATTTTTTTTTACGTATAAAATTCTGGGTAAAAAACCATCCACATGACCATCTTCATGGCAATAAAAAGTGTGCTCTTCCAGTGTGCAAAGGAGTGTAATCTCTTGCAATTAATATGGTCAATGAGAAGATTGATGTTAAATAGAAGAGAGCTCAAATTTGTGCTACACAATTTCAGTAGAAAATTTCTTCTAAATATTCGTTGGACACAATTTACACTGATATGGTTGAAGAGATATTTACAGAGACATTCCTCTCTGCATCATCCCACTTTGCTGGCCCACCAAGTGATCCTCAACCGTTGTGCGGTCAATTAGAGACAGAGTCATGCAAATGATGGCATATTAATGCTGCTCAGTGGGCTTTTCTGTCACTCTCTCGCCACTCACCTGAGTTTTTGGGCATGACTAGTCGTTGTGCGACAGAGCTTCGATGCACAGAACAGCCAGTTTATTGTCACAGGAGATCCTCTCTTGGTTGAGGAGCTTGTTGCTCAGTAGTGTGCTCGCCAGCCCAAAAGACGTGGACGCTGCCGAGTGCCAAGCCTCGCAGTACGTCTCCATGGCTCTCTCGCCGCGGACATCTGATCCATGCCAAACGGCTTTCTGTGGCCTAAATAGACGAAGACGATGGGTAAATAACACTTGCTCAAACACTTGGGCAAACAAGCCACTCACCATGTGGTGTCCGTGAGAATGTTCTTGCCGTTGAAGCTGTAAATGCGCGGCGTCTGGGCAAAAAAGCCTCCCTGGCCGTTGAAGATCTCTTTCCAGGAGTTGAACAGCACCTCGCCGCGAATGTTCACGACGGGGAGCTTGTGATCGGCCTCCTGGACGATGGAGTCTATGTTCTGGATCCTGAGAAAACCATCGAGATTAAGATGCGCCTTCAGGAGCACGAAGTCTTCTCACCTCTCCGATATAAATGCCCGGAAAGTTCCCACCAATCCTGCTCTCCTCGCCTGACGATAGCAATCAAAGTCAGCTCCTCGCATCCCTTTGAGATCACCCGAATAAGGTTCATTCAGTGCTGCCATTCGCAACTGCAAAAATAACACACGATTTTAGTCTTCAACCTGAGCACACAAATTGATAAAAATTACTTTCTTCCCCCTTTGTATAGTGTTGAGCATTAAGTTCTGCAATGAGAGGAAATCAAAAGAAAATCATGCAAAAATAAAAGAAAAACTCACAGACTAAGAAAAGTCAGACAATAAACTCACCGATGGTCCAACGACAGGCTCCAGATTGTTGTGGAGCAAATTGGAGGCTTGCAATCCTTGCGAATCTGGTCGATTTGAGGCCGGAGGAGGAACATAATGACTGATAGGACTTTGGGATGAGGTGAGAGGTAGATAAGTTCCCAACTGTGGAGTTTCAATACACATTTTAGCTTAATTTACTCAAGAAAGACAAATTTGCATTGAATAAATGCAAAGAAAGTGCAGTCTTTCTTACCGAAATGTACTGCCAACCTCTGGTCACTCGTAGGAGAAGAGCTTCCTCGGCCACGAGGAAGACAATAGTCCCGATCGTGCTGTTAAGCTAATATCAACGGATTAGATGAGAATAAGATCATATTAAAATTCCTCACCTTTCTCAGTTCTTCGACGTTTTGCACCACGCTCACGCCCATCTGATTTTCCCCATCAAAAGACGTGATCTGGTTGATCTGGCCACCTTCCATGCTGATCACTCCCGGAGGTCCAGGCTCACCTTTGGCACCTTTGTCGCCCTTCTCCCCGCCAACCTGAAAGGCGAAGAAAGGCTCCTTAAATCATCAGGTTTCCCCCCTCTTAATCTGAATGATCGTAAAGTTGAGTTGTGTATGTTTATTTTTGTGAACATAAAGTTAAGCTTGGGGTATATTTAGTCACTTTCCTCTCTCTCTATCGCTTTGATGTGGATTTATCCAAGCGTGTGTGTTCGCAAAAGCCAGTGTCTATTTGTGAAAATTGTGCAATTTGTTAGTGAAGATGTGTGTTGATGCAATTAGGCGCTTCTATTACTCACTGCCTCAATCACTGTTGTATCACCTTTGTCACCTTTCTCGCCAGGATCACCTTTCAAGCCCTGCAAGAGATCATTAGTTACACCTGCCATTTGTCACTCAGCAACACAACAAGAAATACCTTTGAGTTCTTCACAGTTGAAGCACAATTGAGATTAACAGAGAAGTCATTTACTTGGGCATTAGAGAAATGTATGTGATACTCACCGGCCATCCGGGATCTCCAGTGTCTCCCAGTTCGCCCGGTCTTCCTGGTGGTCCCATGACGCCAGCTGGACCTGGTTTTCCTCGTCGTCCTCTCTGACCTCGCTCCCCTTTATCGCCTTTCGTTATGTTGTACATGCTGAAGTCTGGCGCGAACATCGAAGAGCCATCGGCGCCTTTCTCACCCTTCATGCCAGGCTCGCCAAAGTCTCCTTTGTCTCCCTTCTCACTGGAACACTGGCACTGACTCGAGCCGACGTCATCGCCGTAAATCACTCCTCCAGGAGGGCCTGGATCCCCTCGATCACCCTTCGCTCCTGGAGGACCAACAGCCCCCGTCTTTCCCAGACTTCCAGTCTCGCCTTTCGCCCCTGCAGGACCCTCCACGCCCTGAGATCCCTTATCGCCCGGAAGCCCTCGAGAGCCATCGTCGCCCTTGTCACCTTTCATGCCCTTATCACCAGGAGGGCCAGTTTCGCCCTTTTCTCCAGCATAACCTTTGATGCCCATCAGATTGTTGTTCAGATTTTGCATGGTATTCACAATTAAGGATTCCTATAAAAAACCACAGAAATCCAATTTGTATCTTGACGCCAAAATCTGAGTCATTATTAAAAATAATCAAATTCAACCTTAAACATCCTCGATGGATTCCAATTGTTCTTCAGAGTTAGCATTGGGCAAATTTTGTTAGAATTACTTTAAAGCTTTGAATTGGGATGATTGTCTTACATAATTCTCTGGAAATCCTGGCGGTCCGGCTGGTCCCGGAGGACCTTTCAGCCCAGGAGCTCCATCAACACCAGGTTCGCCTTTCCTTCCCTGCTCTCCAGCCTCTCCTCTGCTTCCTTTCGCACCAACTGCCCCGCGAGCTCCTTGAGGGCCAGGCATGCCTTTGTCGCCCATCGGACCAGGACGACCCTCCCTGCCTGGCATTCCGGGAGGACCTCTGATCAGTTCTTGGAATATTATGTCGTTCTTCAGGATGTTCACAGCTGATGTTATGTTGCAGGCACACGTTTCCTTCGGCTTGGTCATCATGAAGACATTTTCAGCGACCTGAAAGAATCCCATTCACTGCTTATTTCAGGCGATGCTCTCTCAAGTGGTGAATTAGCCCACCTGTCGAATGGTTGTGTACAATTCCTCGTTGTTTGTGATGTTGAATGACGTTCCCTGGAGTCCAGGCGGTCCTGGCGGTCCTGGAGGTCCGCGAATGCTGTCTCCTGGCGGTCCCTGCAAGACACCTCATATCATATCTCCGACAGTCCGGCGGAATCATTGCTCCCACTCATCATTTACTACCCCAGGAAAGAGTTATCTAATGACAATTAATTGACTTGATCATTGGGTGTTTATAAATAAACAAAATCCATTTCCATGAAGCAACTTTTTCTGATAAGATTGGCCTCATTTGAAAGGTCTTTTCATCCTCCACAATTCCCTCGCACATCAGCATTTCAAAATTCTAACAAGATTAACTCGGCGAGTGGTAAACAAAATTTTTAAAAGACGGAATTACTTTTTTTCCTGGTCGCCTCTCAGTCCAACACAGAGATTGAGTTATAGTGCAACACGCTGTTTTTGCAGTCACCCAAAGAGACATCTCTTTTTTGCACGACAATCAAGATTAATGAGTGAACTTACCCGCAATCCGCGATCACCTTTTTCACCTTTGAGACCCGATTCAGTGTCTGTTGGGGCAAATGGATCAATCGGGCCAGAAATTGACACACTCGAGAAGCCATGATCGCCTTTCTTTTTCTAGGAAAAGCACAGATAAAGATAAGGAGGGAAAATTGTCACTTTATCTGGGATCATCAAAACATATCCTGCAAATATTTACTATGCGGCGATCACTGCTATTTTGCATGATCGTGCACGCAGTCACCTCAAATTGCAATAAGTGTGAAAAGCTCTAATTTTCAACATTGAGATCCTCAATCTCACTTCATTTGCAATTAAGATTGACTATTAAAATTCTACAGCTCGCATACATAATGTTTTATCTTCTTGACAACGTTGCACAATTCCACTTGGCAAAACTTGATCCTTTGTTGATAACATCATTCATGTTAATCGCACAAATATGGAACAACACTGATTGAATCTCCTCACGCTCAATTATAGACAGAAAATAAAATGGAATTCGAAAGTGGCTTACAAAGTCCGGCTTGATGCATGCATTCATGATGTGACTGTTGGGATTTGCGTAGATCTTCAGGAACTGGAAGGATCCCTCGAAGTTGCCCCTGAGCTTGGGTCCCGCCTGACCAACGTAGAGCGTCGATGCGGAGTCGAAGGTCAAGACGTTGGACTGTCGCTTAATTTTCACCGTGTTAAACTCATCGCAGTCCAAGTAGAACACAACAGTGTCGTGTAGAACTTTGAAAGCGAAATTGAAATACTCCTTCGTGTACGGAATTTCAAATGTGTTCAATTCGCGCGATGAATCATATGATGAATCGCTGTAGTAAAGTGTTATGTTCATGAACTCATTCAATACTGGTGAGAGGTGAACACCGAGTTGAACTACAGTTTCCAGAGGATTTACAACGCTGAAAATGTATCCACCTGTAAAACAAAGGTGATAAATAGAGATTAAGATTGCAATTTGGTTCATGGAGAGTTGGAGATTGATGGAAACTGACAGACTTGATTTTGAATTGTAGAGTTAAATGACTTCTGTTCGGCAATTTTAATCTAGCTCAAGAGAAATAAACTCGGGAATTATCACATAACGCAGAAATCAGCATCAGAAACATCTAAAAGCTTGTTGGGAAAATGACAGAAGATATGCAAATTGACTGCAAGATAGAATTGAGTGATATTCTAAGACTCACCTGAGAGTGATTCAGGCCTAATGATTCCTCTGATGAGGAAATCAGTGAGTCTCTCTGGGAGAATGAGGCGAAAAGGAGTTTTAATGTCCGCTTCCTTTTGAATGTTGAGCACAGGGAAATTGTCTGTGTCGTCAGTTATGAAAGTCACGCCGTCATTGGGAAGCGCCACGGCGTCCAAGAGATTGTATTCCTGAAAGTCTGCAAGAGATAAGGCATTAGCGAGCGGAAGTGGGAGGCAATGAGGCTGAGCATCACCTGCGTTGGCGCACTCCCGGCCCAGAAGCAACGGAATGATGACGATGAGCGGCGTGATGTCTCTCCTGCAAAGATAAGATGTGAATCTTCGTGCTCGATGGGATTAGCAGATGATGAGCACTTTACATGATGCGATTTTGCCACACACTTCACAATAGAGTATCTCGCGCTCTAGGCTCCTCTCCTCACAACACCAACAGCCATGCCCAGTGAATGATGGTTGTATCAACACTGCGGTGAGTAGTTTTGCATACAAGAGCTGCTTTGGAGAGCAAAATGAGCTTTTGCCTTGTCGGTTTCGGATAAAAGGTGGAAAAATTCAAAAAACCGGTTGAACATTTAATACACGCCACTAAACATCATCACCATGGTGATCACTGACAAATCCAGATTTCCCAGCTTATCCATTCACACAGAGTCTCTCTCTCTCCAGGAGGAATGCTCAGCGGAGAGAATTATGAATAATTGTCCCCGTGCCGAACAACTGTCGCCACGCATACATTATTGCCAATTAGATGGCCAAAAACGCTTTCCATTCACACCAAGTACACCCCATTAGGTTCTCCCATTCACTGGCCACGCACTTCCCGGAGAGAATCCCACCCAAAAGTCCGCACACAATAGCACACACTATAAATCTTCCGGCGCCGCGGCCTTTCTGCACGACACGCGCCCCCAAAAGCACCCGGAATCTCACACAGAGCAGCTTCCTCTGGCCACCAGAGTTATCTTCCCCGTCGCAATCTCACTATCTGTGTTTATCTTTGCAAATTCTTCGCGATGTGTGGAGATGGATGGAAAAAATTCACGCAGGCGCCTTTCATCTGTGAGATGACACAGAGACTTTCGCAAGAATTACCATCGAAATGGCACTTAAATTGATGCCAGACTCTTTTTTTTTGCTCTCCTCTGAGCGCTCACCCATGATATTAGCATATTCGCTCCAATATTCTCCCATCACTCATCAAACATTGTCATTCATTTTTTCGCATCATTTTCCCTACCCATTGTGCTCTTTGGCGTGCTGAAATGGAAACTATAAAGCCAAATGGTAAGCATGTGAGTTGTGCAAAACTTGGGATTTTGTTACACGCCATCCGAGAATTCAAATATGTTTCAGCTTATTTTGGAGAAAAAATTCTTAAGAAGAAATGCTCAGTGAAATAAATCCACCTACACAGTGTAAGTTAACCCATTGAGAGCCGAGAAATATTCTCATTTACTAAAGAATGACGTCAAATAGTAGTCAATAATCTCTTTTAGCTCGACATGACCGATCGAGATAGCTTGAAAAACCGGTGAACTTAGGTTTTAGCACCTAAATTGCAGACTTAAGATTAAGTTTTGGTGAATAGAGGTAAAAAATTTTGATTTTTCATCCAGTTTACACGTGATTAGTTAGAATTAGAGAGATAAAATACGCTTTTCATGGGACAAATCAATGGGTTAAATTGGTTAAATTTTGTCTAATGCACATTTTTCCATTACAATCTCGAATAGAGCACGAAAAGAAGACGTTTAAAGTGACGCCGATCGCATGCATGAGCTGTGAATGTTTCGTACGAAAACACCGGTCAAATCGTTGGCTCTCCATGGGTTTGGTGGACTTTAGTTGTGGAGATAAAACCCACGAAAACAATGCTCCAGTCCCTCCGTTCCTCGCCCAGCCCACGATGGCGGCGCGAGGAAAGCAATGGAGAGAGAGAAAAGGCATTAATGTAACATTTTCAGTGCATTTACAATGTGGAAATGCAATCTATAAATAACGCGGCAGTACATAAGGAATGTCCATTATTTACCCAGTTTGAATAACAATTAAAAATAACGACATGTTTTGTCTGGCCTAAGTGATGCCCATATTGAATCCCCCACAAAACGCCGTCCACTCTTTTTCCAAACAATTTTAGCCACTAAACACACTCCTTATCACCCCAACAGAAATGCCATATATGACCAACGCACCGGATGAAGCAATCAATAGCACTTCACGCCGCGATTTCATGCAAATTTTATTTTATCACTCTGGCACCTCTTCGCGCGACGCGCAGATATGAAATCTCTTGTCTTGGGCGATCATCGACTGAAATGGCATTCTCCAGACTCCGAAGCGGAATGCCAAACTATTTATGGAAATCGCGCTACTCTGCCGTTCTTTTGGACAAATTCAGGAATAGCAAAAAAAAAACCGTCTGTTTGCAGATTAAATGCCAAGCTTCAATCTTTTTGCCACTGTTTTGCGATTTGCAACTTTTTTATGAGCTTTTAATTGATGTCACAAATCACTTATCTACAAATATGATCAGTGAAAAAAATCTGTGTGAAAAAATGACTTTCTGGATTAAATCCAAGGAATTTTTTTTTTCTCCAAATCATTCACACAATTTTTGAAAAAAGCATCACCAAGGAGCGATATTTCTTTCGGCACAGCATTAAATCAGTCGAATAGCTTGAATCCGGGACTTTAAATAACATCTAAACATGAAATTATATTGCAAGATCTTTATGAGACTTTGATTTATAAATTTATCAAATTACACGTCATAATATTTGCTTGAATTTCTCAGAATTCTTTATGCGGATGAACTTCATTGTAATACAATAAGAGCAAATTCCATCTGAATACATTGTTGGATATTCAAATCACTCCATTTGCAGATACAATTTCACTGTGAATTTGGAATGCATCTTAAAAGTTTACTCTTTTATCTGTTTCTTCTGCGAAATTTGTATTTACAATTGAGAAATGTATTTTGCAACTTTGACAATGAAAGGAAAATGCGTAATAAAATGTTGAGTTTTCATGCTCTGTGAATACATTTGAATATCCGCGACTGTACGATTTGAACATCGCAAATTTGCAGGAATATTATTAATATCAGCGCTCATTCCTAAGAATATGTAAAAGTAGGAAGAAAACATGGAATGTAATATGAATATTTAATATCTTGTCATGTTTCCAAGCCACCAAAAGCAGCGGATGTTTTGTAGGAGTCGGAGAAGCTCGTGTAACATCTTGAGCACAAATCCAACATAATTATTGCTCAACATATTTCTGCGCGACGCTCGTCGCTTGTGTTGGAAAGCATTAAAAGCTAAATAAATTTTTCTGTCTCCATCTCCGATAAATCAGTGGGACGTTAATTGCTGGATTGGTGTTTCGAGACATGTCGCTAATCACGGCATCTCATTCTTCGATCAAAGAGCTCATAATTGGGATTTATCATTACGCGCGTTTTTTTCGGCGCTCGGAAACATCATCGTCGCCCTTCTAAAAATAACTGATCAGCAGTTATTGCTTGTAGCCATTCAAATTTACGATTCTTTTCGGCGCTTGAGATGAAATTTGAGGGATTTTTTCTGCCATAAAGTGAGTCTATAAAGTGGGACTCACGCTGTCCTACATTGAGGCATCATCTGGTCACTGTTGGCTGATTCATTGAAGCGATTCTTGCTCCGAAGAGTATCGCGTTGGAATAAAAACACAAAATTATGACGAGAACAATGTTGACATCAAATATTTACGAGCCATTTGTTGTCTTGTGTGAATGTACAAACACAAAGCGTGACAAATTAGCCAACACTGATTGTTTCTTGCTCAATTTCCTTAACGCGCTTCCGCCACACGCTGGCCGCCGTCCAAGAAGTCAGGTGCTGAGGATCTCCAGATCCGCAGACGGTTTCGGTGAAGTTTGTACTATTTGTAGTACATTTCCTATTTGTCCAGATAAACACCCAGACTGTATTCTTCGTGATTCTGTAATGAATAAGAAAATAAAGAAATTACAACACAACGCCTGATAAAGACATGTCGCTCATCTTTTGAGTTCACAGCAGATTAACATTCTTGTAAATATTTTTCCCAAAATAGATATTGTATTTATTTATAGCATCTCTGCATTTGTACTTATTCTCTCAATCAAATCAAATCACTAGTTGTCATCGGAACGGAGGAAGAGTGTGCGAAAAGAGTAAAAGTCCATTTGCTTTTCGTTATAGCGGTGCTGTTTTTATGCCAACCACTGTAGACATTTTATGATAGAAAATGTGAGAAAAACGATATCATCAAAATGAATTGGGCAAATAACCTCATTCTCTTGATGCTCTCGCGCCGCCACTCAATACCATCGCTTCACGGCAAACATTCCTCAAATTGCTGCCCATTGACATTAGCAAGTACTTGAGAATTGTAAATATTTGCGAAATTTTAGTGTTTTTCTAACAGCATTTACGCTTACTTTTTGCGCGGGCAATGCCCACAGGCGCCCTCTGTGATTGAACACATGCCTAACAGCGCCACTGCGGCAAAATCGCCGGCCGTGGAATTTGACGGATCAGTGTTGTTGTTTACCTTTCCTCAAGACCAAGAAAATCCGTGTTTTCCTCTCAAAATCATGCCTTCAGAACCCAAGAAATTCACTCCTCAGCCATCCAGCTTTACTACCCACCTCTTCTCGGCGAGTGCCAGTGGACAGGACTTCACGTATCGCGTCCTGAAGATGCAGGACTCCACGATGATCTACATTGGCGAGAAGAGCAGCGAGACTTTCGAGGAAATGGCCCTGGCGATGATCTCAGACTCCGGAGAGGCAGTCGCCACGACAATTCTGGGACCCCTGCTGGGATGTGATTCACAGCAGCTGGCGGAGAAAGTGGCCAGGCGGCTGAAGAAGCAAGTCTACATCAGCTGCAATGTTCCTGCCGAGAGGATGAGTCGTCCTGTGATTGAGAAGCACCTCGTGGACGAGATCAAGAATCGGCCAGAAATGTTTTGAGCATAGTCAGAGTGTGAATAAAGCGTGAAATTCAAGGAACTTGAACTTCCTGTCCACAAGAGTGGCCGAACAAGAGCAAATTGCGGCAAAAGCGACTTGCCAGTCACACCTGCGAATGAGCTCAGATTTATGGCCTTTTCCTCCTCCAGCATGATCGGCAGCACTGCCACCTCTCCTCGCCAGAGAGTTGGATGACCCCTGCCAGCATCTCACACCAATTTGCATGTATTTTTTCTCCTCGCCCGCCAATTCGCTCAATTGTGGAGCCCACAAATCAAGATCAAGTTTAAATAAGTGCATAGGAAAAAGTGAAATGGAAATTAATTCCCATCACGGGCAACGTAATAATCGTTATGGTGATGCCAAATTGGTGCGAAAGAGAGCTGGAGGAACTCGTAAAAAAAAAACGGTAGCACAAAGTCTTTTTACCTTCATTTTCAATTGCACTTCGAACATGCATTTCAAAGACAATCCAACAATTGTGTGAAGTCGTCACAAGAGAACACATTGGAAAAACTTTCCCATTTTTGTTTTGCTCGCCCCTTTTTCATGTCCACACGGTTCTCATTAAAATCTCTTCTATGACACGTGAGACAATTTTCAGGAGGAGTGAAAATAATAAGAGGTGAGAAGCGTGACATTGTGAAAAAATAATTATTTCACTTCGAATAATTAGGGAACAAAAATAAATGCTCTAACAAAAGAAATAAAGTTCTTATTAACTAACTTTATCGTCAGTAAATCATGCAAAGTTTTTCAAAATTAGATTTCTAATTAAGTAATCTAATCTATTTTATCTTAACCTTGACGAATTACTTGAAAGAATGGATCTTAAAAGGTAAACGAATTGTTGTTTCCTTATCAACAGTCGCTTTTCTAAATGAAAAAAGCATTTCTCAATTAGTTCAGTTTTTGGTGCTTTCAAGTAGGCGTGACTTTTGAATGGGCGGAGCTTCAGATATAATAATAGAGACACATTTTCCCAATTTATGCGCCTCTTGAGTAGCAATTGAGTGTGTAAAAACTACTGAGCATATCAGATGTTAATTATAAATCAAAAGACAACATAATTCTGCCCGATTTTTTCTTGCAACTCATTTTCTATTTTCTCACCTCGTCTAATATGTGTAATTCAATGGCAAAAGAGTAAAAAGTCACTTTGGTGGCCACCAGAGAAGGTGAAAAGAGAGAACAAATTGAGCGACTGGCAAAAGAAGTAGCAAGAAATTTAATTAAATTTGCCAGCTCTTTAAGTATTGTTATGGCGCTCTTGTCCATTGATGAAAAGGCGTGAATTTTCTTATATTGCACGTCCACCTTTACCTTCAATTTCCAGCGGAAATCCACGCTCAATTGAGCTGAAATACACAATTGAGAGTCAGATTCACTTTCACTACGCAAGTTCTCAGGACAGAAACAAACACAGAGAGTTTGTCTGTGAAGTCCACAATCTGCGAAAAGCGTCATTTTTCCCGGTCCTTGACTTTGCGAGCCACTGAGAGATGTGCGCAAGCAGCACGAGAGGGAAATCTGCATTCAATTCAATTCACTGCAAACTGATGGGTTTTTAATCCATGACGATTGCTCTGCACTTTTGCTCCGATTTGCATATTTTAAATGGTTCAGGTAGAGAAGTCGAGGCAAAAGCCATCAGATGGTGGATCAAAACAGGAAAATCGTGATTAAATCGTCGACAGGCGGATAATTTTCACGACGCGTGATTTTCTAGGAAAAACAGAAGATGCGCATTGACATAAATCTCACGAAGAGCCACACAATATGGAAATTGCAAAACAAATCAGCCAGATTAGAAGCGGCAAATCATTAAAATCAAGGTAAAAAAGATCAGATCTTCAATTAAAGATTCAACTGGAGATTCTCAACACTTTGCACAATTTTTTATCTCTTTTCCATATGCAACAATTGACCTTATTTAGATGATCTTTCGAGAAATGGGCCTGAAGATAAAACTTGTGATATAACATGAAACCCACTTATTAAGCAAATTTGGTGTTGAGTGTTAATTTATGTAGAGAGAATCAATTTGGAAAACGATGTAAATTTAATAATTCCTCCTAAAATGTAACATAAAATTATGCAAAAGCTCTGCAGTAACACAAAAGACATTCAGTGCCAAATTGTCTCTCAATTTTTTTTCACATCTGCAAACACAATAATTGCACGAATTAATCAAATTCATTCCTTTACCAGTTTTGCCTTCGGAATGTTTTATGTTTCCCTCGATAAAAACCCATTGAATTGATAGCAGATCTACGCCAATCGCGGAAATTGAGATTCTCCTGTGTTTTATTTGTTGTTTCTTCAGCAATCTGTCTTGTTTTTGCGCCCATGCAAAGCACATCACGTCACCGCAATTAGCAATCAAACAGCCAGATGAATTTTGATGAGTCTGCAATTTTGACAGATTCATTCAATTTGGCCAGTCTCTGTAAGGTCAAGTTTAATGCTACCAATTACTATCATCGACTGAGGAGAAAAACGAGAGCAAATGGTCGGAAAATGTGTTATTCACCTGGCAAATTGTTGTATATATAAACTTTATGAAAGACGATTCAGACATCGCAATAAAGTTTTTCTTCCCAGCTCACAAAACCACAGTCTTGTGCCTGAATTATTGGCACTCTTATGCACTGTTTTCTTATTTAGTTAGCAAAAAACACTTGAAATCAATGCAAAAGATGCCCATTATTTCTTGAAATTAAGATTTGAAATGAGAATATGAGTGTATTATGTATTCTGAGTATATTTAATTTTTCTAAAGCTGCAGCTTTTATGATACAATTGTTAAAAATCAATTCCAAAAGCGCTGAGAGCGCGAAGACACATTTTCGGGACAATTCTGTCAATACGACAAAGCGTAAAGTCACTATTTACAATGGATGGAAGACCAAATTGTGCCTTTTGCGAGGCACTCAAGGAAGAAATTCCTCATGCCGGAACATGTATCGCACAGGCTACAAATCGCACAGGTCGCTGTGAGACTGGAAAATTGGATCGTTTTGTTACAGCACACAAGAAATGGTGTGCGTTTTGCAAGAATATGCTTTTCTCCGCATATGCACAATAATGTGTTTTCATTATAAAACGCAAAGTCAGTCGAGCGATGTGTTTAGAAGCAAACATTGCTGTAATTTTGATTTTTTTGCACGGTTTACATTTCGTCCCACGATGCGGATATTAGAGGCGTTAAAGGGAGTATTAGGAGATTGCATTTGGCCAGTGATTGCGCATAATTGCGATGCGCCAATGAAATTGAGAGGTGCGCATTTGGCAGATCAGAGACCATCGTGAGAGATCTCAGGTTTGTGGCAAAAATTGTGGGGAGGCGCGCGAGACAATTGATTTGGAAGAGTGTGAAAAGCACCTGCAAAGTGGCAAACTCTCGATTCTGGCGTGTGTCGCTCTTTTGTGGAGCAGCCAGGCAAAGAAAATGAAAAGTGTAGCAGCAACAAAACCGCCCAATAAGGCGGCGTGTGTGGAGAAGAGACGCGCGCGGAGCTGAAGAAATTGAAAGTGTGGCGGGTAGTCAATATAAGTAACGGCCTTCGCCACTGAAAACTCTATTCTGCTGCTGGATTTCAACGTGAGTGGTTGTTTTAGTTTGCGAAAACATCTTTTCCGCATTAGTTTTCCGCTTGTGCAAAAGTTTTCCAGTGCTGTTTTGTTTCTTCACTTTTGTGTGACTTGAGAAGTTCAAGAGTGGAGCGAATCATTCGAGAGTCACCCAAAATGTGGATTAAAGTGGTAAGTTTCTTCAGGCCATTTCTCCTCATCATCATCATCGCACTGAAGATGACAAGACTTCGCGTGTGCTCAAAGAGAGTGTGTAAAAGTGGCACAAGGAATCGATAAATACGCATTTACGGTTGTTAAATCTGATTGTCAATGAGTAAAAAAGCGTTGACGCAATTACCGTGCGACCACACCTCAAACACCAAGAGAGCCTGGGCAGATGATGGCGCATTCTGACCAATTTTGACCAACAAAAGTGAAATGATTTCACTTGCGCAATCATTTCACTGTTACATTAGTTTTTTTTGTCTCTCTCTCTGCTTTGAAAAAAAAAGCTCTCCATCCACACACACGCGACGCTGGTTTAATGAACTTTAACGATTTTGGCGGCGGAGTCCATTGCATAAGTCTTTCTTTCGCATAATTCCTCTAAATTGCACCTTGATTGCAAAATAGCTGGCGATTGTTAATGGTGCGATGCACACTTTTCCGCATTCTTCCCACTAGACATTCTTCCTCTCCACCCTCACGCTGATTGTGGGCCTCCCGATGAGGAATAAACCCCTACCGATCACGCAAGAGAGCATCGACGGCCTCAAGTACCTGCTGAAGCTGCGGCAGATGCATCTGCAGGAGCAACTCCAGCAACCGCAGGAGTTCCTCTTCAGCTACCACATCCCCACGCAGGAGGAGCTCAATGTCCCTGTGGATCCGGAAGCCGCTGCCCTGCAGCAGATGCTGCCACCAGTGCAGTCCAACGAGCCCAATTACTACGCCATGAAGCCGCGCAAGGGGAAGAAGTACCAGCCCAGCCAGAAGCAGATTCACATCCGAAATCCCACCCTCAGTCCCATCGTCGTGGAGGAGGATGACTCCCTGAGGCAGGACTACCCCTTCGAGGATGTGAATTACGATCTGGGTGAGCAATTCTACCTGCCCGAGGCGCGGAATCAGGACGCAGTTGTGGTGGAATCGGCAGACTATGCACAGCCGAAGGAGCTGAACACGGGCGAGACGTACAGTGCCATCCGGAGGAAGACGGAGCCGCAGGAGCGCGCGGAGGATCGCGTGGAGTTCCAGATGCACGGACACGCCGGACCAAAGAGCTACAAATTCGGCTACGACACGGGTAAAGGGTAATCCTATGCTTTTAACATTCTACACATCGCACGTAACTCTCTCTCTAAACAACATTTGACACTCTCCTCGAGCAATCTCGCGCGATCTCGGGCTGTAACGGGTATTTTTCAATTGATCTTTGCAGCAAAAACCGCCAGTTCAGATTCGAGGAGGTCGACAACGAGGGAAAACTGAAGGGCCACTATGGGTACATTGACAAGAGGGGTAAAATGCACGTCATCAAGTACACCTCGAGTCCCGAGGAAGGATTTAAGGCGGAGAAGGCCAGCTAGTAACACACCAAAACCCCACCCTTCTTTAAGGCATTCCGCCCACTCTCGTGTACCTTTGCTGAAAACATCTCAAGACGCAGAAATTCCATGAATTTGTCTCACTGTAAATTCACAAGTAACATTCACACCACACTGGTTTTGTATTTATAGTGGATATGAGAGAAATAATAAAAGAAATTGGTAGAAAAACACTCGAACGGTCACTTACTTGATGCATTGCACATCGCTTAGGATAAGACCACTTTCTCCACATCTCCGAGCAGACCGGAAGCGCCGAAACGGAAGAGCTGCGGCTGCAGCCACTCGTCGCCCAGGCTCTCCTTAATCAGCGTCATCCAGGCGATCGCCTCCCTCACCGTGCGCACGCCGCCAGCAGGCTTCAGTCCGATCTGCAGAGAGACAACCAATTTCCAGGAAACCAATTAGCCAAGACCATTTAGCAATAAAAAGCATGTAAACAGAACAGCAAAATTCACAATTTTCGTGGCTCAAAGAGGCGTGAACAAATCGGAAGTTGCAACTAATGAGGAAAGTACGCGATGTGTTTCCCAAAAATAACCACATTTCCACCTCATTTTCGTCCAAATCAGGCGAACGGCAAAGAAGAAATCGAGCGCACGCACTTTTTCCATAGGCTTTGAACTTGAAAGCGCCACGAGAGAAAATTGCAATGTGACGCCCGATGTGAATCGATGCAGAGAAGGTGAGTCTTTTTGCTGCAACCAGATCACTTTCATGGCGCCTCTGGGTTGGGATTAGTGAAGTAATAAGTTGTACACTTTTTACACTCATGTAAATATTGGATTGAAATGTAAAGAGAGATTTCCGGCTTTGCCCTCGGAAGACAGCCTGAAATTGTCGCTTGATAAGAAATCGAGTTTTTTGGGCTGTTGAGAATGCTTAGAAAAAACACTGCCCAAGACATTTAAATTAATGGGTTTGCTTAAAGCGCAAGATCTAAAATCTTGAAACACCGAAATACAAATCTTGCGTCTAATCGCAAAAAAAAACTTCATAAATCAAATTAAACCGTGCGCGATTGCAAGATATCGAGTAAAGGGAGCAGAGTAATAAAGATCTACTGATAAAGCGAGACATTCTCAGTCTTCTCAGTTATGAGAAAGCTTTCGGAAGGAAAATCCATTTAATTCATTATGGCCTTCGCTCTTTCATCCTTTCAATAGGACAAATCTGATACATCTTCTTCATGAATGCAAACCACATATATTTTGTAAAAACGAGATCACTCACCTTCCTTCCGGTCCGTCTGTGGAAGTCCTGGATTGCCCGGATCATCACCAATCCCACTGGAAGCGTTGCGTTCACGCTCTCCTTGCCGGTGGATGTTTTGATGAAGTCCGCGCCGGCCATCATCGCCACCATCGAGGCCATGTACACGTTCTTCATGGTGCCCAGCTCTCCGATGCCCAGGATGGCCTTCAGATGGGCAGAATTGCCACATGCGCGCCGCATGGCCAGAACTTCATTATACAAATCCTGCCATTGTCCCTGCAGCGCCAATCCACGGTCGATTACGATGTCAATCTCCGTGGCACCGCTCTCGATGGCGCACTTAATCTCGTCCAGGCGCGTGGACAGTGGGAACTGGCCAGAAGGAAAGCCCGTGGCCACAGCCGCGATCGGGATGTCATTCAATTTAGAGAGCTCAGCGAGAGTTTGCCTGGCGTCCGGCACTCGGCTGGGATAGACACACACAGCGGCCGTGTGTATCTTGTCTTTGGTGGCCTCATCCAAGCCCAGAGAGTCCAGAACGTGTTCCGGGAACGGGAAAGCCGCCCGGAGGCAGAGACTCCTCACGTTGGCCTTCGTGTCGTCTCCGGCGAGAGTTGTGAGGTCCGTGAGGGTGAGAGCCTTCAGTGCCCACGCCTTGACGTTCAGAGGATGAGTGACTGAACTCCTGGACACGAGAATCTCCACGGAATCCTCCACAGAGCGCAGATTGACTTGATTCTGCTCGAACCAAGATGTTTCTGGAAGAATTTTGTTATTATTTACCAATTACGATAATTGATTGAGTTATAAATAGTTACCAAATGGTATTGGCTTTTGAACTTCCATAATTTTTGAGGAAATTAGCACTGAATCCAAGGAAAACACACACGTGTGAAGGTCGCAAAGAACAGCTGATAAGCCTGAAGGGGAAAGTCGCTGAGTTTCCCCCACCCAAAAAATCAGTCGATGAAGTGCAAAAGGCGGGAAATCCAAAATAAAGAAGAATTTGCGATGTGTGAACATTCGCAAATTTCACGGCAGATTAATCTCCTTGGCGGTGTGAACCGGAAAAGCGACGAGACAGTAAAACCAACAGCAATTTATTGCTCGGTAAACATCACTTGCATTTTTATTTCTTTCACCCAAAACATTCACAACAGAGAAATACTGCGGTCAGCTTTTTCCTATTAGTTCTGTACAATCAACTAAAAAATAAATAATTTCTCCATCTAACGGCGAATAAATAACATTGCAAGAGGGACATAAACTTTCTTCATTTACCTGATTAAGTACCGCAAAATCGACGCGAATTTACCTGTGCTTCTCCCATTGGTTCCAGTATTCGGGCGTTTGCATCTCCGCGAGGCGCGACATTGTCCTGTCGAAGGCGAACAGCTCCTCCTCGCCGGTGAAGATGTTGGAGGCGGCGTTCTCCGAGCCGATCTTGATATTGAGGTCGTCCATGAGGACTCTGTGCTCGTCAAAACTGTCCTGAGTCTCCTCGACGGAGAAGAGCTTCTTGTAAGGAACGTCCGAAGAGACCACGACTCTCACGCGGTTGTCGTACAGCGTGTCGATGAGGGTGATGAACCGCCTGGCGGGGGATTTCTTCTTGAGGTTCAGCTGAGGCAAGTCGCGAATGAGGATCGTGTGGAAAAACTGCGCCAGCTGCAGGTAATCGCTCGCCGCCAGGGCCTGAAAGTCGCAATGAAGTCATTATCACGCCCAGACAGTCGACAATTCAGCGATAACTCACTCTCTCGCAAATCTCCTCGAACGTGGTATCGAGAATCTGACCGCAGGTCTTGGCAAAGGTCAGATTCCTGCCCAAGTGCGTGAAGGTCTTCGGCCGGATGATGTCATTCTCCTGCGAGCAGAGAATCTTGAACATGCGATCCATGGCCTTCGCCGCGTCGTCATTGTCAGGAGACTTGCTAAAATGGATCGATGAGATAGTGACTCACTTCTGATATCGTTTCTCGGAAGCTTTGACACTCACATGAAGTAGTTCTGGCCATCGCCCTTGAGCGCCAGGGCTCTGTAATCGATGCCACTGTCCAGGGAAATGACGCTGCAGTGCGACTTGAGGATCCCAATGAAGGGCAGGAAGTTGCTGCGCTGCAGTCCGTTCTTGTACAGATCGTCCGGCGCTCTGTTGCTCGTGGCGATCATCACGATGCCGTCGTTGAAGAGATGCGTGAAGAGTCTCTTAAGGATCATCGCGTCCGCGATGTCAGTGACCTGGAATTCGTCGAAGCAAATGAGCCAGGAGTTCTGGGCAATGTGGTCGGCCACTGGTTTGGTGGGATCGAAGGGCTTTGGCTTGTCATCTCGGCTGTAGACCAATTGCTGGCTCTTCTTCACGGCGTGAATCCGCGAGTGAACTTCCGTCATGAAGGAGTTGAAGTGCACCCGTCGCTTCTTCTCCACGCCCGTGCAGCAGTCGAAGAAGAGGTCCATCAGCGTGGTCTTTCCTCCGCCCACGCTTCCGTGCACATACAATCCCTTGGGACCTTCGGACTTCTCCTGCTTCTGGAAGAACTTGAAGAAGCCTCCGCTGCTCCCGATCGCCGGCGTGTAGGACTGTATCTCATCGTAGATGGTCTGCAGGGCTTCTGTGACTTGCTGCTGGTGCTGGTCAGCGGACAATTCTCCCGCCTGGATGCGCTTCTCGAGCTCCTGAAGAGGCCCCCCGGGAGGACTTTCACTCAACTGATTCGCGAGGTTCTGGCGAATGGCACAGGCGTGAAGCAGACGCTTCACGCCACTCACGGGAACGTTGTGGATTCTACGAATGATAAACATTGCACTACGGCGATTTTGTCACGAAAATCTGGGAGATTTACTAAAATTTTGCAAACGAAACATCATTATATAATTTAGGTTAGGGACTGACTTCCCACTCCGCGATTGTCGCTTAAATTATTCCATCGACTCGGCGACAATCGATGACCCAGTTTTTTGAACTCAACGGCGAATTGGGGGAAAAGAAATGCCAGAAAACGCAAATAATTAGATTTTAATTGATTCGAGAAGTTACGTGAGATTTCAACGCGAAACAGTGACAATGCGAAACGATGAGTCTTCAAAGAGAAAGAAAATTTATTTCAAAACATAATCAAATAAAGCCTCAATTTGTTCAATAAATATTCGAGGCTTTTGGGAAGCCAGAACATCAATCATCCAGAACACACCAAGAGAATAAGAATAAGATGATAACACAGCGAATCTTCATTTTTCCAAGGTACATTTATTTCTCACCGAGTTTTTATCCAGGATGGCATTCAAATTCATTGTGTAAATCACAGTCTTTCATAGAAAACAATTCGACGCTATTGCTGGGGATTGGGGAGGAGTGGTTTGTGGAGGAGTGCTGGGCGATTATCTAGTTCTGGTAGTACTGCCCGTTGAAGTTGAGCCTGGCGCGCTCTTCCTGCTTCTTGGCATACTCGGCTGGGTTCTCCTTGGCCTCCTTGGCTTCTCGCTCCTGCTGCAGGCGGATGCCCTCGTAGATCTGCTCCAGGCCCTTCTGGATCTCCTCCGGGATTGGTGGCGGCGTGGGAATGTGGTCGCCAGTGGCTCTGAAGCCACCCTCATCGGCTGTGTAGTGAACGTTCACGAGCTGCGGAGAGAAATTCGCTTGAGAGTTGTGCAATTGAAAGTTCCCACTGTTTAGCAGAATTTACTGTGCACTAAACTTGCGAAAGAGTTGTTAAATTGAAGGTCTCTGAGATACAATTTCCATGTGGAAAAGAGTTCATCACACTGGATGACATTCGCGGGATTGTGAAATTTCATTCACCAATTAGGCAATATAAAATGCTAATGAATCGATTCAGTTACTTTCGCACACGAATGAGGAAAAAACTTGCACTTGAAAGGTCATTGCTTCAGAGACTTTTCGGCTTCCTCACCTGGCCATCGGGGGCTGTGTAGCTGTAGCTGCCCTGCTGCACGAGAACGCCGTTCGGCGTGTTCTCGTTGAAGTCCTTGAGGAAGCCCGTCTCCTCGGCCACGATGTTGTTGCCCGTCTCCCATTGGGTCTTGTAGCTGCCGTCGTTGCCCTGCTCCTTGTTGTACTTCAGGATGGGGATCCACGTGGTGGTCTCCTGGCGCAGCAGCTGGTTCTGCTGCGGCTGCTGGCTGTACTCGCGCGCCTGCCTCTCCTCGGCCAGCGGCTGCTGTGGCTGTTGCGGCTGCTGCTGGCGCGCCGCCCTCTGTTGCTGGTGCAGCTGCTGGAAGGCCTGCGGCTGTGGCTGTCCGAAGGACGCTTGGCGGGCGAATCTCCGCGCCTCCTCGCCGGTCGACAATGCCACCAGGCACAGAGCGAAAACGATCTGCAAGAAATCCGCACAAGTAAGAGAACTGCCCTGGCAAAAGTCCAATCCGGAGGCGAGGAAATTGAGCAATTGAGCCACTATTAATTTGATCTAACAAATGGATTATTAAATGTTACAAACTCGCACAGCTCGTCACAATCATAAATAAGACTAATGCCTCTTGAGTTATGCAAGAGGCGTACTAGAGAATTTAGTGTTTGCCTTTTCACATTTTGCCACTCGCACACACCAAAGTCGAGATTCAGTGATTAACTCGTTTTCTCCGTGCAAATATTGGTTTTCGGAATCGCGCGGCAAGAAGTGGGAAATTCACGCGAGAAACTATGGAATTTGGGGAAGTTAATCGCAAAAGTCTTACCAAGACTTTCATTGTGTCTCTCGCAGGGCAAAAAAAAATCCACAGAAGCGACTCGATTATTCCAGAGATGGTGAGGATGATCGCCGGAGCGCACTTTCGTCTTCACACGAGAAATATGGCGGAGTGGAAGAAAGTAAAATCTAGACTGTGCACAGTTCATCTCAATTCGCTGCTATTTATATGCTCTGCGGCATTTCCACTGCGGAGTCTCGGCGAGGGACAGATGGAAGGGGCCCCAAATGGGATGGGATCGGCTGGTGTGGAGTGAGGATGTGATCGCCAAAGCAACACAAATGGATTGTGTGGTATAATATTTTTGTTTCAAAATCCCATTTTCGTGATTAACATAATTCTGAATACAAGATCATTAAATATATTACTTTCGATCATCGCGCCTAATGTCATCAATTGAGGCCTCTCTTGACGATCCATAAAACATCTCCTCACTTTTCCTTTTGTTCGCGCACTGCGGCAAATTTTATTGTCTCTCCAATGGCCGTTTTTTTTTATCGATAAAGCCGAGTAAAATGATGGGTTTTCATTGACGCTGGAAGCGTAAGTGAGCAATTTCCCCACTAATCTGGGGTTCGTCGCTCGATGTCCGTTGAAATCTTTCGTTTCCTTTTCCCTTTCCACCAAGTCGTGTGTGGTCGCGCTGAGAAGTGTACACCGCAGAATTTCTGCATTGGTGAGCTTCTGAGAAGCAGTGTGAAAGTTTCAGCATTAAATCAGTTAAAGTAATAAAAGAGATCATGAAGAATGATATGGAGTGATTGAAGAGAGTTGAGTTTTTCTTTGTTTTTCTCAAAATACAAGCGAATGAAGATAATTCTGAAACGTTCAAAGTTCAGCACTTTATGTACACCACGCTCGAGTGATTGCTGTCGCCTTGCTTCCTCCTTAACCATTTCGGTCTTCCTCCAAATCTCGCCTGTGACGCGATGTGACGCAATGAAATCGATAAACCGGTATGTGGGTGGATACATAATTTCACTCTCTTTTGTATATTATGCCAATATTACAAGAGACGCGAGATATAACTGAGAAAATGAGGCAAAAAGGGACACACCTGAATGTGACACACACAAAATGTAAATCAAAGAGTTTCATCAGAGACGAATTCGCATCTCAATGGAATTATGTATTTAATAAAATGCCTGAGACGTCAGTTGGTGGTGTCATTGATCTCTTCCTCGTGTGATCCATGACTTTTCCTCATTGACTCTCGCCATGAAGAGATCACTTTCTTCGCTATGCGACCAGAGCTTTTGAAATTCTGCTCGCGCGTCAAAATCGTAATTTTTCATTCGCCTCCTTTTGTTGTCTCACCTCCGGAGAGCACTCTTCGCGGGCCCCTCTTGCCGATCGTCAAATTAAAATGATAGATTTACGAAACGCGCGCCGCGAAGTCAAAGAGTGGTGATTTGATCTCGAAACTCGCGACTCGCTCTAACCTCATTTCGCGTTATATAAACAATATAAATCATTGATTCTACCATCTGTGGATGGTCTCGATGGTGTGCGTACGGCTTGTTTGTAATTTGATCAATTTGTATAAATGCATATATAAATTTTAAAGCACGACAGTAGGTTAATTGCACGGAGTTGTCGCTCGTCGCGAGATGCAGTCGAAATTCTTACAATTACAAAGTTCATAATCATTAATTTATAAAATATTATGGAAATTCTGCCCCCACCAAGCTGTTGATCGGCATTTTATGGACAGAATTCCGCTTTTGATGTGAAATTTAATTATCTCACATGCCGCGGATGCGCGCGGAGAGAAAAATGAGAACCGCGCGCACCGAAGATGCAAAATCACATGAAATCCAGCGGCATTTCTCGCGGTCTCAGCAAAAAAGTCTATGTACATGATGACGAAGAAGCAGATGAACTGGCGACCGGTTTCTGAAACGGTGCAACAATAAACAAGAATCCAATTGATTTATACAGCAACTTTTACTCTCCATCAATTGAAATGTGTGTCTCCCAGAGTGTGTTGATCTTCGCGATCGTTTCTCCGACTCCACGTGATCGCACACTTTTGCAAATTGTAGGGAGTTGAAGCTTTAAGGCAGTAAAATTAAATCCTCATCGCGGAAATATTTGACCCTGGAAAAGACACTTTTCTCACCTCTCACTTGACATTCAAAGAAATTTCAGATTCATTTGAATAATGCGTTAGTAAAAAAAGCATTATCTCTCGCCATAAATCTGCACTGAGGGAGATTCTGTGCATAAATTACTTAAAAGAGTGACAACTTCTTAATGCGAAGATTAGAAAACTATTAAAACAATGAGGAAATATTCCTTGGAAGTCGTTTTGAATTACAGATAAGAGGAAAAATATCATTAAAAATTGTTGATTCCCATGTTTCTTGGATTATTTCTAATGGAAATAAATCATTTTAGAGTAGGCGGAGCAATAAAAAGGATGTTGTAATTAACTATCTGTTAATCGTACCGAAGAAAAAAACTATTTTTTGCTCAGATTTACGAATTTCTGACTAAACATTTGAAATTCATCGTCACGTCACATTTTGAATTCATCTCGATTGCTTTTCAATGTTTTTCTTTTTCTTTCTTAAAATTCATGCTCACTTTTATAATACACAAATTTGAATATCCAGCATTTTTTGCAATTTTTTGAAACTTCCAATCTTCAAATCCGATTTTAAGTTACTCGATATCGCTTTTGTCCGCTGAATGTGCAAATGAGAAATTTCCACATAAATTGGTGACATTGTGCTTTTGCAATTTTGCCACCTTTTGCAGAAATTCTTCGTGTGCAGCGCACACAAATGGCAGATGAACACGCAGCCTCGCATCGCGCCAAGTGTGTGCGTTATGCAATCACGAGGCGAGATTGAATTTCTGCGGCGATCGCACGGCATCCCAAAAGCACGTCTAGTGTGAGGAAGATGATCTTCTTATTTGGTGGGCACAATTACATAAATTGCTCGCGATGACACTTGCGTAGGGCCACAATTTACCTGTGTTTTGGCGGTAATTCGACAAGATCAACAAGCTTTCTAAATCCTCAATACACGGTGGTTGTACCGTGTAATTGTGTGAATTGCATTTGTCCGTCAAAATTTCTCTTTACATTAGTAGCTTCATCCAATTATGGATGGAAAAACACTTGTTTTTGGCAATTGAGTTGTTCGGCAAACAATGTTCAATGAATAATTATTTTAATGCTGTTGAATGGATTCATTTAGAGACACTCAAGTGCATTTATTTCTCGCAATTGAGTCACTTCTTCGGACGGAATGGACTTGATTAGTGTGGACGTGCGAAATTCATTACGAAATGCGGTGTACATGAAATTGGAATCAAGTCTCTGCCTTTTTCACGACCCATTCAATATCTGAGTAGGTTCAGTATGCAAACAGTCACAGTGATTCTGCAAGAAGTTGAACAATGAAATTTCGTAAATTGCTTTGCATGTTAGATGCCTTTCTTATTCTCGGAAATACCACACATTGAGATTCCAGCGCGGGCTTCATGCTTTCGAGGAGAAATTCAGCAAAGAAATTTGCCCACTCGAGAGTTGCGAGGAAAAGGTAATTTTATTGATCGAGGACTCTATCAACAATGACTGCTCTTCTCACGCGGTTATAAATAGAGTGACTGGTAAAAAAAAAAGTCAGCAGGATTCAGCATTTGGGGATCGCTTGAGGAACAGTTGAGTTGCTATTTGCACATCTTGCGCGGAGATCCTTAGACGATGATCTGGAAGGGAGCGAATTGCTGCGGGAAGGCGTGAACTCGTTCGATGTTTGAGGGCGCGGGCTCAGGTTGCTGCTGAACTGGGGCATCTGCAACGAAGGACACCAAGGATTAGAGGGGAATTGTGCGGATTGGACAGATCAGGAACCTTGTGGCGGCGCCAATTGCTTGGCCTGCTGCTGCTGCGCTGCCTGCTGGCTCAGGGAGTTGGCGATTGCGTCAGGCAGTGGTGGTGGCTGAGGAAGATGATCTCCCACGGGCTGGAAGCCGTTCTCATCAGCGATGTACTGCACGTGGATGGGCGTGCCATCGGGGGCGGTGTAGGAGTAGGAGCCGGTCTGCACCAGGACGTCCTGCTCTTCGAATCCAGACTCAGCTCCGGTCTCTGGGTCGATTCGGGGCACTTGGGCGCGCTTCGTGAATCCCGCTCCCTCGACATTGATGCCATTGCCAGCTTCGTAGCTGCAAGAGAAGAGTTGATCCTTTTCGCTCTTGCTCGCCACACACTCAGCCTTACCTGAAGTTGAAGCTGCCATCCTGGCCGACAGACTCTGTGTAGCGCAGGATTGGCACTGGCGTCACGTGTTCACTGTCCACGGGCTGTGCTGCCTGAGGAGCGCCCTGAGGAGCAGCTCCCACCACCAGAATCGCCGCACAGAATGTCACAACGAACTTCCACATTGTCGCGTTCGACTCTGCAAACAATTTCACAAAGAAAGTCAGTCGAGTGAGAGAGAGAGCACACAAATGGGCAATGGTGGAAAGTACTAACAAGTGTTGGGTGTTAAAAGGTAAATCCAAAGCTTGATCCTCCTCCTGAACAGGTGGGCGTTGAGTGACTGATTCTGGAACACAATGGGACATGGTATTTATAGTGATGGATAAAACTATGGTGGTGGATCTATTTGCACGAAGCCTCAAATTATACAATTAATGTGTGAGTTGTCCAAAAAATCTCAATGTCCCCGGCACAAAATATTTTCGGTCAATATTTAGTAATAAGCACTATTTGCTTTTCCAATAATAAATTATGCCATAACAGATGAGTGCGCTCAAGAGGAGCATTTTGAGGCTCTCTTTTTGCCTCCAGAGGCGATTTTTTTTGTCACCACACCGTTTATGCAAAGTGCGCGACCGCAGAAGAATGGCAGTTGCATCCCAACTCATTTTCTCAGTTGTGCTTTTGTGACACACATTCAGTATATTGTGATCGATCGGAGAAGTGATTGAACTCGGAGTGATACAGCGATGAAGAGAGTGCAAATCTTACGAGTAAATTTTAACCAAAAAAAATTTTAAGCATAAAAATACTTAAATTCATTTTGATCCTAATTGAACTAATATTGCTTTTAAGCAAAAATTAAAACCAAATGGAAATATTCTTTAATAATAAAGTCAAAAAAGAAAATATGGTCTCTTCAATTTTTAGCCTAATACTTAGAAAGTCCTCTTAATTGTTATCTCTATATTGATACAGCTGAAAAATCTCCGATAATCCTCTCTATACGATGTGCTCGTTCCATAACTCGCAGCAACTTGGCAAATCTTGCATTCACACTTTAGTGATTTTGAAATGTCTTACTTTTCCTTCATCAATTGTTCGAATCTTAGTAAAAAGAAAATCCTTATTCCAAATGTTAAATGCAAAAAAAAAGATTGAATTGATTTAGCAAACTAAAGATTTCAGTTTCAGTCAAAATCCAAAGTGTCCTCTAAAATCCCAGTTCACTAACAAGGTGTTGGAAGTCATGGAGTTTGCACAGATTTCTGTGACTTTGCTTGGGGCAAAAAATCCTCCGCCTGTTTTCTTAATTGATTAAATCTTCGTTTGGGGCGATAATTAGTTTTCTCTACATTTTTCACTTTTACTATCGAAAATCGCACGGTACTTTTGATTTTCACACACACGCCGGACGCTGACCGGCAAGAAGTTGCCTCAGCCCAAAGTGGGAGTTCAGACACACAGGTGAGAAAATGGCATTTTTGCACATTTCAAATATTATCTTCAATTATGTCATTCATTTTGTGCCAATTTATTTTTAGAATTCACACCACTTTTCATGGCAGATGCTGGAATCTGCTGCGAAGGTCTGGCCAGTTTGGCATCTGGGTTCGAGGCATTTGGCCACCCACAGAGAAGGTGGAAACATTGAGGCGAGATTAATTGAGAAAATCGGCAAATTTTGAGCGAGTGTTCTTATTATTAAGTGTATTTTTTCACAGCATCTGAGTATTTCTTGCGGACATGACCAGGCTGATCTATGGCTTCGTGTCGGTCGGCGGCTGGGCTGTGGCCAGGTAGGCCAAGGCTCTCTGGATGGCCTCAGGGATTGGAGGAGCCGTGGGCAGGTGATCTCCGACTGGCACGTATCCGTTCTCATCGGCGACGTAGCTGACGCTGTACACTTGGCCGTCGTCGCCCGTGTAGCTGTAAGATCCTCGGGCGCTGATGCCGGAATTCTCGGAGTCGACCTGCTTTAGCTCGCCCTCCTGCTCAGCCTTGGTTCCATCGCTCTGTTCGAAGCTGCAGAAGAGGATTTACGTCTTAAGGCCTGTCTTCAGCTGGGATACGATTGCTGTACTTACGCGTAATGGTATTTCCCGTCGTGTTCCACATTGCTCTCCTGCCTCAGGATGGACACTTCCGGCTTGCCGCTGAGCTCCTGTGGCGCCGCCAGGACGCATGCCACGAGTGAGAGTACCACGAAGACGATCTTCATTCTGATGGATTGTGCAAGAACAGATGACTTGACCCGTGTGAGATTGAACACAAGCAACTACTGACGCCCATTCCAGAGGTGCTGGCTTTTATATCCGATGGAGCAGAGAGGAGATTCTCAAGAGCCACCCATAGAACCAACAAGCAAAGTCTTGGCGAGTTTTTTTCGCGCGCGCATCCCTCCCACCAAGTCGCGGTGCCACATATTTTCGGCAATCAAGGTGGTGATGATCATCGCGCCAAGAATATCTTCATGATCGTGAACTGCAGTCCACCAGCTGATTGGGCGCCTGCCTACATGGTGGATGCCTTGGGAAAGGCGCGCGCTAAAGTGCATCAACAATGACCTTCTGCCTTGTGTATTTTATTGTTGTTAATGTTACTAAATTTTTTTGGGGACGCGCCTCGCCAACACTTTCTGCGCTCCCACAAAAATTAATGCGCAAAGTAGCATCACAATTAAAGTCACACGTTGTAAAGCTGATAGGCATCAGCTCGAGAGTGTGTGACCCTAAGCAAATTTAATACTCCATTAGCTTCGCCAGTCTGTGGGTTAGCTGAGGAATTTTGGCAATGCAGCGGGTGTTCCACAGCGCGATCTTCCATTGGTGATCTTAAGGCGAAAATCTTCTCGGGAATCTAATTAATCACCCTATTGAAATGGCGAGTGAATAGGTTGATTTCAGGGTTATTGCCAGATGTCTTGAGGAATTTTTTTTTTGTTCATCCAGAGTATCATCCATGTCACGACATATTCACGACAAAAATCCACGAGAGCTCTAGAAAAAATGAGTCAAGAGGCTCAAGTGAAGAGTGAAGAAATTGCATTGACTTGCAGAGGTAGAAAAAATGTTAGTGTGTCACGATCGCTGGATGCTTTAAATTTGTAATTATCTCCAATTCACAGGGGCGAGTCATTTAATCCTCACCTACTGTACACCCTCGAGAGAGGCACTTTCCTAACGTGCTGCGCAAATATTGCATTATCGAGTGTGTTCGGGGAAAAAAGTATCACGCTGCGTGAATGATCAGAGTCTGGATGGCTAAAGTCAACAATGGCGTTGGATGGACATAAATTCAGATGCTTAACAGGAACAAACACTAATTAATTAGAGGAGATTTCTGATTCCCCTAGATTGTGGAACCTTGACCTTTGCGCATAACAAGCAAAAGTGCCACTTTACAATGTGTCGCTGGAGATTGTCGTAAGCTTCCCTCATTTGCCAACTAATTAATATGTTTGAGGTGAATTTTTTCGGTAAAATTTATGTAATGTCCAGCAGCCGGAGGTAAAAAGCACCTCATCACAAATTGTTACTCATTCTGCGTTATCTGACCATCTCTTGGCGCAACAAATGCGTTGCGCAACATGTAATATTATTTATTTCTCTTGCTCTCCCTCTTCGCGATGATCCCAAATTACATATAACATCTTTTTACCACCTTTTGTGCTAGTTTGTTGTAGGAGAAAGTTCTCTCTATGCTTTTCCATGCAACTAATCTCATGTCTCGATATTGATTTTCGTTGTGACAATATTGAAGATGATCGCCACATAACATTTTCGGCCAATTGCACGGATGAAAATTCACAAGACATGCGCGTGTTTCTTATAAAACATTTTTATATGGTCTTTTTCATGCTCTCTTCTTGAGATATATCGATTTTTCCTTTCTGTGTTGTATGGCAGCTGAATTTAAAATTTCTTTACATCATCATCATCATCATCGTAGAAAAATTTGGCATCTGCACAGAGTATTTAAATAGCTAAATCTGTAAGACATGTTGTGTGGCGACTCTTTCTACTTCCGTGTTTTCGGCTGTGAGGCGATGTACTCCAGAGCTTTCTGGATGGCAGGCGGAATTGGGGGACTCGTGGGCAGGTGATCACCCTGGAATCACACCATGCAAGAGTGATCTTCTCACGCCAAAGCACTGAATTTACTCACTTGAGGCACAAATCCATTCTCATCGTCCGCAGAGTAGTTCAGCACGATCAATTGTCCTTCCGGCGAGGTGTACGACACTGATCCTTGGGCGATGATCACGTCGCTGCTGTCGGGACTCGTGGCGCGCTTCAGTGTGCCCGTCTCCTGACCCTTGATCCCATTGGCGGTCTCGTAGCTGCGAACAGAAGCCAAATTGATATGTAAATTGTGTGATGATCATGGACCAGAAAAAAAACGCCTGAAGATCGACAAAATTTCTCATTGATCGCGGATAATCTTCGAATTCTTATGCAAATGAGTGATCACAGATTGAGCAATTAAACAATGCATTCTCACTTGTACTGATAAGATCCGTCGGGTTCTATGTTCGACTCCTGACTGATGATCGCGATGGGTTCAGTTGCCTTGGGCGCCTGAGGAGCACCTTCGGTCCAAATGGCCATCAAAGCAATGGCACTGCAGATGATGATCTACACACGAGATGATCAATTACATTCCAATGTCATCAATTACACTATTACTTACAAATTTCATTGTGATATCCAAAAAAAAGAAACTACGATCACGATCACTGATCTTCCTCACTTAGTCGTGTCTTCTTCGAAGCAATCACAGTTTCACAGATCAATTTACACAGAAGCACTTCACACAAGGTTCTAACGAGGGAAATGCACTTGGTGTCTCTATTTATATGATCGCAGCATCTTGGAGGGAATTTCCATTGTACGAGAGCCTCCCGCCACTCATGCTATTGCACATGAATGCAATTTTATCGGCGCAAATCCGCGCAAGATGCAGCGAGACACTCATGAGCATTTACATAGTCGTTTTTCTGCATAATGTTGACTAATTAACATTTGATGGAGGCTGCTTTTTAGCACCTCACGCGTGAAAATTGGTGGTACTTTTGGACACCCGTAAATCACATCGACAAGCTCCTCATTATTTATGAAGTGTATCCAATTCCTCATTGCAATCGCTGGGGGATAGAAATTTGCAGCTCGATTGCTATTTCAACACCTCCACTGAGTTTTCTCCCCCGAGTGACGAGCGTCGCCTTCGCCAGTTGTGATTATCAGATGATTAAATACGGTAGCGTCGCGTAAATTGTAAATACAGCGTCATTGGTCGTGCTGAATTTCTCTGGGATGGGTTCGCCGTGGTTGGAAAGGAAAATTGGAAGGTGATCTCCATTGTGGCGAAGTGGGTGCGCGCGAAAAACGCTCCGAAGTGACCCAATGACCTTCTCGAGTCCCCCACAAATCCTCCGCCAGCGATTTAATGGCCTGGAAAAATGCACTTAAGCGGTGCTAAAATGAGAACAAGCGAATCGTGAGCGAGATTGATCTTCGGCGGATTCTGGGCCTCAAGAGGAAGCAATACCTTCGCTTGGCACTGCATTGATTGTATAATAGGTGCACTTTGTGGAAGTCTATCATAATTTGCAGAGATTTCATCCATTGTCTCTCAGACCAACTTAATTTAGCACCTCAAAGTTGTTCCTTGACGATAGGCTATTCATTAAATTGAGATATAAGGCAAACCGGGGAATTTTTATGCAGGTGAAAATGATTTAACACTGAACTTACCCGGGAGATTAAACTGACGAAATAAGCCAGATTCTTAATCTCGAATTTCAGGTCATTTTCTTTAACCAAAGAATGCCCCTAAAGATCTAATCAATCTCCATTTATGAAATGTTTAAAATAGTATGAAAAATTCTATTAAATCTCAGAGAATTCCAGTGTTAAAACTCCCTCGACTTTATACATTTTTTATTCATACTTTGTAAATAATTTTCCAACTTATCGTAATGCATTTAGCAAGTATTGAAGGTATTGAGCAATTTATAAACTCGTTTGATATTTCGCATTTAGTGATGAAATCCAGTAAAGAGCCTCTTTGAATTGATTAGAATTGCTGAACTTTTCTGAAAGTTACCTTTGAAATTTTCCCCTCGCGAGCAATTCAAGAGACTCTCTTAATGATGACACGATCATCAAGACCAGCAATTGTTGACGCTCCCATAGTTTCAGAGTGTAGAAAAATGAAGAAAATACAAAGTGCTGGAAATGTAGAGCCCGAAGAAGCGAAAGTATTGGGATTTTCAGATTTACGAACAACATTAATGGGTAAATGTGAAGGTTAAGTTGCATTCCATGTGGCGTCTGATGCGCTTCGATAGTTTCAATTATGGTTGTGATTAAGTTGATTTTATTATATCAGTTGCAATATTTGCATTTGTACTATTTAAATGTCTCTTGTATGTCTTCGCATCTTTCAAAATATATTATTCTCATTACATTTCAAATAAATTGATGCTCTTGGACGCAATATTGCATTTTCTGCTCGGCAATTTGTATGCCAGTCAGGATGGCAGATTTGCGAATTCTCACCATAATCGGCATCGAGTTGGTTGATTTATCATTTTTCTCCACACTTTAATCATCCTCGGCTCTTTATTGGGTCACAATAAATTATCTGCGTGACGAATTTGTCGAGTGGAAGAAAAAAAAAGTGAGCTTTGACGGTGAGATTGAGTGGGAATTTTTATTCTATCTCTCCTAATGCGGCAAATTAATATAATTTGGCATGTGCAACTAATTAGGCTTATTTACTGCTGCTCGTCGCTCTTCTTGAGCGACTGAAGGTACTTGAGGGCTCGCGCGATGGGCTCAGGAATGGCTGGGATGTGGCTGCCGACTGGACGGAATCCGAACTCATCGGCCACGTACTGAACAGAGATCACTTGTCCATCAGGAGCTGTGTAGGAATATCCGCCGTTGGCGCTCGTCCCGGCGAATTCAGAGTTCTCTCCTGGTCGCACGCTTCCCTGCTCCTGCACTTGCACGCCGTTCTCCAGGTTGTAGCTGAACTTGTAGGTTCCATCGGGAAGGGCGCCGCTGTTCTTGTAGTTCTTCGGCGAGATGGTCTCGAAAGGGCGCTTGGTCTCTGGGACGGTCTTTGGTCGCTGCTCAATCGGCTGGAGCGAGATAAACATCAGTGAATGTGCAGAAGAGATTGATTTTCTTGAGCTAAATACCTTCTGAGTTGTCAACACGATGGATTTCTCTGTAACTCTAGAACTCGGGACTTTCTGTGTGGTTGGCTTTTCTTCATTGGGCTCAACTGAGGATGACGAAACGACTTTCGGAGTGGTTTTGGGTTGTTTTGGCATGCAAACCGAGGAGAAGCACTATAATCGAAGGTAGAAAAAAACGCGTTATTTAACATGATTATCAATTTGTTAGAAAGTTTTACCTGAAATGTCGCAGGTTCACTCGTTGAGCGTTCCAAACTTGGTTGGTGATTCTCAAAGGGTGGAAGAAGTTCAAACACTTCTATCGATGGCGGGGAAATTTCCACTGGTTTCTCTTCAAACGGAGGCAGAAGATCAACAGCTGGACTCTCCGGATTGGATTGTGCGCAGCATCCGTAAACAGTCACGAGGAATAGCAACTAGAAGCGATAGATAAATCACTGATAAATCCTTGGGAATTATTCCATCTCTTACCACGTAATGCTTCATCGCAGATTATTTAGCGCAGACTGGTGAGATTTACAAAAATTCCTACAGTTTTATACCACTATATAAGACTTTTTTTCATGGTGTGTCTTGTAAGAAAATGTCACATTGCGAGTGTATGAGCAGATGTTGATTTCAGGTAGGAAGCTGTCCTCTGACAACGACGCACCCCAAAACAACATCAAATCTCCCCATTTTCACAGCACATTTTCCACATTTCCCACGGTTTGTTGATGTACAGGAAGCCCGCCAAAAACTTGAACTTGAATAGGAGAAAACCGCGTGATACAGTTTCGAATGGCGCGATTGGCAGAGGCCAACGAGAAACCTCTCCAAGGCTGGTCTTTCTGGTGTCATCTGTTTTAACATTGGCCCAGGCAAAAATTCACCACGAAAATCTGTAGAAATCGCGAGATTAATGTCTTGAACTGGTTTTCTACTTTTTCTGCACTGCCCGATCATCTCCATAAAACAGCCAGAAATCGCGTGAGCTTTCGCGCGCGCCACTGCCGAAAAGCTCCCGTGAAACTTTCAAAGTCAAAGTGAAGATCGATAGCTGAGTTCGCATTGAAATCGTCTTCTCTTTGTGCCACAGTATTCATGAGACAACAGGCTTGTCATCGTGAGACTAAACGACAAGTTTGTCTTTATCAAATTGCTGGAAGACTCTAATAAGGATTAAAGGTGCATATAGGTAGAAGTAAATTTACTGAGTGTTTCTTTCCTAATAACATTCTAAGTCCTTTCAGATGATTTACATAAATTTTACTATTTTTCAGTGAAAAACTTGTCTCAAAACTTGGAATTGATTCGATACATAAATACTTTGAAACCATTGCACGAAATATTTTTAAATTTAATTTTCTTGAATAAATCGTTACTCAACTATCTATTTGTTCTGTGGTAAAATTTGCCTAATCAATTCAAATAAATATAATTATTGACTTTCTCAGCAAACAAACATGATATAGTAGCAAATTCAACTGCTGTTAACGCTATTTCTTGACATCCATAAAGTAATTTTACGATCTACTTACTTGTGGGATTACAAACACCCTTAAAATAATTTATTCACCACATTTGGAAGAATTCCCATATGAGAAATCCAGTGTTGAGCCCCCCCCAATGGAAATATCATTTTAAATATCTCGTTTCGCGTTTTTATCGCTCTTTTACGACCGTCATAAATATAAGGCAAAATGCCTCGTGATCCATCTTTCTAAAAAGCAAAGAAAAAGATCAAATTTTTTTTCCTCTTTCTTAATTTCTGGGATCGCACAAAAAGTTCAAAAGGCAGCATTTTTTGCAGATCCTCCCGGACCTTTCAGGTTGTTCGCCCTCAAGTCGCCTCAATTAAGCAGAGCAAATATCTCCCAATGGGAGTGACAATGCTGTTGCCCGTGAGTATCCAAATATTTTGTCGAGCGCGGAGATTAATAAGGCAAAATTTACATAAATTACAAATTCAATAGATGAACTGAATATTTCACCGCCTCGAATGTTGCCTCTTTCAGCCCATTGTCCAAATAATTGCTGCCACAACAGTGGAACAAAAGGAGGATCGCGCGCTGATTATGTCATAGGCAAGGTGTGTGCGTGACCTTGCCGGATTCACTCTCATCTCCAGAAAGTGGATCACATTTTCCCATTCACGTAAGACGAGTGGCTCTGTTACTGGGAGAAGAGGCGCCGGTGGATTCCAGAGAAGGTTATGATGCGCAAAGAAGACATTAGCGAATTAAATTAATCTTTAATTTATTCATTCGGGAAGTTGACTTTTTGCTGCTTTGATGAAATCGAAAGTGGGGAACACATTGGAGAATCAACGGACTGTTTGGGGCTGGTTTACTTCTTGTGCAGGTTGGCGACGTACGTGAGGGCGCGCTGGATGAGCTCTGGCACTGGTGGGGCGACGGGCAGGTGGGCGCCGACGGGCTGGAAGCCACCCTCGTTGGCGACGTAGTCCACGCGGTAGGTGACGCCGTCATCGCCCACGTACTGGTAGAAACCGTTGGCCCTCAGGGCCTCGGCCTCGGTGTGCTTGTTCTCCACGCGGCCAGACTCCTCAGCCAGGATCTTGTTCTCAGTCTCGTACAGGTAGTGGTAGCCGTCCTCGTCTCCGGAGCGCTCCTGCTGCAGGATCCTCCAGCCGCCCTCGCCATGGCCGTAGTTGGACACGCGCTGGTAGGTCTCGACGGGCGCGACGTAGGCTGGCTCGTAGCGAGGCGCGGTGGTGACTGTGGTCACGGGTCGGACAGTGACGAATTTCTCGGGCTGCTGGACATATCGGCCGTCATTGTAGGAACTGAAGCAGAGATTTTTGTTAGTTTGCAAGACACTCCCGAAGGAATCACGCGGGAACTTACACGTGCTTGTAGGGGTTGTCAACGTGGACGTATTTGCCAGAGTCACCGCCGTCATGGACGTAATTGCGTCCGTCGTGGACGTACTTTCCACTGTCGTCGTGCACATAACGTCCATCGGTCGCACCGTAGTATCTACCGTCATCCACACGGTAGTTGGGGCGGTTGAAGACGAACGGGCGGTAAGTCTGGGCCGTGGCGACGCCCACGAGCAGAGCAATCTTCCGGGGAGAGAGAAAAGAGATCACACTTTGTCCACTCGATAATCCATCTGCGTTGATCCACTTACCAAAAACAGTTTCATTTTGGGAGTTTGAAATCTACCACCTTTTTCACCCAGCGAGAAAGTGTGACTGGTGTCTTCTGCTCCGCCGTGAGATATTTATATATGGACCACCGCCACAGCGAGATTATATCAAAATCTGCCCGGAGACTTGATGATCTCTATCTGCCTGTCTTCGTTAGAAAAAAACGCATAGATGAGCCTCTCCTTCTCACAATTCCACCAATATCAGCACCAATAAAGAAGGACACATGCGTAATCCAAATACAGTGGATCAAGTTTTGCCAGAAATTTATGATTTTTCACACACGTCTTCGCTCGATTCCATCAATTATACGTGTAGCTCACCTTACATCAATTTGTGCATCCGCTTACGTGTGACTCCTCTCCATCTAATTTAATATTCCCTAACACACCCACATTATTGAAATTAGTTCCCCCAGATCGAGCATAAGTATCTCATTTTTTTGCAGAATCCATTCAATTGAGTTCTTCACTTGATCTCACATTGTTAAAATGTCGAGGTGCAACGGAGAGTAATTTCGATTACTTGCACTTTTCATCGGGTTCGTCGCTCAAGTCTTTCGTTTGTTTGCTTTGCCTTATCTTAAAGTATGTGAGAGACAAAAATTTCACGCAGCATTGAAGGAAATTTTCGCACAAATCCACATCAAAACCATTGGCAATGGATAGAAAAATTCACAACTTTGCCTCCTTTCGACGAAACTCAAAGCCTCATCCCGCGATCGAGGATCTTTGGCTCGTGATAGTGACGCTTTTTTTTAGAGTATATGTCTAATTAATATGCAGAAGATAGAAGATCTCAGTCTAAATTATACCGCGTGAAGCCCACTTAAAGATCAAGGTAGAAGTTCCATCCAAATTTTCAACACCCTCAATTAACCGCGTCAACATGCAAAAATTTGTCTGTATTCGTCGTATTCATCGGTTCAGCATTTAGATTACATTCTTCGCGATCCAGCAGAGCCATCAAGGAAATTAATCGGTGACTCCAAAAGCGTAGAATTGCAAATTTTCGCCAGTGGAGGTGTTCTAAAATGTCACAAAATTAATCAATAGCGGTGAATACAGAAGATCAGCAATAAGTTGTGATTTTAATTGCTCTTTGTTGTGCAAACATCAATGATATTTCCTTTTTGCATCGTCCAAAAATTGATTAGCCTTTCAATTGGAAGGATTTTTCGAGCTTGAAGATCACATTTTGGCGTCACACTGCGAAATAATGTTGAATATTTATATCTGTCTTTAAAATATTGTAGAGCATCTACACAAATCTCAAGGCTTGACGAGAGTAAAATGTTGCTCGCAACTCTGTTGGCAACGCGAGAGGTTGAATGAAACAACTTACGATCACTACAGACTATTCAGGGAAGAACAATAAAATCTTTTTTGCAAGAATGCAATTAAAATGTTGAAAATCGTTAAACATTTTGCACCTTTTTTGCTGAAATATCTTGATGAGTCTTAATCATCTTGATGCATTTGAATCTCATCGATCGTGTGAAGATTTAAGAAAATCACATGATTTTACATACTTTCAGGAGAATCGATCAATCTTTTAAGCTCTTAAAATAAAAACAAGAAGTCTTCAGCGGTATTAAAACAATTTTATTGCGTGAAGTGATCACAAATAAAGCTATAAACTTAGTAATTTAAGAGATTATGGCTTAGCTCTTTAGGGCTTTAAATATACTGGATTTTTTCTTAATTCTTCGAACGCTTCTCGCGAAGGATTTCGACATTCCTTTTTGCAGAGGATCTCTGAGTCGATCGCTCAATTGACGGAGAAGAAGCTGCAAAAATGACTTCAGTTGCAGACTCTGCAATTCTTCCAAGGATTCCCACAGGTTTATTCGTGGCTTTCTCGAAGGGATCGTGATTGGGAAAGCCATACTCTTCAGGGATTTGTGGTTTTACGATATCGAAAGAGGATTTGCTGAACAAATTGGACAGATCATCGGAACCGCTTAGAGGTCCTGCAGTTGATGAGGAGCTTGTAAATCTAGTGTCTAGTCTTAAATCTCCTGTGTTGATTCTGGCGCCTTGAGTGTTCTTGAGAGCGATTTTGGGATCATGATTAGGAAATCCGTATTCTTGAGTAATTGCTGGCTTTTCAATGTCAAAGGCGTTCGCTCCGAACGGATCGATCTTGTCCCTGGAGTTGGACGAGGCTCCAAGGATTGCGTCGGATGAGGAACTGCCCGATGATGCTTTGGAGTCTTTGGCAAAGGGATCGTGGTGTGGAAAGCCATACTCTTGATAAATCTCAGGTCTGTCTATGTAAAAGACATCCGTTCTGAAGGGGTCAAGTTGACTGAAATGCAAACTTTACTTATAGTCACACAGAAGATGGCTACAAAATCACAACATGTCTACAAGCGGCTACAATGACCTGCAAAGTGTCCAATTGAGTATGGTTTTCGGTTGTTCGTATACAAGAAAAGAAGCCACAATTTGTTTATAAAGTATCTTACTTTAATTAATATTTTATTACAGACTAATTTAAGCTAGATATTACACACATATTAAGGTGAGTTTTCACTTTACAAAAATTAAACAGTAGCCAAATGAATTTTGATAAATCGCCGCCAATTTCGCTGCTCTTGACCCGTGTTTGACCTTTTCCACGGTTTCTGCTCACACCCGTCTCGAGGGGCGAACAATAGTCGTTCGAATGCAACTATAAATGCAAGAGACATGGAAGAAAAGAAGACGGTGACCAGAAGGTACTTAAGAAAGATCCAATCGCTAATGCAATTCATGTGCCACATTCACCCCAAAATGTATGAGACAAGTTCGCAACACCACACCAAATCATCCGTGCACCTCTTTTCGGGATGACACTTATGCAAATTTGATGGCAATTAGTGTGTGAGAATGGTCAATAAAATAAATTAAATGAGACATGCGCCACGCGAATACAAATCACCAACTTAATTTTCTTCATTTTGTCCCTCACAGAGGCACACTTTTCCATCATCGCCACCTTTTCGGAGAAGGAAATGTCTTTTTTTTGTCGATTAATTTCCATTGTGAAATCATGATTGTGAAATCTTTGTTTTTTCTCAATCTTCTCACATTTTTTATCTACTCTTGCCAATTTGGAGGAATTTGTCATTTGCATGCGACACCCAAGGAATGCTCGACTGTTGCGTTTCTTGGCGCCTTTATGGGATCGATTAGTGCATGTTATGAACTCATCAATATTTCTCTCTCGCCACAGTTGCGCCACTCGGCGAAATTGATACCAAACACCAGAAGCTGAGCATGCAATTGGGAAAGAGTGGACGTACCTGTACTCGCCAGCGGGATCGTAGTCGTGGATGTAGGGGTTGTCGATGTGCTTGTAGGGGTTGTCGAGGTGCGAGTAGGGCCCGTAGCCGCCGTCATAGGGGATGTGCACGTGAATGTACTTGCCCTTCTCGCGCTGATCGTGCACATGAACGTAGCGCCACTTGGCGTTGTTCTCCACGTATTTTCCTTCAATGGAGAAGCAATAAATTAAGGCTTAAGTGCTTGCATTTGCATGAGGCGAACGCGAATTTCGCTCTAGATTTTATGTGAGTGGGAAAAGTCAAGGATCACGAGTGATCGAGTGGGCGCACAATTGACACGAATTAGCTATGCTCACCATTCTCAGCTGCAACGTACTGTCCTTTCTTCACGCTCTGGCTCGGCCTGTACTTCCCATCGTCGCCAGCCCGAGCTGAGCTGATCGCGATGATCATCACCTGGAAGAGACAAGTGTTATCGGGAAATTATTCATCAGGCAATAACACAAGTGATTGACTGGAAATTCCTTCGCGAATGATTTGCACTGCAACTCCGGATGGTATTTTGAAGGGGGGTGAAAAAAGTGTCGCCAATGCAAATCATTCAATTTGCATGCACATCACACATGATCACAAACACTTCAGACTAAAAAAATATATATATATTCCTCTAAAGAGGATGCAATTTGGAAAAGTACTCACGAGAAGTGTGCCAAAAAGTACTCTCGAAACCATAATTTCGCTGGGTTTATGTCGATCGTCGAAGATCACGCGTCACTTTAATTGAGAGAAAATTCACTCGAGAACTTTGTCGATCACCAAAAGCTCTAACCGTCACTTTTTGCGCGCTCAAGAAGAAATGCGAGAGGCTGGAGTCTGAGCCTCATATTTAAATGAGACGGCCCATGGGGAGCTTTTGTGTGTGTTGAGTGATCTTCGCACGAGATCATCCTCCACACGCGCGCACAATGATCACCACGAGGATGAGTAATCTCTCAGGCGTGCAGCGCGACCGAGAGAGCCCAGTTCATGGGAAAAAGGACGTGACGATCTCTTTTTCCGATCCAAAAATCGCGCTCTGGCAAAATATTGTCACCTCACTCACGATTGGCATTTATGGGCGATTCTACTAGGACAGTTATTGAATATTTTATATTAATACCTGCTCAAAGATGTGGCATTTTCACACCGTGCATTATGCTCGCTGTCGCTCGCAAGTGCGATATTTTATGGCACGCTGATGAACTCTCGGCGCTGTAACCGTCAATTTTAAAGAGGCTCAGCATCACCCATGCCCGAGGTCACGGCTTAACCGAAATACAACACATTTTTGTACAATGCGCGAAGTGCAAAAGTCACTGGAAGGTATTATCATGTTAATTTTTTATGGCTCCAGGAAATTCTCCATCGAGTTCCGGACTACACCTTCTTTCCTCGAGAATTTCACACTCCGCAATCGGTGATCTTGGAGTCACCCTTCCTCCTGGTGCAGTAACGGCTGATCTTCGGCTGAGGCGCACATTTCTGAAATCAATAATATTATTCCATTGACCTTTGCGTGGAATTTGGCGCAAGCAGACATACTCCAAATTGAAAGGTATATTTTGCAAGAATACTGAACTCCTCGCCCACGCTCTATCTTATCGACTGGCAATTAAAGACACGCGTGAGGAAATGATCGAGAAAAGAGTCTTCGTGCGCCTGTGAAAAGTCCACGTGCCAGCGATGTCGTCAGATCATCCGGATTAGTCGCTTTCTGCCTTGCTTTCTGCAGTTTTGAGGCTGTCGCTAATTCATACAGACGTCACAGATATTGTAAGCGAGTTTGGAACGGATTTCCTCAGTCGCAATTTTCCCGAATGAATAAGAAACCGTTCGGTTGTAGTTAATACAGAGAAAAGCCAAATGAGCTTATGCTTTCTATTCAGTTGTAAAGCTCAGTTAAGCTCACAAATCTGCAGGATATATTTTGATAGGTTTGCTTAATCTCTAGCATGAAAATTATCTAAAATTGTTGATTTGTTAAATCTCATCAACACACAATGCATAATCTTTCATTTCTCATTCTTTTCCTCAGGGGAAAAATACATTTCGATCAAAACATCTTCAGGATCTAAATGAAAAGTGCCGTTCTTTCTCTGTTTTGTCAATATTTCCGTCTATTCATGAGAATTTACCAGAATTCGCCTTCTCAATCTGGCTTCCAAGTGAATCACATTCAGCGTGTGTTCTGCAGAATTATCAATATGCTTTCTCATTTGTGAATAAATTTCCTTGAGATGGTGATTTGAGATACATCAGTGACGCACTCGCGATGTCGCATTCTCGAATGATAAATAAAATTCCACCGAAATTTGGATCAAACGCATTTTGTCGATTATAATATCAAAACAACTCAATAAATATGGAGAGTCATTTCGAAAATATCCCACCGAAAAAAATCCCCAGGCGACACTTAATTTGTTGTTAAAGAAAATGCTAACAGACTGTCGCCCATGCAATCGATAAAATTGTCGCCTGGCGGACAATGGTCAGGCCACGAGGAATCTGGAGGTCAATGCTCAACTGGCGCGTCTCGCCTCCTGTCCAGCCTCGCCTCGGACCACACATCTTCCAGCATATCTCGCGGATGGCGTGTCTCATCTGGCCACGGATTCCGCAATCAAATAATTTCATCAATTGCCTGCTCCCAGTGATAAAATTCGCAGGAATTGTGGCGGCCATAAAAGACTCTCGCGGGCGCGCGGAGGATGCGCGCATCGCTTCCTTTTTTGTGCCACTGCAATCGTAAATTTCCAGCAACAGTGCACGGAGCTAAACGGCGGCAATCAATGCCAAAAATAAACCCGAGATGTTTTTTAAACCTCGAAGAGATGCAACCTTCGTTGGGAATTGCCATAAATCCCAGCCGTATCGCTTACATTTTCGAGTCTCTAGTGACACACAAGAAGATGCCAAAAATTCCAGCAAGGTTGTACTTGTATTTCTTATTCATATTCCTCTTCCTTCCTCCCACGACGACACACTTTCGCGACCGACAAATTTCAAACTGAAAACAGCAATTGCACATTTATTTCGCGATCGTTAAGCATTTGTGTGCCGATGGAGGCGCCTGGTTACTGTGTTGGCGGATGGGCGGCCAGATAAGCCAGGAGCTTCTCAATCTCCGGCGGAACTTTGGGAATGTGATCCCCTTGAGCGACGAAGCCCTCTGGTCCTGCCACGTAGTCCACGCGGTAGAGTTGGCCGTCATCCCCGGTGTACTGGTAGAATCCCTGCGACCTCAGCCCCACATCGTCATTCTCCACGCGTCCGGACTCCTCTGCCAAGATCCCATTTTCCGTTTCGAAGCTGCAAAGTTTGAAAACTCAGTCAAAATCCGCCCGAACCGCGGCAAAGCGATATTCAAAAGTGTTATACAGATAGTGGTAACCGTCAGCGTTCACTTCACTCTCGTGCCGCAGTGTTTGCCACTCTCCATTCGGCCTGCCATCGGCCACCACCTTGACTCTGGGCACAACGGGGGCTGCAACAGTGGACGGACGCGGTGGCGGAGTCGCTGGTCTCGGGGGCGCCGTGACAAGGACTCTGGCAGCAGTCGTGAAGGGAACGGCAGAAGCTGGTGATGCAGTGACGCCGAAGCGATCAATTTCATCGAAATTTCCCGCTCGTGTCGCAACGTACTCTCCTCCTCCTCCTGTGTATGGTCCTCGAGATCCATCACCCACGTGGACGTACTTCCCATCGTCGTTAGGAATGTACCTTAGAGGAAGACTCTTTTATCCACTCTAATTGAGAAACACCGCTGAAGCCTACCTTCCGTCATTTCCAGGCCTGTATCGCCCATCATTTGCTGGCCGATACCTTCCATCGTCAACCCTCAACGCTGTTCGTCTTGTTGTCTGACCTCTGGCACTGTCCACAAGCAGGAGAGCCGCCAGAATCACGAGCCACAACCCCGAAATCTCTCTCATCCTCAAAGATGAACCAACGATGAACTTAAGAATTGAACAGAACTGAGATAAGTCAAGCCTTGCTCATCTCCACCCGACTTTATATACAGCAATAGGTGGTGATTTGAGGTGATTTCAGTGACAATTTATAATCCAGTTTTCCCGATAAACTGCAACTTTTGATTATTCAAAAATCATTAGGCGCGCACAGCAAATATCTCTCAGGTGCCACAGTTACGGTGTGAGACTCTGACATTAGAACAAAGTGTGTCATAATATCTTCACTGTGCACTTATACAAATATCCTCAAAATGTCGTCATAATTAACTTCTCACTGTGAATTTATGATACAATTGTAATTATTCCAAGACTTGCGTGATGAATATGACTGCATCTCGAATCATTTTTGCGACAGCATTATGTGATCATTATGCAAAGCGCAGCTTCTTCAGTGCCATTCGCGAGTCTCTTCCTCTACTGTAGGCACGAAACGCCCATAAATTCAAGATCAAAAGCAATTGAGGAGAAAAGTTTACTTTCAACGCTGCAATTGAACACTCAAACAGAATGTGCTTTTGCTTTCTTTGCTCTTTTTCCTAATTCATTTCTTTAAACACAGCGATTTTATCTCTGAAGATGTTGAGATGAAAGATTTTGTCTTTCTCTTTAACTCCACTTCAAGAAGCATTATTTTTTACAGTATTAAACAAGGTATTAAAGTAGCGAATGTAACACAACGCGAGTGTGTCTGCAGAGCCATTTGCTTGGCAAAACTGCACTTTTGCTGCTCAATAGTGGGAAAATGCGCAAGAGAGTTTTGCCAACGCAATTTCTGGGTCATACCTTCTAAAGTTTTGGCGTGTTTTCGGTCAATTCACACACCAATTTGCCAAATTAATTAGCTGATTAGTGAGTGGCGAAATCAGAGTAACAAGGCAGGTCATTATGTTTTTTTCTTCGCCTATTTTATTATGACTTAGGAGTGGACTATTGTCGGGAGTGTGTCATGAGGAGAGGATCCTGAGCGGGTTGTGCTGTGCCAGGGAGTGAATCACTATGTTACAGGGATGTGGGCAGGAGAAGCGCCTTAGACGGAGGTCTGCTTGGGTGGGGGCAGAGACAGCAGGTACTTCACGGCCCTCTCGATGGCCTCTGGCACGGGTGGTGGCACTGGGAGATGATCTCCGGTTGGCTGGTATCCGTTCTCATCGGCGACGTAGGTCAGACGCACAGCCTGGCCTTCGGGGGAGGTGTAGCCGAAGTGGCCTTGGGCGACCTACAAGATTAGGGCGATACAAAGTCAGCATCTTGATCAATCAACTCATCTGCACTGCACATCTGCGCGCCCACGCTTTTGCCGTGACATTCTAGGTGGAGAAGTGAATCCCGCGGAATGCAAGTCTTGCGCAACACTCGCCTATAATTCCATATACCGCAGAAGTTGGACGTTTCGGCAAAAGCGCGCGCGCTCGCGAGTCAACAGAGAGATGAAACGTTAAAATTTATAGGTGACCTTTCCACTGTGATGCCAAACAACAATAATAGCAAAATTGTCTTTCATACTTATTGCATTTGAATAAACACAGTGTCTGGCGGAGTTGAAGAAAGTTCAACGTCTCGCGGCATCGCTTAATTACCTCATGCCGGCAAACGCGGCGGGGGAAGAAAGCCAAAAGTGCAGCGAGACGCCGAACGTTGCGCAATAATTAAAGTGGAATTGTGTGTCCTCTTCGACCATGCTCTGCAGAATCACTCACCTGAGCATCAACGTCCTTCTCGAGGTTCTTGAGGAAGCCCTGGGACTCGGCGACGATGCCGTTTCCAGTCTCGTACGCGTACTGGTAGGTTCCGTCGGGGTTCACGACCTGGTCATTGCGGAGGATGGGCACGGGCTCGTGTCCTGTGAGCTTGTCGGCGGCGACCACGGCCAGAAGGGCGCAGGCAAGAATCTGAAAGTATCCACACATCAGCACTCTGTCGTCACTAACAATCACGGCTCAACTCACGGCGAATTTCATTGTGAACTATTTGGGGCAGTCGTGCTATCACGGAGGAAAACTCGGGCGATCTGATGGATCCTCCTAGACACTGCCACCTATTTATACTCCAAGTCGCGTGTGAAGGGGTTTTTTCGGCATTTTAATTTACTGTCGATGAAATGTGTCTCAAATCTCGATGGTCATCTGGAAAATCCACATAGACATCTGTATGTGAGACATGTGGAGCGCGGATTGACCACAAGGGGGAAGAGGTCGCCGTGAGAGTCACATGCGACCACCACATGGTGTTGTAAATTTATTCACAAAACCATCAGAAAGGTCGTGAAGATCGCCGGCACCAATACGTCCATAAAGGCACTTTTTACACTCACCTAATCAAGAGGTTTCGCAACCACTCCTATCGATGATTACAGACTCAAGCCTAGGATCAACGTACTGACCTTCGATTCCAGGAGGAATGTCGGAAAATTCCCTGAAATTGCCCTAAGATTGATAGTCCTGGAGCTGAATTCGCCCTAATCAAGGAAAAACTACCTGAATAAAGAGTTCTTGTTTATTGGCTACAAATTCTTCCGAGTAATGCTCGGAAAAAAGGCATTGATTGAATTGAATTTGTATAGCAAAGTGAGATATTAGCAAGGATACAAAAGCTGAATCTGATGAACCTCTCGCTAGTTTCATCCTCAAGTCCAATGAGATACAATAAAATCTTTTCGCAGAAGAAGAAACTGTTACAACCAGTCTGAAGAATACCGAGTTTCTACTTTGACTTATCGAAACTGAAAGTGATTGCGGAATTTTATATATTAAATATAAATAAATGGATGCGACTTTGTGTGTGCGTTTGAATATTCACGAAATTCGGTGGATAATTAATTGGCCATCGCGCGATGGTTTTTGGTCAGTGATGAAGATGAGCGGCGACCTTGACAAAGGCCTGAATTCATTAATGTTTGGTCGAGTGATTAAATAACTCGTATGACATTTTTAAACTCCTCAGTCTATTCATCTTTCGCGCGTTGGGTTAATGAGACGCCGCGAGTTGAGGATGGCAAATCTGCACACAATGACGATGGCGCTGGTAAGATTAGATTTATGGTCACAAGTTTATGTGGTTTTTCTTCACTAACAAGCTGCACGAGGAAGTGATGGAATATAAAACTCCTTCTTTTTCTTCGCAGCAGAATTCTTCGGCCAGTTTCCATGGGGCATCACCTGGACGATTGTGTAACTGTGCGGTCGGAAAAAATAGAGATTCTGCCGCAACACTCCTGATAGTGTGCGTTTCGGAGTTACCTTGATATTAAAATATCTTCGGTGGCCAGATCCTCGTCACGAGCTTTATTTTGAGCATCATCGCCGCTTCCAGCACTCTTTCCACCAATCAAGCTGTCAGTGGAATTATGTTATATGCAAAACATTATGCAGATAATGACAATCAAGCTCAATGGTCGGTGTCTTGGTGTTAATCATCTCACACCTCTTTTGATGAGCGACAATGGAAAATTTTTGCCACAAGACGTGTGGCATTTTCAATCTCCCATGGATCTTAGCAGAGGTGAAGAAGTCAATCAATTATCATCATCGATCATGATCATTGAGCCCATTCATGTGCGGAGTTATAATTTGGGATTAAATGCAATTTAGAGACAATTTTGTATTTACAAAATATTTATTTCTCATAATTCTCTCACGTTTTCATATAAAAAAAAGAGTAATGTTTTGTAATTTGTATGTAATAAATGCAATTTTTGTAAGTGATTTTTTTGCGGCAGACACATTGAGAAATCTGGCTCTGTGTCGCTCTTGCCATTATGGGTATAAAACATTTTTCTAACACATTGTCTTCTAGGGTTTCTTGAGCTTTTTCGATTTGTCCAAATACTAATTGTAACAAAGTGACTTGATTTTCAGCACTCGGCTTCAAATAAATACAACTGGAATTGTGCGGCTGAGAAAGTCTGGGGAGATTTCTCTTCTACAGTCGCTGAGGAGCGTCAGTTGTGGGCAGACTGGCCAGATATTCGAGCGCTCTCTGGATCGCTGGCGGAATTGGGGGTGGAGTTGGGATGTGATCGCCCTGAAATCCAGAAGAATCAATCAATTTGTGTCCCTTCAGTGGCTCTCCTGGGCAATTACCTGAGGCTGGAATCCGTTCTCATCAGCGATGTACGTCACTCGAATGAGCGTGCCATCCGGAGCCGTGTAAGAGTATTCACCTTGGGCCACCTACAAAATGAAGGTGTGAATGAAAATATCCTCCGTGGGACCTCAACTTTGCCCTCTCGGCGCACAATTGCCAAATGCAATTTGCAATAAATTTGAGAAGGTGCGCAAGACAATCTGCATGGGATTGTCTATTGAATTTGGACACTTTTGTCTCTGCGAGTGGGACTTTCTCACACCCGCGTTGACTTTAACCACCGCGAGAGACACCCAATTGCAATGAAATGCGCCGTTGGGCAACTCTCACTCCCAGCGCTCTGCACTTTACCTGCGCCTCCTGCTCTGTGCCGGCGTTCTTGAGGAAGCCCGTCTCCTCGGCGGCGATCCCGTTGCCCGTCTCGTACGCGTATTTGTACGTGCCATCGAAATTGACCTCCTGCTCCTGGCGCAGGATCGGGATGGGCTCTGTGGTGACACTCTGGCCAGGTCCCTGAGGAGCCGCGACCACGCAGCTGAGCGTCAGTGCGACGGACAAGATCTGCAGCAACCGAAAGGGAGATTAATGCACTGCACTTTTCACCGCCCAGCGGAGAATTGAGGCACACCAGACACTTACAATGTATTTCATATTTGCTGATATATTACTACTGCGTATCTTAACTAAGGAGATAATTAATGGCAATGCGGAGATGCGCGGTTCTCAGTAATCCTCAATGGCGAAGAGCACGATGAACAGTCTCAACACTGAAATATGTTCACTGATTGATCGAATATAGCCAACTGTGTCTTTTTGTCAATTCTAGATGGGTATTTATATAGTTGAGGATAGTTGGAGGGTCAGAATTTCCCTCTCTCCGCATCCCAATCACCCAATGTGATGAATGTCTGTACGTTAATCGCGTAATGCCGCCAGCAAGCGCGACA